TGAGCTAGTGGGGCTAAGGTATCCGGCTCAAGTGATCTCTCGATACGATACGTGCCACGATCGCTCAAGTCCCATGATAGCACCAAGACTGAGTTTTGACCAAAGCCAAGAATCAGCGCTGGATCTTGAGGATGTGCGATCCACTTGTGGTCATGTTCGGGGGCGGGTATTGAGCGCGCTGCCGAGGCTGACTCAAGTGAGATCGTGCAAAGCGTGGCTGATGTAGCTACGAACAAACGGCTTGAGTCCGGCTGGAATAAGAGCTGCTGTATAGAACCATCCGTGAGGGTTTTGAGTGAGACTTCGAATTGATGTTGCGCAACACCGTCACTGCCTGATGCATTCATACACATAGTCATGACGAAAACCTTCTTGCCCGAGTCGGCAAAACATATATAACGGCCATCGTTACTCCAGGCCGTCTGCTCGATGCTCAAAAAGCCTTTGGAGGTATGCAGTTCTGTCGCATCGTCTTCGTTGGTGTTGAATAGCATTACGCGTCCATTTTCAGTACCGTAGCAGTAGTACTGACCGTTTGGCGAAGCTGCGAGCACGGTGATCGCATCTATCCTCCGGGATGTATGGATAGGCGTTATTGACTCTTGCGAAGAGCTTTCCGACTCGCCTTCAGTATCCGTTCCTTTTATTGCACTCTCAGCATATCGAACTAGTGCTGCAGGTTCCCAGGTATTTCCATAGTAGCCTCGCACGTCGTAGATGCGTCTGTGATCAGCGCTAAACGCCAAGCCAAAGATGGCGTCTTGAGATGCAAGCTGGTAGATTAGGTGGAAGGTGTTGGTGGTATACAATTTTATGGTACCCCGTACGTCACCAGTTGCGAATAGGTTTCCGTCTCCGCTGACGGTGAGTATTGAAGCGCCCGTGAAGATCTCTTCGGGCTCGCCTTCATATGGATCCCATCTAAAGACTACCCCGTCATTGTATAGTCCCAGGAGTTGCGCAGGATGCGGGAGCCACTTTGCTGCAGCGACTTCGCCTCTTGCGACCTCTTTTCTGGCACGCCAGCAGTGGCCAATGTGATAAGGGCCTTCCACTTCCCACGCGGATAGTGGATGACCACGGTATGCAACTGCCATCAAACTGCCGTCACCACTGAGTGCCATGTAGCTTGCGGCGTTTAAGAAGTGACCTTCGAGTTCCTCTTCCTCAAACTTCGCGACAAGATTCCAAGTCGGCGATAGCTCGTCGATCTCAAGCGAACGCAGCTGCTTATCGTCTGACCCAACCCACAAGGTACTGTTATTGTTCACAAAGGCGATGACAAGTGGCCGCGTTCGTGTTGCAGGGTTCGCTACTGTCGCTATACACTCCCCAGTAGAGATTTCCCAGATCTTTGTAGTCTTGTAGCCGTATGTGACAAGCAATGTCCCGGAAGAATTCAGTTTCAGCATGTATGTACGTTCACCGTGTCTGACGGGACTCGTCGCTATCTCCTCAAAGAGGGAGGTGTCAATCAAAGACGCTTTTCCCGAGGCAGCGAGTACAGCGACATGATTCCCCGCAGTCGATATAAAGGAGGTATATGTACCAAACCCAAATGATAATCTTGCGAGAGAGTCGTCCCATGTCCGTGTCGAAATCCCGGAAACCATCAGGTTTCTTTGCTCTGTTCTACCAAATTGCTGATAGATAGCTGAGTTGTGCGGACAGAAAGGAGCAATGGTCTTGTGAATTGTAGTGGGGTTGCGTCGCAGGATGGCGCCGAACTTGCCAATGATTTTTACAAAGTCCACTGCCCAGGTTTCGGCCTGCTCCAGTTCCACTACGTCTCTCCTTCCGATATTGGCTGGAAGTTGAGATTTCCTCTTGTTGACATAGCCGAGCAGATTCTTCGACGCCTGAATGAGTATGCGCAGTCGAAGTTCAGTTGCTAGGATATGTATCCACGTCAGTACACAATGGCCTGTCAGAAATTTGTTTATGACACTAGCCACGGCTTCACTGCCGGCTGGCACTGCTGCCAAATGAGATGACCACCAGTTCGAGCTGTAGCTTGCAAAGTCTGGTATGTCATGAGTAAGTTTTGGTCGAAGTCCGCGAGACATGAGACATTGCATACAGCTCAAAAATAGCTGCTCATGTGCTTGACGTCGATCTACTTGGAACCGTCGGTGGACAGCACCAAGCAGATACTCTCGAGCCGTCTCATGAATCATCGCGACGTTTCCATCGTTGTCAATAACCACAAAGCCGCTACAGACATTCTTGATGGACTCTTGAATGTCTAGAAACTCATGTATGTCACCTTCCAGTGCCTGTAAGAGCTCCTCTATTGTGAGAGCGCGGAATGCACATGTAACACACTGAAGCACGGCTGATGCTAGCGTGGTGTCAGCAGATGATTGGTGCTCGGCGATGGTAAGTGCCATCCGGTCGTAGATTGCTTCCATTCCTCGCGGAAACTCATGGAAAGCTTGCTCGACGGCGGAGTGCGTATGGCATGAGTTGATCTTTTCCACTGCGAGTCGTACCCACTGAGAGGTCAGCATTCTCATGGCATGATACTAGATACTAAACTTACGAGAAAATTGTCCTGCGCTTCATTCAAGATACGCTGGATGATATCATCCCTGAAGTTCTTGCTGCCAGACAAGATGAGTTCCCGGTCCACGTAGCAACGTAAATCGTCCAGATGTCCCTCAATGGTGATTGTATCTTGGCAGATAGTGTTTGGAATATGCTCCAGACCCGCAGCTATCTCTGTAGTATCGCGACTTACCAAAAGGACTCGGATAGAAGTAGCAGAACTAACAATATCGGAAAGCAAATTTATCAGGGCTTTGGGAGTATCGGCTTCGTCAAGGCCATCGATGACCCAGTAAAGCGGTTTCGTGGCACTAAGCTTGAACAGTATGGATCTGAAAATCCGATCCCAGATCGTCCTCGGGTTTGCAGCCTCAAAGTCGACGGCTTCGCTCTCCACCTCCGCTACTTTTTGCAAAAATTCAGGTAACTGTTGCGCAATCTGATAAGCAATTGAACGTAGGAGAAAGCTCAGAGTGCGCTTTCTTCTGTCTGCAAACCGTACGAAGAAGTATTGACAGCAGAAATCGCGCTCAATCAGGCTGTCGATGATGAACGAACTTAGAACCGACTTTCCTCGTGCCGCGGCCCCTTTCAGCCAAAGTATCTGATGAGAGGATGTGTGAGGATTAAGCCAATCCACGAAACGCTGTTCTTCATGAATCCATTGGTTAGTACCCTGCACCCATTGGTCGCGGAAGAAGATGTAATCAGTGTTAGGGAACTCGGCGATAGCTAATATGGCTTTGAGATCTCTTGATCGTCTTCTTCTCGGTGCGTTCTGGCTTCCAGATTGACTCTTCGATATTGACTTGCTGACGAGTGATTTGAGGACATTCCTCACAGTGATATAGTTTGGGTCTTGGGGGTTCTCATACTTGCAGACACCGTGGTGGTCTGCGTTCAGAGGGTTGGATGTCTCACCAGGATATCCGAGCAGCGACGAATCCCTTTCTAGCACCATCTTCGCATGTTAGCAGTGAAGCTAAAGTTGTGTATAGTGCAAGTGGATCACTCACCACTCGCGCACTTTTTAACCCGATCGAAGTCGGCTGTGTCTCGTAGAAGGAAACAATCTTCAGCTTTGGTGCAATGTGACGAAACTGTTCATTCAGCTTCTGCAACGTAGACGAATTCCGCGTCAACTCAGAAATGAAAGGCTTGGAGTTCGTTACAGGCGTGGACCGTAGTATTCGGTCGAGCACACTGGCCAAGTTGGTACCCCGATGTGGGGTCGAGAGAAAGATTATTGCTGAAATGGCTTTGACAATGGTCTCATACTCTGGATCGTTTTGACCTTGCATATAGGCCTGTAGAATGTGAGTAAGGTACGTGCAGACTGATGGATGATGTTACCTCTTTAACGATAAGCCCACCCATGCTGTGAACTACAAAGAGTAAAGGTACCTAAAATGCGCTTTAGCAAAAGCAATGTTGAACGAAAATATTGCCTCACTTGGCCCATATTCAGATTTTCGCTCCTTTCATCCGTGCAGTATTTGAGATCGTAGAGTAGATTCTTTGCGAAATCCAGTATAACGTTAGAAGCACTGCTGCCATTCGTGAAATCAGCATTGTAGCCGAAGCTCAGAATCCTCGCCAAGCAGATATCTGGCTCGAGTGGTAGGAAAGTCAAGGGCCAGAAGAGTCCAGGGCTTTTGTATTTCGACCAAGTCATCCGGCTACTTCCACCAAGCCCATGTATGAAGACTATGTCGGCTTTATGTCCATTGTCTGGCGTATAGACCACGTTTAGTCCTAAAGCTCCAGGGTCCTGGCTACTACCAGTCAAAGCCATGTGAGTTGGGGACGTGGACATTTGGGATGGCGAAGCAGTCGTCGAGGAGCGAACATCGTCTTCCTGGTCTGGAGGGGGCAACGGGTCGACAACGCCTGATTCTCCTCGCCGGATTCTCCTGCCCGCATCTTTTAAGATATTGATGGTATTTGAAACCTAAAGGCGTATTAAGAGTGCGATCTGTGAATTTGCTCAATAGCACTTACCATATTAAGGGAAGGTTCTCGCGAACATGCTGAGAGACCATCTCTGGACACGCAACATTCATGGTTAGAGATACTTTAATCGCGTGGCGATATCTAAGCCTCAAAGCCCTGACCGGTCGTGTGCAGCATGCATGTTAGTCGCCGTTCAAATTGGGGGCTGCATGCGGGGTAGTGTTCGTTCGTCTGGGAGTGTGAACCCAGCTAATCATAGTCACGCAGCCCTGTCAATTACGGCGCAGTCATGGTGTCCATCTGATGGATGCCTGCAATGTGGCGTCACTTGGATATTCGGAAGGGAGGCGGATATATCGATGAGTACCTAGAGCGGGAGCGACGTCCCACTCGTGGCTGCCGACTCGCGAATCATCTTACATGCGGTAAACACCGAAGCTGCTCCCGTGCCACCATCTCAGCATCCAACGTAAGCAGAAGATAACGTTCCCGCATACAATGCTTCCATCAGGTGTTCTGTCTGCTATTCAAGGGCCGACATATCATAAGTCCGGGTCCCTCACGCGTAGTCGCATGCCAGTCTTTCATATCCGCCATGATGAATCTATTAGAATGGGAAACTGAAATAGGAGGGACGTTCCGCATTCACCGGGCTGTGACCAAAGGTGGGCATTCCTGCAACCACAGCGTCAGATGCCGTACACTAAGCACTACGGGTTAGCTATGCCTGTCGGTACCAGGATAATATCTGCAGAGCCTTGTGGTGTTTCTGCCTGGACGAAGACAGCAAAGATTGACGTGATACTTCCGGACCAAAGCTCAAAGAGCTACTTCCTCAAAGTATGTCCTGGTAGACTAGAAGGCGTTTTTACTTGCTGACGTATCGTTACAACACACAGTGCGCCACCGGCCAGGGCTCAAAGGCTCTAGTTGAAGGCGAATACGAATCTGCATGCGCTATCAACAACATAGTCCCAGGTCTGGTTCCTCGAGCGACAGGATGGGGAAAGTATCTAGATGGTAGCACCCAGGTCTATTTCTTCCTTGGGAACCACCACGACATGGACGTCGTGCCAGCCCCAGAACCAGCAAGCCTTGTGGAGAGAGTTGCTAGAATGCACATCGAAGGGAAATCTCCAAGTGGAATGTTCGGATTCCATGTACCAACAGTGTGCGGCAAGTTCGTGCGCACGACGAAATGGGAGAAGAACTGGACGGCGTGTTTTACCAATCTGCTCAACGATGTGATCAAATATGACAACGAGACCAACGGTCCTTGGCCAGAGTTCGATGCTGCCTGCAAGCAGGTGATCGCTGTCGTTATTCCAAGACTCCTAGGTGCTCTCCAGTCGGATGGTCGAAATATCGAGCCAGTGTTGATCCACGGCGATTTGTGGGAACAGAATGTTGGCATCGACATGGAAACTGGCGACACAATCTTGTTCGACCCTGGGTGTATCTATGCCCATAATGAGATGGAGTTCGGCACATGGAGAGCGTCCTGGGCCTGCCATTTCAACTCTCCGATATACATGCGATTGTATCAGCGCCATATCGAGCCGTCCGAGCCTGTAGATGAGTGGGACGACCGAAATCGACTTTACAGTATCCATATATATCTGAATGATTCTGCGGGCCATCCCGGTAATATTTCGAGAGCTACGTGAGTATTCCTCTGGAAGTAGACAAATTTGAACTGACGATATCCAGAGCTTACAACGACATGCTGTATTTGTGTGAGAAGTACGCACCGTTGGAGGGCCTAGGCACGTACCGTCCAGAGAATGACGTTAGCGTTACTGGCGCCTACATCGAGCACGAGACCACTAAGATGAGCCATCTCCATCATGCCATAAACGCTTGATGATCCATGTTTTACTCGGCATCCCTACGCATGGGCAGAGGTGGAGCTTATACTTCGGTTGCAATTCGACTGCGGACATTCCCAAAACGTCGCGATATTTGAGGCCTCACCGACATGGAAAGCTATCGCGATAGAAAATGCTGCAGAGCTGTGAGCGCATAATGGCTGTAATCGGGTCGTGCGGTTTTGATACGGCCCATCTTGGGCTTCGCGTGATGAGGAACAGGTGCGTCCCTGAGCTTGACGCGTTGGAAATGGGTACGCGTCATGCGCTAGCCCGCGAAATTGGGGTGGCAGGCACCACCCAAATGATGCAATCGACTTCTTTTAGTTATCACGCTCGAGTCTAATGTACCTCTCTACAAGTTAAACTGGCTATGTACTTTGGAATTTTGACTAGTTTTGCACCAAAGATTAGAGTAAAGAATCTGAAGATCAATCACCATCAAACCACGTACGAACCACATAAGCCCGCACCCTAGAGCTACCCACCTTCATACAATCGCCCAATTTTTCAACATAACACACATCGTATGTCCATTGTATACAATTTGATACCAGCCCCGACCTCAGGCAAAGGCGTCTCTTTATGTTGCATCAACACGACTCAGCATCACCCAACCTAATGAGAACATACATTCAAGAAGAAGAAAAAATTGCATAGAATTACATATCTCAACTACCAATTCCCAGCCCTAGACCCTACTGCCCCACAAAGAACAAGGCTAGAAAGTAACGAATCAAGAACGTTGAAGAAAAGTGACTAACTACCGGAGCGATCCCGCTTTTCTCAAAACGCCTTCAAGACACAAAAGTCAAACGCCAGACCAAGATGAATGAGTGACAAAGGAGATGCCAAAGTTCCTAACCACCAGTTCCAACAAACGAGACAACCCAAGTGCTGATACAGAGAGAAGTAGCTATTCAGGCTCAATCAGGCCAAACGCTTCAATCGCAAAGGAAGGACAGCCACCTAAGCCTTGGCCTTCTTGGCAAGGTAATATGTCAAGAGGTTCAAGTGCTGTTCCCTTGCGCCGGCAACGGCTTTCCAGAAGCCGCCGTCTTCCTTTGCGCCGTCGGAGCCGTTTATGCGTTCGTGGAGGGCGATGCAGAATTCGATGTCTGCTTTGCGTACGTCGGCGTCTTGGTCGTCCATGCAGCGTACGGCTAGTCTGCCTAGACGCGCAGTCTGCTCGGGGGATAGTGTCACGTTCTTGGCGCCGCTCATCTGAACGAGGGATGCCAGGGTTGTCAAGGCCATGGTCGTGGAGCGGGTTGATGCTTGGCCGGGTTGTGAAGAAACCGAAGACTTGGAGTTTGGCGAGGAAGTCGGGGTCGATGCGGGTGTGTCTTCAATCATCGCGAGGACGGTGTTGAGACAATCCAGAGTCTGGCCGTACTTGACAATCTCATCTGCGGTCGCTTCGAGATCAATGGCGATGTGTGATGTGCTTTCGTACTGTGCCTTGGTTTGCAGGATAGTGCGGAGGACGCGGGAGTAGTACTTCGAGGTTTCCTTCCGGTAGAGAGATAGCAACGCGCGGATCGTTGCTAGAGCCTGCACCTTTAGATTGACAGCTTTCATCTGAGGTGCCTTCAATTCGTGGACTGGTGCCTCGAGGAAATCGAGACATGCTAGTAGCAACCTGCCAAAGTTCTCGTCATTCGGTCCCCAGATCTCTTGGTTCGACTTGACCATGTCCTGCATGCGGCGGAACATGTGGGCTTCAACTGTGCGTCCTTCAATCTTCTTGATGCCGCTCGCGAGTAGCTGTCGATTCTTCAGCACCTCAGCATCGTTTGTCTCGTAGCTTTGCGTGTGCAGGACACTTCCTGTGCTGTTCGTTTTGTGGTGGCCGCGAGGGCGCTCTTCGTTATCGTTACCCATCATGACATCGCTTGTCATGCTTCCAGTACTTTGGCGGCGCTCGTTGCTCTTCTCGTTGATGGGAAGCTCTTCTAGGACCGGCTTTTCTGACCCATTCTCAATAGGTGTATGCTCCTCGCCAACGAATGGGTCTTCGAACACCTGAACTTCGTCTCCAGCATCGGTACCGCGAGTGCTTGGTCGATCTGGTGACCTCAGGCGTGGGCTGCGTGTTGAAGACCGTAGGCTAGCGCTGTCTAGGTGCCCCATAGACTTGGGACTTCTCAGCGCTGCAGCACGAGGGCTGGGTATTGGCAGTCGACCGATGGACTTTCTCGGCTTCGGTGGTGTGTCATGTGTGGCTTGTGTCGTTGGTTTCGCAAGGCTAGGAATGACCATGGTAAAGTTGTCTTCATCTCCCAAATCCACAGCCTCATCGTCTCCAGCTACACTTCCACCCAGACCGTTCCTTTGTCGAAATGGTATGGTACCTGCGTCATGCTGGCTTTGTGATCGGACCCAAGGCTTCACCATCGATAGATCCTCCTCTTTTGCTGGGCTCACAGCCGGGCTCTCGCGACGAGAGCTCACACTAGGAGACTTGCCATGAGCAATGGGTTGGCCAATCCTTGATTTGGGCCGCGCCGGACTAACTTGCGGGCTGTTCTGTGTTTGCGCACGCGGCCTTGAGCTGCTCTTCGGTACAGCAGGCTTCTTGGTCGTCGTTGGAGCAGGCGTCTTTTCGGGGGTCATGTTGGGAGTGGATTTTCCTGGTCGTCGAACGGCATATGGATCCGCGGTCGCAGGTCTGTTCAACTCTGGTCGGCGGACCGGACGACGAACTGTACCCGACATCAAGGAGCCGGTTCCTGTGGAATTCTTCAGTGCTGATTTCGTTGACTCTCCAGACATGGCTGAGGGTGGCCGCGCAGGTCCCGAAGAAGCCGTAGAAAGGTTCGACGTTGTTCTCGCGCCCAAGGACTTGGCCGATTGCGATGTTGGCACTGGTGTATAACTAGCAGCTGCAGAGTTGGGGCGTTCGGGGACGCCTTTCGCGGCCGCTAGCTTTGCTCTCCTCTGTTCAGCAATCTTCTCCTTCAGGGCACTCCGCGAAGCACCCGGGCCTATTGATTTCGAAAACGAAGCCGTGCTTGCCGAAGATGAGGGGGCTGAACCGTTCGGGTTGTTGGGGTCCTTTTCGAGTGCCGTCTTTTCTCGCTTGTCGAGCGTATCGAACATCCTGAAAGTTGTGTTAGTGACTGACGATGCTGCCATGTGGTTGAACTTACTTCTCGGCCCTCTGAGGCCATACCAAAGCGTAAGTCCAGTAGGCGCTTCGGTATGCCTCTCGGACCTTGGGGTTAGCATCCGTGACGCCTCTCCGGATCAAGGTGTCCAATGTTTCTAGCCCTCCTGAATGTTCGATGTGCGAGGTGTGCCTCTTGATCAGGGTCTTGGCCCAGGTGGCAGAGTGGGTTCGGGGTTGCACGTTCTTGTCTTGTGAGGCCATGGCTACGTGCTGCAATACGCGACTGTTGTACGACACGCTCTGAAAGATGGTATCTACTGTAACGGCTCCGTTCTGCGCTGCGATGTTTTTCGTAGCACCACACATTTTGATGAAGGATTGCAGGAGAATCTCAACCCAGGGGTCGATCGCAGAGCCCAGTGTCTTTGCGAGCTCCTGAACCAGCAGGCAGCCGTTGGTGGACATGGTTGTTCGAAGCGAGTTGGCGACTTTGAGGATACCGTCTAGGAGCGATTTGATGCCGGTGACGAAAGTTGCGTGGAACTCATTGGGCGCGTTTCCCTTGAGTATACGTCTCAGCTTGGTGCAGTTCTTATCTCTGGCCAGCCAATTGCCCTCGCTCTCTTTGCCTTCATAGCAGGGCGCCATGTCGCGGAAAACGTCGTCGAGCTCGCGCTGTGTGTAGATGTGTATAGGGTCCATGACGACAACTTCGACCGGGGGAGGCTGCTCGCCCGCAAAGCTCTCTGCGAAGCCAACGTCGGGTTGCAGCGTCTCGGCGCGTTTGGATACAATGGGTCGGGCGACGGGGGCGGGTGGTTGGGCAGGCGCGACTTCCACGCTCTTAGCCATGGCGTCGTCGTCGAGGTGGGAGGTGATGTAGGTGGCAATGGCTTTCCGGACATTCAGGGCAACGAGCTGCTTCTTAAGGTTGGCTTTGGCGTGTTCCGGAGCGTGTCTGTCGTGATGTCAGTTGCTACCATGGTGTAGCATTTCCGCCAATTGACGTACCCAAAAAGCTCCACAACCGCCTTCTTCGCCGTGTCGCGCACGCCGGCATCCGCGTCCTCGCAGTTCGCCACGAGCTGGTTCGAGTAGCTCTTGAAAGGGAGGCCTTCGCTCTTATTCATCTGTCGTCACCCAAGCGTTAGAACATTTTCGCGCCTTCCCGATGCGCTACGGGGGACCAACCTTGACTACCCACAACATGGCGGATTCTTTGGCGCGCGGGTTTGTGCTTTTGATGGCATCGTGTATCAGCGCGTCAATCTCCATAGAGCACAGGTAGTGCAGGTCGGCCAGAATCTGCGAGGCAGCGCTGCGGTGGCTCTCGCGCGCATCGCCCAACTTGTCGGCGAGGATGGAACATAGTATGGGCGATTGTGACGTAAGAATCGACGTCTCTTTCTGCAGTTGCAGGCGCTTGATGAAGTGGCTCAGCGTCGAGAAGCCCGTGGACACGAGCGCGGCCGAGGTGGCGGCGGTGCAGGCGATGCGGATGCACTCGAAGATAGGAGCCTGACAACTTTCAGGGACCCGGTTGTGCTTGATACTCGACTTGAGCGTGCTGAACAGGGCCAGGCGCGACTGGACATCGGTCGACGGCTTCTGGAGTGCCTTGAGCAGGTCCGACGTCTCTTTCTCCATCGTGGGCGCAAATTGGCCCTTTGTCGCAAAATAATCCGGCAGCGGTGGAGGCGGGGTGGTTTGTATATGTTATGAGAGTTGTTTACGGCGGGCAGCCATCCCCGTTCACGCTAGACCAGTGTCCGAGCAACCGTGCGCTTTACATTGCCGCACTGCCGCTACCCCAGGGGCGCTGGGCGGTCCACTCTCGAAACTTCTAGATGAACGCGAACAGCTGGTCAAGACGTATCGCTTATTCAAATTGCAAGGCTGCTTTTGATCTTCATTCATATTTCACATCAGATGGCCTGGCCGAAACTTCCTTCTTTGCCACGTCATAAAGCGCGACAACACCACCGTAAATCACTCAAGCGGGGCCAGCTATGACAAAGTGATAGGCTGTTGCGCCGGATGCGCGGGCTTGCACTAAAACAAGAGCAATAACGTTTCGAGAGGAGCCGAGTCAAAACAACAACAGATATTGAGCGAGGAATTTATATCATTGTACACTGATGATCTTTACGGATCTAGGTAACGGCAGCCCTCTCTTTGTCCGACGAAGCCTTTATGCCATCTAAGCGTCCTTGTTCTGAGCGTTCCTTTCATCCCAGACACCGACAGCCTCCTCGGCAGCCTTGACACCACTGAGAGCCATAGCGCCAAAGGTAGGTCCCATGCGGTTGGCGCCATCAACCTCGCTGAGTTCCATGCCACCGACGATCAGACCAGGCACGACCTCGCGGGTGCGCTTAACGATGGCATCTTCGGCGGTGCGCATGTCGAGGCCGCGCATGCCACCGAGCTTCTCGATCTGCTGCATAGACACGAGGCGCTTGACGGAGAAAGCGCCGAATGGGCCGTCGTGGCCGGTGGTTGAGATGACAAGAGGTGCATTGATGGTGTTCGGGTCCATGCAAGACTGGTCTGTGAACAATTAGTAAGAGCCGAGAAAAAGAAAGCAAGACTGCAGTGTACCATCGTGATGCATGGAGACGAGAGTCCAGTTGGTGACAACGCCAGCGATGCGGACGGCGTTGGGGTCGTTGGAGGTAGGAGCCGGACGGGTGATGAGATCCTCGACAGCCGTGGCGTTGAACAGCTTGACGTTGGGGAACTGCAAGACCTTGGACAACAAGGTGGATGTGAAAAGTGCGGCATGCTTGACGACGACAAAGTCACCTTCGTCCTCGTAGGGCACGCCGATTTCGTTCAAGAAGAGCTCCGCAGGCTTGCGCATGACCATGGCGCTGAAGAGCTGACCACCGAGCCAGGCACCACCACCGGGAGCAACACCAGCTTCGACGATGGCAATCTTCAGGTCGGGACGCTTGGTGGCGAGCGTGTAAGCGGCAGATAGACCGCATGAACCCGCGCCAACGATGACAATGTCCGACTCAGCGTAGGTGTCAAGGTCGTTGAAGTAGCGGCGGGTCATTGCACGAGACACCTGCGACTCGCGGATGGGGGCGAAGGTGAACTTCTCCCACTTGTTCTCGAGCTCAGCGACAGTCTTTGCCTGGCCATTGAAGGCAGCCTTGACAGCGAGGTCCTTCTTGATGCCCATGTCGTTGCTAGCAACGGGGGTCTCGTAGATGGCGGCAGGGGGAGACATGTTGAAAGGGGTTCAAGGGTCGAAATCTGCCAATTGTTAAGTCTGTTCCACGCAGGGAGAGACAGAGCAGAGCATGATCCTTTTCGCAGGTATTATCCTGATCAAGTTCGAAACCGTATAATCTCAGAACGAATCCAGCAAGGCTCGACTACCGCACTCAAGTAGAAGAACTACGACAGTGTGGAAGACGGACACTACTGGAGACGAACACCGGTTCATGCAGTATACTTAGCTGTAAAAGTACCTATGTGACTTGAGGACAACGCCCACGTGCGGAACATGTTCTGCATCGTGGTTGCCATACTTGGTCGTGACGAGTATCTGTGGAATGGTCAGCCATCCTTCTCGAGTATCTTGAAGCAGTGGATGAGTACGGATACTGAATAAGTTGGACTTTGCAAAGACAGTTAGACTATTGTGTGAAACAGAAAAGAGGAGGGGTAGTTTAGAAGGGAGGTTTAAATATTCCAACGTGCCCCGCCACCTCGTCCACGAATATCCTCAGTCATCCGTTGGGGCGGGGTAGCTGTTGCTATCTGCATATGAAGTGCTTGAATACAGAAGGACCCACTGTACTGTACCGCGTCCGGACCCATGTGTTCAGCACCGCGGAGTATTCGATTAATGAGAATGGTCGGTGGTGACAGGGTCCTGCATTAGTAGTCCTAATTGGGACGCAGCGCTGCGCAGTAATACATCATTAGCAAGAAGGACCGACCCACCAGACGGGAAAATTGAGGACCACACATGCTCTTGTAATTGAAAAATCACCGCGAGGGAGCGTGATTCGAGGAAGGCACCGGCTAATGTTGCGAGACTTCCAAGGCTGTCGTTCCTGCCTGTCAGCGTTGGTGTTGCTCAAGACAAGCTGGCTTGGCATTGCAACGTTCTGTTTGGAAGGCGCCACCACGACACGATACTTTTACAGCTGCTCCCAGTGGTACTTTTTGAACATGTGCCAATATAGTAGCGAACGCGCAAAGGTCTGATGACCGTCCAGTAGGAATAGATACTGCAGGGGATCTGGAAGTATATCTATTTCAGTCTTAGACTTGTGACGATAGGACTTTCGACGATCCTTAGGATATCACGATATCTAAGTTAACAAATCGATAAGTTCTCTATGGAACCAGTCATATGGTAACCCATGCTGCCGAACGGGCTGGTAAACTTAATCGTGTACCAAAGGTAAGGTACTACGATACTGACTCAATAGGGTGGATCGAGACCCGCCCAGCGACGTAGATAAGGTTGAAGCGGGCAGCAGCAACCGAACTCGAGTCAATACAGAGGCAAGGCAGAGCCTGGTTGCCTGATTTTCAGGTGGTGATCAAACGTAGTGGCGGACGGCAGCGGACGGTACAAGCATCCGAGGTAAGGCTGTTAGGTGGCACAACGACACGTCAAACAGCCTTGGTGTTGCGACAGGCGTTGATGAGACAGATGTGCGGCAACTGTCTTCGGATGCGTGGTACGTGGTACGTGGTGTTGTCTGGAAGTAAGCCTTGTACGGGTAGAAGAGGCGTTGTTAATGGTCGAGCGCGAATCGCGGTTGGGCGCTGACTCTCTAAGGCGGGCAGATCAGCAGGGTGGTTCAGATCGATGAAACGTGTCTGTGTGCGCCTCGTTATTCCCGTTTGTTTCAGGATCGTGGCAGAAGGATTCCGAGGGGAGCAAATGCCGATTGGTAAGTATTTTCCGACGTGTACAGGATGACGGAAAGTAGTTGGGTACCTCAGCGATGGTGCATGCGAGGATCGTGGCTGAGTGGAAACGCTCAGGAGTCCATCGAACGGGATGTTGATGGCGTGGTTTCCGTGCAACATTGGTTCTGGGCGTCGAGAGTGTTCGAAGTAGAGACACGGGTGTTTTGCGGGGAATGAACGCGTCCTTCAATCTCTCGAGGTCGACCGCAGTCTCCGATAGGATGGTGCGCTGACCGGACATTAGACTCTGAAACGAGCGGATGATATGAAGCTGTGCGAATGTTTGTCTTGGAACAGATGGTTAATGTATTGGTAGGTCAAGAAAGCGGCCGCGTCCCTGCATGATCTAATGCTAGGCATGTGTGCAGCGCAGATGACGGGCATGTGCTGATGGAGGTGCGTCAGGGGAAAGGGCTCAGATTGCGTCAGCTATTTCGAGGTTTGGGAGGATTGAGGGATGGAATCCAATTCGTGCGGCAGAAGCGATATTATTAATTGAGCTCCTGATGCAGGTGATGACAACGCCGCTTCTTAGAGGTGGTCAGAAAGACAGGAGGTTCAGAGCTATATGCGCCACGCGCAGTGTAAGCTGGGCTGGGGATTGGTACCAAAGGGACTACTTGAATCAAGAGTCGATTCACGAGTGCCGGCGTTTACAAATTATAGCTCTAGGGCGGGCAGTTGTGCAGTGAACGGGCCGTTGTCAGAGGAAGGGGCCCTCGAGCACACGATCTGCGATGGCGTGTGCTTGGCAGGGCCTCTGCAGACATGGTAATAGCGCGGTGGAGCTGGAGTCGCAGCCCGGTCTCGAAAGCTGACCACCTTGGGCCTGCGCCGTGCGAGTGTTTGGAATTCCATGGTCGTGTTCCCATGTGCGGCACGCTCTAAGCGCCTCTCCCACGGTAGCGATCAAGTTGGGCATAGGGGCCAGAGGATCATTTGCAGACATGCGGAGGCTGGATTAGGCTTTCACTCTTTACTACGCCCGTGGTCCCCTGGTCGTGGCCGCCGCATGGATTTGTCTGCCGCGTATCTTTCCAGACCCTGAGCAGGCACTAGCCCGCCCATTGGCTCTTCACCTCCACACCACCACGACGCCGCTGCGAGGTGCGCCTGTCTCGTCGACTAACTGCCCTGAGCCCTCGTCGCGCACAGAAGCCGTTCGCCAGTGCACCGACACGCCGCTGCTGGTCGTCGTCTTTGCTTTTGCGCCGTTGGCACCCACGCCTTCCCTCTCGCCTTGCGCTGTACTACTGCAGTCTGGTGCTAGCAACTTTGGGGATCGCCCAGACGACGAACCACTGAATACGCCCACGGCCTGCCAGCCTGCCAATTGTCCTTCCGAGCACGACACGGGTCCGGCGCCGACTGCACGCCCGCCCTCGCGCTGCCCGCCAGCATTGTTACTGCTGCTTCACCGACACGCCTGTTTCTAGCCCGCCATGGAGAGCCCTACCGGCTACCCAGAGTCTCCGCTCGACGACGAGGTCGTGTATCCGTGCAAGGGATGCGGAGAGGTATGAGCCGCTGCTACCACTACTCCCTGCCTGCATTCGCTCATAGCAGTCTAGATCCTCGAGGAAGGCAAGGCCTTCGAGCTCGGTATGCTTCCCCGCTGAACCACCGCTACCACCAACACCCTCGCGCCTTCCTCCCACCGCCCATGCCAACCACCTGCCGAGGATGTGAATGCTAACATTGCCTAGCCGGAAACCGATGGCACATCGACTGCTTCCGCTGCAACACGTGCGGCACCCTCCTCGACTCCGATGCGAACCTGCTGCTGCTCGGCGACGGCTCCCTGATATGCAACAACTGTACATATAGCTGCAACCACTGCGGCAACAAAATCGAGGATCTCGCCATCTTGACCGGCGACCAGGCCTTCTGTGCCAACTGCTTCCGGTGTAGGAATTGCAAGCGCAAGATCGAGAACCTGCGCTATGCCCGCACCTCGCAGGGTATCTTCTGCATGTCGTGTCATGAGTCGCTCATGGCTCGACGGCGCAAGAAATCCAAAAAGCCGCCTTCAGTGGCGCCCAAGGTGGACAAATCGCTGCCTGCTCTGCCTCCCCACGAGCAGTCCCAGTCCACCTTCACCCCGGATCTGGATACGCCATCCGACATCTTCTCGGAGCCCACCACGACCGACGTATCCCCCAGGCCTCCTCAGCCGCGCCGGGGCGATTCGTCGTCAAACTTCAGGCGCGATGCCTCACCAATTGGAGATGCTGCACGAAGGGGTATGAATTCCACATGGCTTACACAATGCTCGCCCACAGCTAACCTAGCCACAACTACAGACAATACCACACTTCCAGCAACAACATACAACAAGGACAGCGCGCGTTCAGAGCTGGTAGATAACGGTGACGACGGCATCCTCCTCCCCTTCGCTCTCGATCCCAACCCTGCGCCTGGCCCCTCACCGCTTGGCCGACCCATCAGCAGATTCAATGACCGAACACTGGGAGCCAAACCGACCGGAAGCGGTGACGGCAAGAGCGGGCGTGATTACTTCAGTAGGCCCACTGGCGACCATCGCGAGAAGCTGAAGGAGAATGGCTCCCGAGAAGCCTCCAAAGAGAGACGCCAGACGCAAACACAGAGCCCGCACATTGCCTTTCAAGAGAAAGGAAGGCAGCCTTCGGATACACTTGTCGAGACACTTAGGAAGAAGAAGGACATATCCAACGAATCTCCTGCCGCTGAGCCCCGGTCAAGGAGTCAGCACGCTTCTCCCGCTCCTTCAGGTCCAGAACCCTTCAAACTACAGGATGTACCCAAGAACAAGAAGGCCGAGGCAAAACGCAAGGACTCTGACGAAACGCCCTCACCACAACCGCAGCAACAGCAACAGCAACAGCAACATCCGTCTTCCTCCAAGAACGATATCATGTCTGCGCGGCTGAGTCGTCCCCTCATGGAGCCAACGTTTACCTCTTCACCACCACTTGGCTCGCAAGATTCACCGCAGACCTCAGAATCGTCGTTTGGCTCCAATCTTCCACTAGAACGACCTGCGCGTGGTGATTCGCTCAAGGCTTCGACCCTGAAGCCTTCAGCCCCTATCTCACGACACGAGAGGGCTCCATCACCCACCACACCGACTCTAAGCCATCCAGAGCGAACGTCATCCACCAACACAGCCAGCGCGAACCTCAACGCCGGACTTGGCATACTCAGTTCTTCGGATTCGCCAGCCTCCAAAACTCCATCGGACCCTCCAGTTCTCCCCGCACGTTCAGGTGGACGGCCAGCCCCGCCATCGACCGACACTTTCACATCTCCACGCGCACCCCCGCAGCCACCTGCCATTCAGCAACACAAGACGAGCGACTCGATCAGCAGCGCCCAAAGCGAAGCATCCCGAGATGCATATGGAGCTGGTGGCCTTCCTCGTTATAGCGCTCAGGGCGATTTTTCCATGGATGAGGATTTCGCGCGCTTGCTTGGAAGCCAGGATGGACGAGATGACAAAGACACCGGAGTGTTCAGGAGAGTTTCGAACGCTGTGTCCAAGCATGGGCGCAGTTTCAGTGATCGCGGTTCGGTCACATCACGAGGGCACAAGAAATGGCCTACGAATGGCTCCATCGACATTAGCAGCCCGACAGTTGCCTCGCCCGACACGAAAGAGGAAGGCGTCAACCTGCGAAACGAGCTGCGCCGCGCCCAGCAGCGGATCGCTGAGCTGGAGGCCGAGAAGAATGGTCTGCAAGAATCGATGCACAGCGCAGCCGACATCAAGCAAGCAAACACGGTTCTGCGAGAAAAGCGAAACACAATGGCCGTCCTGGATACGCAACGTGAGATGGTGATTCGCGAGCTCGAAATCATGACTGAACACCTCAAGCACGCTAAAAGCGGTCAGGGCAACGTTGAAATCGGTCAGCTCAAGTCAGACATTCTCAAAGACTTTGCAAATTCGTTGCAGAAGCTCAAAGACAATCTGGGAAATCAAATAGAGGACCTGATCACGAAGAGATCAGAGTTGACGGAGGAGATCTCGAACCTCATTCAGATGAAAGACAAGGGTTTCCAAGAGTACGAATCGCTCACGGCCGCTAATACTAGACTCTCCGCCATGAACAGGGACCTGGTAGACAACATCCAGACCAACCTCAAGAATAACAAGAAGAGTGGACAGAACCTTGATGTTGCTGCCAATGGTCTAGGCATATACAACGCACAGCACAAGGGCGGCAAGTCCGAAGTATCCGTGGATGCACCAGCGATACCGCATGAGCACTCCTATGCCAATCTCGATGACGGCGAGGCGACCGTCGCGCAGCCGCAAGTCGTCAACATTAGGAAGACCGGGAAGCCTACCAAATTCTCTACCTGGAAGAAGGGCGGACAAGCCATTACAAAGAACGTCACCAAGGGCTTCAAGGGAGCATTCGGTTCAGAGCAGAAGCAGGAGGATTACAACGTCAAGGTCATTGGCACTCCTTACGGCTCCGTGCACTCAGGGCCCGACATCGCAGCCATGTCCATGTCAAGTTCCATCAAAAGCCGGGATACCATGGACCAAGGAACCCCGCGAGGCTGGTTCGGTGGAAAGCCTGGTAACGTTAGACCAGGCGGCCCGCCCCAGGGCTTTAGGCCCATGCAGAACATCAACAACAGCACCACTAATCTGGCTGCCGCCGACGCCAGTACCGTGCTATTCGGGTCCGACCTGACAGCGCGATGCGAGTTTGAACGGCAGATGATTCCACGCATCGTCAGCAGATGTATCGAAGAGGTTGAGCTTCGCGGCATGGACGTAGAAGGTATCTACCGTAAAAGCGGCGGTACCTCTCAGGTGAACCAAGTGCGCAGTGGCTTCGAGACGGACACCGAGCACGACATCTCGGACCCAGATCTCGACATTCACTCCGTCACTTCTGCGCTGAAGAACTACTTCCGCAGGCTCCCTGTGCCGTTGATCACATACGATGTCTATGATCAGTTCCTGGAAGCTGGCCGTAAGTGTATACGATCTAACGACAGATCCAGTGCTAATGAATATGCAGAACTTGAAGAGCCGACTGCTCAGTCCAGGGCCTTGTCTGCCGCTGTGAACGAAATACCCAAGGCTCACCGTGATACCCTGCAATTCCTCGTGTTCCATCTGTCGCGGGTCATACAGCACGCCAGCGACAATCTGGTAAGTACATGCAATAGATGTTCGACATGTATCATGACTAACGTGTGAATAGATGACACCACTCAATGTCGCTGTCGTTTTTGCGCCAACCATCATGCGGCCCATGGACATCCAGCGCGAACTCACCGACGTGCAACAACAGCGTGTCGCCGTCCAAGCGCTTCTGGAAAACTACAAGACAGTATTCGGCGACGAATAAAGTGAGCGCAACGCTCCCAAAACTCGCGAGGGCAATTGAGGGCGCCCAAAACTTCTGTTATATCGTCTCTATTTTTCAACATGTGTATCTACAGCGGGCGTTATGGGCCCGATCTCCAAGAGCTTTTTTGTCCTTGTCTTCGTGTATCATACGAATCTGCACACAATTTTGGATCCTATCTGTATCGAAGTCCGTGAGGCATGTATCGATGGCTACGATGGAAATTGTGTTTATACCCTTGGGGCTTCTCTGCTTGGCCATGTAAGCGAAGGCATCGATATATAATGAATTCTTGAGACTGTTGTTCTTGTATGCATCCGGTCCAGATCATTCACATGCTCCACATGGATGTGCTGTTCCTGTGCTTGGCGCTTTCGCCGTGTCGCCGCTAACGCGCTCAGGATGACGTCGGTCACCGCCCGCTAAGCGAACAAGCATGTGAGGGAGCCTGTTTCCGGTCTCACACGATCGCCCATTGACTTCGCAGCTTCTCGGTACTCATCGACTGATCTGCAAACCTCGCATCAGCCCTTGCAACAACACACTTTCTACCTCTCTATCCAACCACTACTACCCCTCATACATCATGTCTTACGCAGAGATGGCTGCCAAGGGCCCCAAACAGAGCCCCGAGGAGGTGAGTTATTGAAGAGCGCTTACTATCTATGCCAATGCTAACTTGAAGACAGGCGTAAGTCATCCCCTTCATTCTGTCGAGGTTTATCTCTCCAACGTCACCTTGTAGGATGCATGACGGCACGCTGTGTTGCATCTTGGTCAAAATACAAGCACTGTGTCTGAGACATGAAATTGTATGAGCTGTTCTGACGTAGCATTGCAGTCGCGCACCCGTCCAACCTGAGATCGAGCACGCTTCCGAAGACAGTGTACACTCCCTGGTCGACGTAGACAGCCCGCACATCTCCTCGGTCCCCTCGGACTACGAGTCGCAATCCGTCAAGACCGACACGCAAGCCGAGCGCATGGAGCGTGAAGAGGAAATTAAGGAGGAAGCTAAGCATATCAAGGAGCGTGCTGCGGCAAAGAAGGAGGCTGCTAAGGACAAGATGAAGAAGAACGCCGACAACCCAGTTGTGCTGAGCAACGCAGTCGGTCTTGCCGTCGTTGGTGGCATCGTTGGATTCGGCGCATACAGGCAGTATGCCCGCGGCGAGCTGACCGGCAAGGTCGTCGCGGCCTGGGCTGCTGTCATTGGACTGTTTGGCGTTGGCGACTACTATGTCAGCCAGTATGTTGTCCTCGCATGAAGTGCTCTGATGGCATGTGTGCTAACATTCGCAACAGGTACTTCTTCAAGCGCAACCCACCGAAATAGACGTGCTGCCCGGTCGCTTTGTCCAAATTTGCACTCCACTTCAACAGCACCTCGTACGACACAATCATGCTGAAATCTTGATCATCTGGACTGTACCGATTTGGCTATGTTGTCTTTTGCTTTTCCGCGGTACCATACAGCAAGCAAGGGTTTCTCTACTCGGTTTCGGTCTTGAGGCGAGATGCTTTCATGAGTCCACTTCTGTATATATGAGGTCAACGTTCAATATACCCGTTCAAACATCATCTTGGCTGTACAAAAGTGACTCAGATTGCGTATGAGATTCTTGGAGGATTTGTGACTGCGTCCTAGTTATCATGTCGGAGATACTTGAGACGATGCCCAGCATTCTCGGAAGTTCCACCACGTGATCCGAGATCTTCAGCGACGCAGATCCCTGCTCTTTCCGCTTAGAAATGCAGGTCCCATAACTTTTACGTAGTGACGACACTTCCGTGTACCGTTGACATCCGCCACGTCTCTCTCTGCATCCCTTTTCTGTTTCACATCTCTTAGCATCATGTTCCGTGCAGCCCCACGGTTAATTGCGCGTCCAGCGCTGCGAGCCGCGCCACTACGGTCTGTCGCACCGGTCAGAAGGTACTTGAGCACCGCACCACCATCACAAAAGTCGAGAAGTTTCAAGAGCTTGGTTGCGAGGCTGGGTGTTGCAGGAGCAATAATATACTATTACAACACCACGGATGTTTTCGCAGAGGAGCCAAGACGTATGTTCAGACACCAATAGACGGACGAATTGAACCAGAGTAGCTGATCCTGCCTCAGAACTTGTCCAACCCCTCCCAGAAACCGAAGTTGAATCCGAGCACCTCCCCACCATCGAATCTATCTCCGAAGAGCGCAAGCGACGACAAGCGGTACAGGCACAACTAGAGGCTCAGAAGCAAAAAGAGGCTGAGCGCGCACAACAGAATGCGAAGCCTTCAGAAGATGGCCAGGGTGGCATAGAAGGACTCGAGGAAGAGGCAGATCAACAGGGCGCATTCAATCCGGAGACTGGCGAGATCAATTGGGATTGCCCTTGTCTGGGCGGCATGGCTCATGGCCCTTGTGGTGAGCAGTTCAAGGCGGCGTTCAGCTGCTTCGTGTACTCCACCGAAGAGCCGAAGGGCATGGACTGCATCGACAAGTTCAAGTACGTTTTGATCACGACAGCAGAGCCATGATCGGCCTGCGAAGACCATAGTCAAACAAGTAGCTAACAAGACGCAGGGACATGCAAAACTGTTTCCGCGAATACCCCGAAGTCTACGGCTCAGAACTCGACTCCGATGCCGACGACGAGGACGACATGACCGCCTCGCCCGAAACCCCATCCAACCCCTCCAGCACGCAACAAGACTCCTCATTACAACCCGCCACCAACGACCACGCCGCATCAGCCAAGGGCAAATTCTCGGGTGAACGCAACTCGAAACCCCACACACCAGAACACAGCCTGGTCCCTGAGGAATACAAGCCAAACGCCAAACACAACCCCGTAAACGACGCAAGGGGAGATATGAGCAGCCTAGATAGCGAGAAGGAGAAGGGGAAAGAGAAGAGCAAGCAGAAGCCAAAGGGCGAGAGCAATACTGAGAGGGCGAACCAGGCGAGGGCGCAGGTTAAGAGCCAGGAGCCTGTTAGTGAGAGCGAGAGTATGGTGCCCAAGGCTAGTCATGATGCGAAATGATGAGAGTACATGGAGGCTAGAGGAAGTGGCGGGGCTGTGAGGGACGTGTCATGAAGGCGGGATGTAACAAGAGATGATGATATTGTATTATATAGTTCCGTGTACAGCATGGTTGAAGAACCAAGGGGGGCATTTAGACAGTGGTGTTCAACGCTTCTCTGCTACTGACGAATATCATGTATAATATATACAGTTTCGACAAAACGTTCAAGCAACATTCACATCTAAAAAATCTTGTGCTAAGAAACCAGGCAACATTCAGACCAAAGACTCTTGGTGTGCTAAGGAAAGGGATTGCAATCGTTCTTGATAACAGAAACTACTTGTACAGCAGGCACTCCAGCCTGCCAGAAAAGAAAACTTGAATACATCGGGCCATTGTAGCATAATCTTAGTTCCGAATAGCGTAGGTACCAACTCATTGTACGCCAGAAAACACCCCTTGAGACCAACAGCCACATATCCTGACGTTTGCACTCTTCACCCTGTCCACAAGGTCCTTGCTTCCAAACGCGCTTCTCATGCACCTCTCAGAGTGCGATAGTCCGGCAGCGCCTCATACGCACACCCTGGTCTCAATTCAGAGGACCACGTCCTCAAACACGTCGCGCGCGCGCGCTAAGATGTCTCTAAATCTCTACTTTGCTGTAGCCCTCTGCACCCTCGGCAAGGGGCTGAGCAACACCTGCATCGACACTGTCGCGCTTGACGCCCATGCTGTCCTCGCCCTTGCCTACGCCGAACATGCGCATGGCTTCTGTCAGCGCCTGGACGGCGTCTTCGTTGCTCATACTGCCAGGGAGACCCTGGCCGCCCATGGAGCTGCTGATGCGCTTGGTCGCGTCTTCGAGTGCGCGGACTCTCCTCTGGAAGTTCAGGCGGTCCATGAAGAGCTGCTGGCGACGGCGCTGCAGATCGCGGCGTTCGGCGGAGAGGAGCTTCTCAAAGTCATTAAAGTGCGCGAGCTTGAGCTGTAGCTTTTGGAGTTGGAGGTTTACGGCGCCGGAGACGAGACGGGTGATGTGGCGTTCTTCGTGAGAGGCTAGTGCTGAGGAACGGGCTGCGGAGAGGGCGAAGGGCAGGGTGGCGAGCGGGTTGGGGTTGGAGGAAGAGTCGGATTCCCGCGTGGCTACAGCGGTGGACTCGGCGGAGGGGTCGACGTCCATAGCGTCGCCGCCTTCGGGCTTCATGTCTGAGGCGGTAGCTGCGGGTGTAGACTGCTCGCCTTCCTTCTCTTTGCCCTTCTCTGATGGTGCGGTTGGGGCTTTGTTGATCTTCTCTTGAAGGATGCGCTTCATCTCGCCGACGCTGCGCCCTGACGCGACCGCTGCCTCTGTGACGTTCGCGGGAGCAAGGCCAGCTAGGAAGCTGACGACGCTCAGAATCGGGTTGTCGGCGTGGTGGATAGGTACACGGCCTTCGCTGAGGTACTCCAGATCGCGCAAGAACTTGGTTGAAGGAGCTGCCGATTGTGACTCCGGTAGATCCGCCTCGATGTACTTGTCCTCAATCTCGAGCTGCAGGAACTTCATCACGCACTGCTCGCGCGTCTTCGTCTGGACGTGGTCGGCAACACGGTTCCAGTCATCGTCAAACTCCTCCAAGCCCTCGAGTAGCAGAAGAGTCTCCTCTTCTGTCCACTTCTCTTCTGTCTCGGCTGCTGCTGAGTTCTCCGGGTTGGAGATCTTTGTGAAGTCGGCTGAGGATGTGCCTTGTGGGAAATTACCCTCTACAAAACATCTGGGGCAAAGGTCGCGCTTCAGGCCACCAGCAGCCTTGATCTGTCCAGACTGCTCGGAAGGTTTTGTTTCATGGAAATGTACACGGGTACATTCGACACCGCAACTGAAGCAGTTGATGACCTTGGTTGGCTCCTTCGCGGCGGCTTCGAGATCCTTGACGTCTACCGAGCCGTTAGCGGCACCTTCACCGTTAGCAGCTTTTGGCTCCACGGATGCTTCTTTGCCATTGGCCTCGTAGATATTTCGTCCAGCCAAAGACTTGGTCTCGCTCTTCGCAGTGGGTTGCTGGCTCGCAGCGCGGTCGGTCGCTGTGAGCTGCTTTCCGTCCGTAACTTTTGAGCCTGGTCCTGGTTGGAACGGTTGCAGTCCGCGGGGCGTATCGACAGTGACACGGAAATGGCCGGTGAATGGAGGACCAATGTTCGACGGGCGTTCTTGAGGGTCGACCTAATTAACATGTTAATAATGACTCAATGTAATCATGTAGCGGTAGGATTTACTTGGTAGTTGATCAATCCCCACTGTTCGAGGAAAGCGTGCACGCGCATGATAGCGCAGACGTCTCCCGCAAGATTCCTGCGGCATGCGGTGACTGTGAGGTACTCGGATGGGTTCAGGCGGTATGTATTGATCATGAAATCGCGGTAATCGCGGTAGACGGCCGGTGTCTTGCTGCGGTTGCGACCGTTGAAGAACTCGGGTAGGGCTTTGCGCTCGCGGTAGTCGATGTAGCGCATGTCGAACCAGGTTGCGTAGCTCGGGATGATGGTCGCATATGTCTGGGTAACAAAGTGCGAACGCGCGGCTGACTGTAAGTCGGCTTTTGCTTGCGCCTCTGGGTCAGCAGCTTCAGCGCCCTCGCCGTTCTCCTTTTTCGCATCGTCGACGCCGCCCATCTCTTCGTCATCCTGGCCATCAGCGTCTTCCGCTTCCGGTCTTGGGCCGTCGGGTGCGTCTAGAGGATTATCTGATGCGGCTGTGGGGGTGGCAGTAGCGGGATCGTTGGAAGACTCCTTGACGGGTGCGTCTTCGAGCATGCTGGTATCTACGGAACTTAGCGGACTGACTACTTCGAGGTTCTTCCATTCTGGTGCTTGGGACATGCGATCCAAGTCTGCAAGGTCCAGTGCCCCTAGGAGCTCTTCATCATGGAACAGATCGTCCATGGTGTGGACGCGACTGGTGCTGGGTATGATGATGGGTGAAATCAGAGTGCAGCCTACCTTGATCCAGCGCATTGGTGTCCGTGACACCTTCTCCAGCGAGACTTGGGTCCTGCGCAGTTGCGCTTGCTGTCGCGTCGTCGGCCATGGCTCGAGGCGTGTTATGCGATGCGACGGAGCTGGAAGGCGCTATGCGGCAATGCAAAGGGGAAGTCGCGGGCGCGAGAACTCGGAGCAGTTGCGCGATCGCAACGTGTCTTTTCCAACGTGCTGCCGCGTGGTTGTTGTTGAATGAAGGTGGGGATGGGGGGCTGCGATGGGTGGGTTGGAGTCGCGTCTGAAGTTCGCGATGCTCTCGAACGCCTAAGCAAAAAGAGCACTAAGGAGCATGGAGTAGTCTCACGTGATCAGCCTGCAGCTCCGATGCAAGGCTAGTGCCGGATAACTAACCTGGCCAAACCGAGGTCATAGTTCTCCACGCCGTTGGGTTGCTTTCACTACTGCTGGACGAGGCGTTCTACCCCATCTTCCCGAATTTTGCGTGTCTGTTTCCCCCAGAGACATCGCACTGTTCCCGCCCACCATGTTCTCCGCCGCTCGTCAATCTGCCCTCAGCACAGCTCGCACACGGCTTCGGCCGTCGCAACCCACGGTCGTTCCCCAATACTCCGCCCTCGCACGGTTAGCGTCGACGTTTGCCATTCTCGAGCAGAAAGAAGGAAAGATTGTGTCACAGTCATTGGCCGCCATCACAGCAGGGACAAAGCTTGGAGGCTCAATAACAGCCTTCATTGCTGGAAGTGGGGTCAAGTCGGCCGCAGATGAGGCAGCCAAGTCAAAGGGCGTAGAGAAGGTCATCTACGTCGAAAATGGAGCATACGACAGGGTCAGCAGTCCAAAGACAGATCAAATGATTAGGGGCTGACAACATCTTGCAGTGTCTCCCCGAGAACTATGCGCCACTCCTGGTTGAGAACATCAAGAAGGGCGGATACACACACGTCGTCGCTGGGCATTCAGCGTTCGGAAAGAACATAATGCCGCGTGTCTCAGCACTTCTGGACACACAGCAAATATCAGACATTACCGGTATTGAGGGCGAGGACAGTGAGTGAGCACCGTCCAAAGTATGCGAGGGGTTGTTAACCAGACTACAGCATTTGTTCGCCCAATCTACGCCGGTAACGCCATCATGACCGTCCAATCGTCCGACAGCACCAAAGTCATCACCGTCCGAGGCACCGCATTCCCCGCGCCTGAGACCGAAGGCGGAAACGCGACAGTAGAGGAGGGTGTCGACCCCAAGGCCGAATGCTCAACAGAGTGGATATCTGAGGACCTCCAGAAGTCCGACCGTCCCGATCTCGGCTCTGCAGAGAAGGTCGTCTCCGGCGGCCGTGGTCTAAAATCAAAGGAAGAGTTTGACAAGCTCATGCCACCGCTAGCAGACGCGCTCGGTGCCGCGATTGGCGCATCAAGAGCAGCAGTCGACAGCGGCTTTGCAGACAACAGCTTGCAAGTGGGTCAGACTGGAAAGAATGTTGCGCCACAATTATACCTGTGTGCTGGTATCTCCGGTGCCATTCAGCATCTGGCTGGTATGAAGGACAGTAAGGTTATTGCAGCCATCAACAAAGATGCCGAGGCACCCATTTTCCAGGTCGCGGACGTCGGTCTTGTTGGAGATCTTTTCGAAAAGGTCCCAGAGTTGACCGAGAAGCTCAAGTCGCAATAAGCACAGAGCGCATGGATACCTGTTGTATATAGTTTGAACAGAATATCGATCAAACAAGGAACGCAACTGCCACGAAGTCGACTACCAGGAGACACCCAGTGCTTTCTTAGAACCATTGCGAATCATGGCATGAAGCACGCAAGCACATCCTGTGCTTTCCAGAGAATCTCTGACTGCACGTGAATTATTAACCTTCTGATCTCCAAGTAGCCTCGGACATTCGCAGCTTGGCGTGCGTCAACGGCTGATCGACGCCAGCACCCACCATCCGTCTCCACTACGCCGCGATAGCCGAGTAGTTGGATCTGGCATACTTGCTGGTGACCTGCTTAAACGCGCGGCCATGAAGTCGTTACGAAAATAATCCTCTGATCTTCCACATCCTATATCATTTCCCGTATTTATCACAAATTGAAGACGCTTCCACAATCCCTGCGCCACTGCCTCCGCTCTAGCGCCGGTTTCTCAGCAACTAGTCATACGCGTGTATTCAGGCCGGACATACTGATCGCCATTTCGCACCTTCTCGAGGTTTGCACCGGAGAACGAGCCTGAGCGATCTTCACATCCTGGACTACAGCTTTCATTCTGGGTTTGCGGACGGCCCAGCTCACTGTCTGGGGTTACGATGTCTGATGCCGGATCGCACCGATGATGGCGAATGAACATCAAGAATCTGGGCAGCCAAGCATCTCGCAACTCGGAGATACCCAAACAGAAGGAGTGAAGAAAAAGGAGCATTTGACACAGAAACATAGCAAGAAGAAGAGATGGTGGAATGTTTGGAAGAAATGGGAGGGGCAGGATAGCGATTGGTGGTTCGCTAGCACTGGGATACCTGTAAGTAATGATTCGTGTTTAGTAGTCATTGCGAGAAGCTCAAGCGACTTTGATACCTTTTAAATCGACCAAGGATCATGTTCGTATATTGACATCAAAGAAGCTACTCGCCGCAACTCTCGGCCCCCTGGCAAATGTGAGCTCGATCGCCGCACTCGTAACTCCCTGGAGACAGCAAAACATCATCAACGGCGAAAGAATCTCAGACTTCAAAGGCGTACCTTTCGGCGACCCAAGATGGTGCTATTGGATTAATGTCGCATCGTTGATCTGCGGCTTTCTTGGCAATCTCTTCCTTCTTCTGAACTTCACGCAAAGGATTCGCTATATCATTGCCCTACCCCTCACTGTGGTTCTGTGGTATCTTTCATCCGCTTTCCTCATAGCGATAACGATATGTATGAACACTTACGAACCACCCATCCGACCGGAACAAGGATACACACAAGGATTTTGGTACGCGATTGCGGCTGCGGCGTTTTACACCATCTGTTCTATGCTTCTCATGGTCAACATGCTGGGCTTCTTTCTCGGTCACTACCCTGAAAACTTTGCTTTGAGCGACAGTCAAAGGACGCTTATTTTACAGACCATGGCTTTCTTTATTTGGCTAGGCGGTGGCGCCGCTGTCTTTGCGAAACTCGAGCAAGATGCTGGAGAAGACAGTTGGAGGTTTGCCGATGCCTTGTACTTCTGCGATGTAACTATCCTGACCGTTGGTTTTGGCGATCTAGTACCCACAACCGATGTCACTAGGGGTATTGTCTTTCCATACTCTGTAGGCGGAACGATTACGCTAGCCCTCATCGTCTCGTCGCTTTACACAGCAGTCCGCGAGCTCGGCGACGAGAAAATTGTTCAGAAGCATGTCGATCGCATGCGAGAACGAGTCGTAGAGCGTACAGTTACCAATTCGTTTGATCTCCGCCATCGCGAACGAGAAGCCCACCATCTTGTTCGGAGACGCAAACTTGGCATTCCAAAGATATCAGCACCTAGTCAACCACGGCCCTTCAGAACGCCCATGGGCGAGTCGGTTCAGCATACATCGACTATGCAGGGCTTCGCTGATGCTCTGCGTATCGGTTCATCCAAGCCCAAGATCATGTTATTGAAAGAAGAAAAAGATCGCTTCGAAGCTATGCGCAAGATCCAAGCCGACTCGAAGAAGTTTAAGCAGTGGATGGCGCTTTTCTGGTCCATCACGACATTCTCGATCCTTTGGTGTGTAGGCGCAGTGGTCTTCTGGATCACCGAACAAGAAACCCAACACTTGACGTACTTCCAATCGCTTTACTTCTGTTATGTCAGTCTACTAACAATCGGCTACGGTGACCTGGCACCAAGATCTAATTCCGGGCGCTGTTTCTTCGTCATCTGGAGCTTGATTGCCGTTCCGACCATGACTATCCTGGTCTCAGATCTAGGCGACACTGTCGTCGCCAACTTCAAGAAATGGAGTGATGAGCTTGCAGATTTTACAGTACTGCCGAAGGCAGGTATCTGGCGTTCGTTTCTCAACAAGCACCCTTGGCTGCTGCGATGGCTACAACGGTGGACAGACAAACGAGCGAGAAAGAGCCGATTGAAGAGGGGTTTCGACGTGTCGGATCCACGATCTGACGACGGCATCGTAGATTCCTCCGAACCTCAAGACAGGGAAAGCACTTCAAACGATCCTGAAGAGCGTGAAGCAGCAACCGACATAGAACTTACTCTCCATCCCACGGTTCCAGCCCTCGCCACCGAAGCCGAAGCCGATGTCACAAACCCTCCCTCCCATGCTTCGCTGACCCGCCGCCTCGCCCTGTCCATCCAAAAAGTTTCGCACGACCTCAAGACCGACGACAAGCGCTACACGTACGAAGAATGGGTCGAGTTCACACGACTCATCCGCCTGACCAGTCCAGAGCGTCTAGACCGGGACATAGGTAACGATAATACGACTTCGGAAGACGAGAACGAAGAGGGATTGGTGAATTGGGATTGGATCGGAGATGATAGTCCCATGGTGTCTGGTATCAGTGAGAGCGAGTGGCTTATGAAGCGGCTGATTGAAAGTCTTGTGAGATTAGAGAAGCGGAAGGAGGGTGCAAGGCGGAGGTCTGATGTTGAGGCTTTGAGGGAGATGGAGTGTGGGAGAAGTGTGGGGAGTCAACGACATAGCATTGGGAGTCAGTAGACATGGTGCAATCAACCCATTCTTGTCTGAAATGTTCAGCGATAGCGAGGTGGACCTCTGTTGGGACGTTGAGGCATAAAATGGGAGATCTTCTTATCGAAGTCTGATTGCTGATAGTACTGTAAGGTGGGCATTGAGTTTTGCTGCCTTGTTCCTCAACACGATGTCGCTGACTAAAAAATGCGCTACCCACACTGCGCTCGTGGAGATGCGGTCAAATTATGTATGAAGAATCGGTTGCTTGCGAAGGTAAGCAGAGGATCTCTGGCATCGTTGTGTGTGCTTCGAAGTGAGACTAGCGTACTACAAGGCCAATTCCCTCTCAGGCGCCATTGCCGCAACCTACACAGGATCTAGTAGGCATGCACAGTGATGTAGTGAAGCAACATCTGGAGTACAGGATATCGTACCTTCCTCGGGCTCTTTGATGTTAGGCAGCAATGTTTCGTCACTCCGTCATCCTTGCAGCCATCCTTAGCACATGTCTTGGCCATGAACATTTCTGAATTCGGTGTAGTCGCGCATTCTCTACCTAGGTAGGTTTGCTAGCTGCGAGGACGCCAAAAAAAAAGCAGATCGATGAGCATCCCGGTCGCATGCAGTTGCAATCGAAGGCGTCTGCTATCATCTTGGAAAGCTCAAGGAAAGCCTAAAGGCTCGTCTGTGAATTGGCAATGGTTGTGCGGCAGGTAGGTGTTTAATGAGGAGTGCCGATTGATCGGTGGAGTCGGACTTTGAGGCACCGACGTCCGTTCGCTCACTCACTCAGGAAGACGCTGGACAACACCCATGCTTCCCGGGAACTCCAACACTCGGGTGCTCAATTCTCGATACGTCTTGCGAAAAACGTTTGCTCGGCTATTTCCAGCATTCGACATTACTTATTCGCACTGACGTCGAGTCTAGGCGTTGAAACACAACAGACGCGCGTTGCCCCTTGCGTCTCGCAGTCAGTCGCTCGATTAGGAAGGATGGTGGTGAAGCGAGATATCGCGCGGTTAGCGCCTCCTGTGGCTGAGATTCGTATAGCCCTTGGCACGACGAACATTGGCCCCGGTGCAAACGATCGTTAGAGGTTGCTCTTTCATTCCGACTTTTGACGGTGTGCATGTCGAATCGGAACGTGGATACGACTTGATCCGGTGTACATAAGAATACGATCTATACGGCAATCACATCACCAGGCATCAACTTTCGTCCTTCGGTTAAGATGACCGCCTCTTCTACCGTCGAATAACCGTCCATCTCAAAGTCGCACTTTGCCACTTTCTTACGCTCCTTTGCATCCCGCAGCCATGAACTCCAAGGTCACTGACGGTCAACCGCCACCCCAGCCAGCCGTCGACGCTGGGGTGGAGAGCACTGCGATCGCCACTCAAGTTCTAGAGACAGGACCCGACGAAAAGCACAGCGTCATCGAAGATGTAGGGCAAGATGAAAGTGCCTCACCGAAGGCAAAGAAAGTACCTGAAGCGGGCATGAAGAATTACTTCGTGAGTAAATTGCTTTGGATGTTATTCCTGGCTAACATGTGAACAGCGAGTATTCTCGTACGGAACTGCTCTCGATTACTGGCTCATATTCATGTGCTGTGTGACTTCGATAGCCTCCGGCGTTACATTTCCTCTAATGAACGTTGTCTTCGGTATGATCTGATACCGCAGAATCTATTGGCACCTTCCGCGAATACTGACAGCAATCAGGCCAATTGGTTGGCTCTTTTACCAACTACTTCATCCCGGGGACGACATTGACAGCAGGAGAATTTCAATCCGAGATCAACAGGCTTACCCTCTTTCTTGTCTACCTCTTTATCGCAAAGTTTGTGTTATCTTACATATCAATGGTATGCACACATGGCATAAAGCTGCTACAGTCATTCTAACACTGTTGTAGCTCACTATCCGAATCAGCGGCCTTCGAATCTCTGCTGCGTTGCGTCTAGCATATCTACGAGCCTTGTTTGCACAGCCAATCAGTGTGATAGACACTATAAGTCCCGGCAAGGTGTCCACGCGGATTACAACCTCTTCCAACACGGTTCAGCTCGCCATATCGCAGCACTTTGCTATACTCTTCCAGTCTCTTGCGTTCGTTATCGGAGCGTATGTTGTGGCTTTCATCAAAGGCCCACTGCTTACTGTAGTCGCCTCTGCCTCGCTTCCGTTCATCCTCGTGGTCTTTGGTATCATATTGCCACCTTTCATCCGGATACACAAAGTTACCGAGAAGCATCATGAAGATGCTTCAGCCATGGCTTTCGAGATGTTCTCATCCATTCGTATCGTTACTGCATTCGGTGCAGAGGCGAAGTTGGCAAGGTTGCATGAGGCCTTACTGGACAAAGCCGCGACGAACGAAAGAAGGGCTGCACCTCTGATGGGTCTGGTCATGTCACCCATGATGATTGGAATGTATGGCACTTTTGCGATCGCGTTCTGGTTTGGCATCAAACAGTACTCGGAAGGCAAAGGCGATGTCGGAACCATAGTGGTGGTTCTGTTCTCTGTCATGATGGCAATAACGAACATTAGTAGGGTTGTAAGCCCAATAATTGCCATCGCGAAGGCATCGTCTGCCGCCACCGAACTATTCATCACGATCGATGCACCCATTCCCGATACCACTGGATTGAAGGAGCCTGATGTTGCTGCCAACGCGAACATCCGCTTCCAGAATGTTGCCTTTTCATACCCAAGCCGACCACATGTTCGGATTCTTGGAGGCCTTGATCTCGAGCTTGAGGCAGGCAAGGTTACCGCTATTGTCGGTCCATCCGGAAGTGGTAAGCATTTCCTGTCCTGCGATTCATGTGCTGGTTACTGACCACTTGCCTTAACCTCTAGGGAAGTCAACTATTGTGGGACTTGTCCAGAGATGGTACGAACTCTCAGGCACAACGGCCACGGCCGCATCTGATGGGAGCCCGGACGGCTCGTCGCCTCATGAAGACACCCTTGACAAGAATAAAGGGAGCCCACAGAAGGCTGGGTGGTTCAAGAAGAGAGCTGCACTGAAGGATGAAGACAAACAAGCATCTGCGAAGAAGGCTGGACATGACAAGAGCAAAGACGAGGAGCCCGATCTGGGCCCAAACACCTGCACTGGGATTATCAGGATCGGGAATACCAACCTACGAGATGTCGACCTAAAATGGTGGCGCTCTCAGATTGGTCTGGTCCAGCAGGAGCCCTTTCTGTTCAACGACACCCTGTACAACAACATCGCTTTCGGCCTCATTGGTACTCAATACGAAGACTTGCCAAAAGAAGAAAAGATGAGACTGGTCGAAGACGCGTGTCGCGAAGCTTACGCCGAAGAGTTTATCGCCAAACTACCAGAAGGCTACGAAACTCTGGTTGGCGAGAGCGGCATCAAGCTTTCAGGTGGACAGCGCCAACGAATAGCTATCGCGCGGAGTATCATAAAACAACCGCCTATATTGATTCTCGACGAGGCTACGAGCGCTATCGATGTACGTACCGAACGCATTGTTCAACAGGCTCTCGATCGCGTATCGAAGAACCGAACGACTATCGTCATCGCGCATCGCCTCTCTACCATCAGGCGTGCGGATAAGATCATTGTCTTACGTCAAGGCACTCTCGTGGAACAAGGCACCCACGATGAGCTGTTGAAGATAGAAGCTGGTGTCTACTACGGCTTGGTCCATGCCCAAGAGATCGCAACGGAAGCGGAACAAGACGCTGATGCCGGCCCGCTCGAAAAGATCAAGAGCGCAGACACTGCAATCGCCGAGAACTACAAGCAGAGCAGTGATGTCTCCAAAGCAGCCGAAGATCCAGAGTACAAACAGCAAGGTCTCTTTGGCAGCTTCGGGCGTCTTATCTACGAACAGCGCGGTCATTGGATCCTATACAGCGTCGCTATTCTGGGTGTACTGGCTAGCGGTGTCGTCTACCCGCTTCAGGCCTACATTTTTGCAAACGTCGTCAACGTTTTCACCCTTCCCATGGACGAACTCGTTAGCAAAGGCAACTTCTGGGCAGGCATGTTCGGTGTTCTGGCTGCGAGCACCTTTCTGTCCTACTTTTTCATGGGCTCGGCCTGTCACCTAATCTCTGTCGCCATAACGAAGAATTACCGGCAAGAGTACCTAGACAACCTCATCCGCAAACGCATTGCCTTCTTCGACGATCAGGGACATAGCCCTGGATCTCTGACATCGACCCTGAGCTCAGACTCGACACAGATCCAGCAGCTCATGGCAACGGAGATGTCCGTTGCGCTCATTGCCATAGTCAACGTAGTGGGCTGCGTCATCATCTCCTTCATCTATGGATGGAAACTGTCGCTTGTTGCCCTATTTGCCGCGCTACCACTTATCCTGGCTGCTGGATATCTCCGTGTACGCCTTGAACTTGAATTCGACAAAACCAACGCGAAGGTATTCGAAAACAGCAGCCAATTTGCCTCCGAAGCTGTCGGTGCTTTCCGCACAGTATCAAGTCTTATCATGGAAGACATGATCGGCCAGCGCTACGAGACATTGCTCAAGGGTCATGTCACCAACGCGTTTTCAAGCGCAAAGTACGGTACTCTTGTTTTCGCGGCAAGCGACAGCATTGAACTGGCCTGCATGGCTCTTACCTTCTGGTATGGCGGTACTCTGCTGGCTTCCCGCGAGTACAATCCTGTAGATTTCTTCGTCATCTACCAAGCTATCGTGCAAGGCGCCATTGCAGCAGGGCAATTCTTCTCGTATGCTCCCAACATGGCCCAAGCCACGGGCGCCGCGAACCGCATTCTCAGTATGCGTCCATCAAAGTCTGCAACAGCTACTACCTATCCGCCTCTAAGTAAACCAGAAGAAGGCGTAGGCATCGAGTTCCAAAATGTGTATTTCACATACAAAACCCGCGAAGTGCCCGTCCTATCCAACCTCAACATCCAGGTCCAACCAGGCCAATTCGCCGCACTAGTCGGTGCATCCGGCTGCGGCAAATCCACCACAATCTCGCTCCTCGAGCGCTTCTACGACGCATCATCCGGCCGCATCCTCTACAACGGACAAGACATCATCACTCTTGATCCCGCAGAGTACCGTAAGCAGATCAGTCTCGTGAGCCAAGAACCCACGCTGTACGAAGGCACGATACACGAAAACGTCGCTTTGTCTGTCGATACCGCCACGGACGAAGACATCGAGCAAGCATGCCGCGACGCCCAAATCCACGACTTCATCACCTCCCTGCCCGATGGATATGCCCAGCGCCTAGGTCCAAAAGGCATGTCGCTGTCTGGCGGTCAGAAACAGCGTCTTAGTCTCGCTCGGGCCTTGCTGCGGAAGCCGAAGCTACTCTTGCTGGATGAAGCGACGTCGTCTCTCGATTCCGAATCTGAGAAATTGGTTCAGGATGCTATTGAGCGTGCTGCTGGCGAGGGCGGAAGAACTGTAATTGCAGTCGCGCATCGCCTTGCCACGATTCAGAAGGCGGATGTCATCTTCGTTTTGGGTAGTGGCATGGTGTTGGAGAGGGGTGATCACCAGGGGCTGCTGAGGAAACGGGGTGTTTACTGGCAGATGGTGAGTTTGAATCTGACTTATTTGTTCGGATTGAGATGTGCTAACTTTCGAACAGTGCCAGGCTCAGGCTTTAGACCGGTAGTAGTGAACGATACTAACTTTGGCATTCATTGTGTTGGCGACATACTTTCGTTTGATAATCTCTCCTTGTTTCTTTAAGACTTGTAATTTTGAGTAGCCGGCTGCCATATCCCTCTTTAGATACTATGCTCCGATCGAATGGAAATGTGTCATTGCCCTTCTCGAGGATTTGAAAAGTAACGCAATGTTTCTTTCAATTTAACTAGATCTCAGTCTCGTTTTGTTATGTGCATCCTCCATGTATCACGTATTACCAACTCATTCACCATCTGCCACCTTCACATCGCAGACCTACTGTTGGCCCATAATCCCTCCTGGTGGGTACGGTGGTTGGCCTTGAGGCCCCAGATCTTCTTCTCCGCTATCACCCGTCTTAGCTGTAGGCTTTGTCTCGGTGGTAGGGGCCTTGGGCTCGCCCATGCCATCGGGCTTCGGTGGTGACTTTGTGCCCGGTCCGCCGCGCTTCTGCCAGTCGAGCCACGAGCCGCGGTATTCGCCAATATTTGTGTATCTACCATGTGAGTCAGCTGATGATCCATGCAAGGTTCCGTGTCCGCCAGTTGAAATTTCGGCGTTTGTTACAAAGGTATAACTTACCCAGCTTGTCTCGCGATTCCTGCAGCCGCTGAACTCCTCACTCCGGCCTTGCAAAAGAAGACGACTTCCTTTCCCTTGGGTGGCTTCTGGAAACCAAACCTATCCTCAAACTCCTCTTCGTCTAGTAGCAGCGCATCGGGTTGTGAGGTGACGGGGATATTGATAGAGGTGGGTATAGTGTTTGCGTCGAATTCATGGGGTTCGCGAACGTCAATGAGGAGGCGGGAGTCTGAGGGCGCTTCGAGGATATGTAGAACCTAGACAGGTTAGCGAGGCACTTGAGGAAGTGCGTGATGGCTCGAGGAAAGGATAATGCATGAATCGAGGGGTTCATGGAAAGGAACGATAAGACGTACATCGTCGAATTGGTAGAGTTTGTTCTGCTTCAAGTCGTTTGGGGCCTGTGAGTGCCATCTCTTTTGCGCGGGCGTCGCTTGTAATCTCGCTGCACCTCCTACAACCACTGTCCTGCTCTGCGAGATGATTTTGTTTTGTGATTTGGGTGCGATGCTGAAGGCTCGTGCAGTGTTAAAGCTCAATCGTGTAGGCTGGCGGCCGATGACGGAGGCATTGGAACGGACGCCGAGCAGTTGAGCTGCGCGCTTGGAGGCCATGGTTGGTATTGGTGTCGCGATGATAATTTATTACGATTCAGAAAGAGCTAAGAAGGCGACTATAGTCTCCAGGGTGTCGAAGATGTTGTTCGGATAGATAAATACTCAGTGTTCAAGTCGCCGACGAGAGCTCGGCTCTAGCCAAATTATCGCCGACGTCACTCTTCGCGAGCCTCTGAGCGCAACTACGCTAAGCCCTACAGCCACAAGTTCGGCAAGCGTCATCGCACGCATCGGCTGTACGGTTCCGGAAGTATGGTAAATTGATGCATTCATCTCATTTGTAGTATCTAGCACAAAAGAACATGGAAGACGCTGTGGTTCAAGGGCCACGTCCAACAGGGTCAGTATATAACGCCAGAAAAAGAACTACAGACGATGGGGTATTCAACACAAACAGATCACATAAGGATTGTCCAAACTCCTGTAAATGAGAAACGCTTACTCCTCCTCATCGCGCTGAACATCCAAACCGCGCAACCGTTGTGATAATAGACCGGCATTAGGCGGAGCGGATGGGCTACCGAGTGGCGAGAAAGCATTACCGCCATATCCAATATCGCCTTTACTGAGCTTCTCAAAGGTACCATCGCTTTGACTTTTTGGACTACTAACGCCAGCTCGCGGCGAAGTGATGGGTGTTCTGAAGGGGCTCTTCGGATCAATATCCATGCAATCGTGAGACATAGGCCGTGAATCGATTGCAGCCAGCCTGCCAATGGTGAAAGGTATGGGCTGTAATTCCGGCATAGGCGAGTTGAAGCTGCTTGAGGCTGAAGAGTGGGTGGTACCACCAGTGAACTTGACGGCTGGCGGGGGTAATGGGGTGTGCTGCCTTAATCCATCGAGCTGATCGTATGCCTGTTGAGATTGAGAAAGTGGCCATCCAGCGCTGCGCCGACGGAAAGCCTTGTCCGTAGCGGGCTGGGCTCCCGCTAATTGTGCCTTTTGTATCGATGCTGCATCTCTCGTCGGCTTGTACGTGCTGTATCTAGGCTCTGGCTGCTGGATCTCGTTCCTCAACTTTTCTTTGCCGTCCGGTACTCTATTCGCAAAAACGACCCGTATGCTTTTGTACAAGTAATGACGACCCTTTGAAGGACAGCATATGTGCAAGTGTATGAGGTAACGCAGGATAGGTCGGTCGTTCGGATCGTCTGAGTTGCTGAGAGCAGCCTCTGGACGGTCAGTTCCGAGGTTCTTCCGTGAAGATGCGGGCATATCGATAATGGGTCCAGCAGAGTAGCTGCGCTGTCTGATAAAGGTCTTCTGGCCTGGCTCCATATCCGATATGTCGTATGGAACGAGAAAGAGCTTCACTGCGGTTTTGTTTGGGTTCTTCAGCACAATCTGTAGTTGGCCCTGCGGCGGTATGCGGTAACATCCCCCTGGAGGTGCCTTGGGAGACGTCGATCGTCGCTTCTTCTTTTCTTTACGGCGAAGATCTCCCTTCACGCTTTGCCCATTCTCCTCTTCTCCAAGATTAAGCTTGAAATCAAGATCGTCTTGTTCGGGGACTGGCACCACATGTCGTCGCTTGCGTTTACCAGCTTCGCTGCTTTCATCTGGCGCTGACAAAGTATTTTCCAGGTCAATGTGCCCAACATAAGGGCTCGGCTCATTATCTGAGATCCTGCCGTTACCGGTGTTGTAGCTGTAAAATACGGCAGGAAAGGGGACCGTAACATGGGGTGGACACTTGAGGCTTGACTTGCATTGTCCCTTGCCGAGTACACCAATCTTGGCGACGAAATCAAGAGGCCGCGAAGGCGTAGTAGACATACGCCCACGAAGTATAGACTCCTCGTATGAACCAACCATGGGGGCGTGTTGCAACGGAGATGCTTCCGAGGAAAAGGAGGGGCGCCGAGCGTGTAGGAACGGTGTTTGCGACTGAGATTGAGGCTCAGACTGATTGAACGTCATTGATCGTCGCGGTTGGTGTGCCTGGTATGGCATTGAACCACTGTGGCGAATGTGTCGAGCTGCCGGAGTTCCCGTGGCGGATCGCGCCATTTGGGTGGACTGGTAATCATGAAAGGATGCAGGAGAGTAGGTATGCCGGCGACTATTTCTGTCGGGACTTCGGGACCCTTGCCGCGAGCCTGGCCTAGAAGAGAAGTCCAAGTCTGTGTTGTTTGCTTGCTGGACAAGCGGGCTTGTGGGCGGTAGAAATGCAAATGAGCTAAACGGTGACTGTGATGATTGCGATATCGCTCGCGCTCGAGTGGGTATTCGGGCATCTGGGTGGTGTGACACTGGGTACGAGACGTCATTGCGGTTCGAGGTATAAGCAGCAGATGGGAACGAGCGGTTCCAAGGCACCACCGGCGAAGTCGCTAGGAAGCCTGAAGATGAGGAGTCATTCTCCGAGGTCGTGCCCGCTCTCTTCTCTCTAAAATCTCCAGAGTGTAATGCCGATCGTGGACGCTCGATATCCAGGCCTACCGCTGCAGGGTCACGGAGATGTTCCGGGGTGGAGATACGGGAGCTTTGCAGCTCGGTGGATGAAGCTTGAGGTGTAGTCGGTCGGTCTCGTGATGTCGGTCGGGTTGAGGAGTCGCGCTCAGTTACGGAATCGCCCTGTGATACATGATCAGTATTCCTTACATTGATTATCAAACACCATGGCGGACGTTTCCTAGTTCCCCGGCTACTCACACCTTGCCGCTGCAGCCACGATGGACTGTTCGTTCGTTTGATCCTCTCCATCCAGTCCTTCCGTCCAAACATGGGCGGCTTGCGCATTTGGCCGGGCGACCCAGGGTCCATATCCTGTAACACGTCGGCTTTCGGCGATTCTGGCTGCATGTCGGATTCCATATTTCTTCCTACAGCAAATCCCGGAGTATGCGGTAATTCAAAGCCGGTGGCCAAGGTCCGGGGCAAGAATGACGATGTTGGCGGACTGTCATGGGGATCATGAAAGATGGGCATGGTTGTAACAGATTGTTGCGATAGACAGCATGGGTACAAAGATTTGACAAAGTATCATAGAATAGTGGCGGGTTTGTGAGCGCGAAAGACGTGGAGCACTGAGATGGCAGGTCGCAAGGACGGCGGAGACGTCAGGTCAAGCGGTTGGAGCACCTGCTGGCCCGGCGAATGATATGAGTAAGAGTTTCCAGTTTAAACGGGGTGCGCTGGCTCCAGTGGGCGCTTCATTGTACAGTCATACTGCCCAGTTTTAGGACGAAACAGCGTGGAGCGCCCCAGTTGAAGGTGCGGAGAGGAGGGACGCAGGGACCGGGACAGATGACGCGCTGTGATCTTTGTTACAAGACGGAAAGTTCCTAATCGCTGCTGATAAAGTCGCCCATGCCGCCGGACCGGTATTGGCCGACGCAGCATGTCACACGACAAAAAAGAACACACTGCTCATTCGGGCGTTCCTGCACGTCCCCGCGGGATGCGTCTTTCCTGGTGCATAGTTGCGACGGTGCACAAAGCTGAGGCGTGAGTTCAGGACCGCCGCGGTCGTGAAGACTATGTGACTGGCTCTGGATTGCGCCCCACTTTGCCAAGGCTGAGAAAGTCGGCTCGCGTTCTTGCGACAATCTCCATGTCGCGACTCCGAACTTTCTCAACACAACCACAGCCTTCAGTATGGCAGTCAAACGGCCGCATCAAGGAGACGCAAAGTCAGTGGTGAAGAAGCAGAAGCAGAAGCAGAAGAGTCGCTTCGACATCGGTCCCGCAAATTTACCGGATGGCACCCATAGACGGAAGAGTAGGTTTTTTCCAACATATTCTTCATGCATAAACTTCTCGCAGAGGAAGAATTCAGACAGGCGTATCGCAGTCGTTCCAAGTACCGGATAAATACGCAATAACGACGTTTGCTAGCATCGCACATACGATTCAACTGCTAATTGTGTACTTAGTCGAAAAGATCAAGAAAGGCCTTATCACCAAGGCAAAGCTGAAGAAGCAATATGCAAAGCTCAAAGCCCGCGAAGAAAACGAAGAGACGGCACCGCGCAAGTCTGTCTACGACCGCGAATCTGCCAACGACGACAACGAAGACGAGGATGAGGAGCCTGCTGAGCCTGTCCAAGAGCCCACGTTGGAGCCACACCCTGATCGCGTCGCGATGCTGGAAGAGAAGTCGCCCGAACCGGAATCCACACAGACTTGGGAGAGGCGACAGCGGCGAGCTCGACCACAGCCATTCTTGAAAGAGACAGAAGTGGCGCGGAAGAAGAGGGAGGAAATAGAGGCGCGGCAAAAAGCCAGGGAGGAAGCGGAGAAGGAGCGCGCAAAGAAGATTGCTGAGCGTGAGCGCTTCAGGAAGACCATGGCCAAAGCTAGGGGACCCAATGGCCAAAGGAAGCTGGGCCGAGAGAGCACAGTCCTGCTTGCGAAAGCGCAGAGACTCATGAGCAAGACCTGAAGCATCATCGTCATCCGATAGCGACGCTATCATCCTCAGCTCCGACGGATGATACGTCTGCATCAGCCAACGCGTGCGCGCGCTCTTGTCAACATCTACGCACTCAATCCAGTGCTGAAGACACCGCTCCGCTTTACAACGAACAAGGTTTCGACCCGTTCATTGAGATGCATATATTGCGCTTCCCGTAGGTCGAACATCATACTAGCCAATAGATCGGAACGCATGCGGGGTAGCTATGATCTAGCCGTAGTCATAGGCATGCTTGCTCAGAGAGAGTAGCAGCTTGTTTACACAGGATACAATAGGCCAGACTCTGTGAAAGCAGTGGTGCCACAGACAGTCTGGATCAGGTGCACAGCTTCTTCCCCAAGAAAGCACCATTGACTCAGCGAATCAATCCAATGTATATTGCATTCTTTCTTACATCGCTCGATATCACCATGCACCAATGCGGTTGCGTGATGTTACATGTTCAGCCCTACCCCTCAGCCCTTGGACGAGGAGCGTTAGGCTCGGGCATAACTTGTAGCGACCGAGCGATAAAAGCGCATTGCTTAATCAGTACACGACAGATAGCTATGCGAATCGGAGTTGCTGCGTTTGATGTGTTGTGTGAGCGCGGAGTAATCGGCGACTGCCAAAAGTGGCTGGCGGTACCTCCCGAATGGAGCGCGATTCACGCGCTAGGGATGAACGCTCTTCCAAAGGTTCCCAGCCTCGCTCTCACTTTCCAACATGTACCTCTCACGACCGCTTATGTGAGCATACACAAGACACGAATAGACATCACTTCACCGGAATGCGTTCAGTTGATCTTATTGCCGATTTCCGTCTTCGCCACCGCTGTAATCGCCTCACTGGTCCTGTCGTACCAGCAAGACTGCGGACTGACCGTCAGGAGTAATCTTCGCCTCCAACTGAACGAGCTCGTTCCAATGGCACAACACCATACAGCAACACACTCTCCGTCTGAGAGCTTAGCGGATCTTCGAGCGCATGGCGCAGACTATCACTAGAACATTGCGGTATTAACACCCTCTCCGCTTGATAGTAGTGGCGAGATGTCAACACCAGAGACAGCTACCGCGCATATCGCAACCTTCTCTTCGCCGATCATATGAGGCTATCAGATGGCTTAGACTGATCCAGAGATCTGTTCGGCTGCTTTTCCGAGATGATCAGCGTTGGCCCATATTGGACTAGAGCACAGCCACCTTGTCACGTTTTTGAAACCACCTCGAAATCATCGATGAACGGACTTCCTCTTTTGTCGTGCAAGATACTTATGTTTCGCAAGGATTTCACCGTACAACAGATTGCCCGATTTACTCTTGCCGACTCGAGTCCAGCGAACTTTCCACCATTTAGAAGAATGGGCCAACAAAGGGTAAAAGCACGTCTCTAAGCAACGAGTGATTGTCACATCAGGCACGCTATGCAAATCTGCTGTTCCTAGCGAATAAACAGTATATCTTGTGGAGCAACAAGCTTATTCCAACCGGCTGCTAAGTTCTGGAGTTCCTCGAGGTTAGCGGTGTATGGTCCATGCAGCCTTACCTACAGGGACCTAGCCAGTGCGGGAATCCTTTGGGGGCTGTACACACCACCTGGTCAACGGCCCGTCAGACGATACACTAACCATACACGCACGCGTCATGGCCTGCAAAGCCTCGTCCAGCTGCATGGAACATGTTCGTTACTCGGTTGTTTCGAAAACGCTGTAGGTCGCCGCGCACACTAGCGAACCGAGTACCACCGTCAAACATTACAGCTTGGCATACAGCTTGTTTGCCGTCTCTCCCTCCGGAAAATCCAGGGACCTGGCTTGCCAAGACGCTGGAACACTATTATGCTAGCTTTCCGCCCAAGATCGTCTCTTCACGATGTCTACATTGCTGATAGTCTTGCACTCTTTACTTGTACTAAGTCTTTCGGTCACTGTTACTCGATCAACAGGACTGAAGTCTATTGCGTTATCTCTAAGCAACTCTTACTTTTTCCCTCAATCTTGTCATCCTATCTACCGTCCATTGCAAGAGATCTCTGGTTAAATCCAGATATCCTTGAGTACGACATCTTTACCCGTTCCCGATCGTTATGGACAATTCCATTCGCCAACCTCGGAAGTGGTCTTTAGCGGAAGATCAGAAACTCCGCGAAGAAGTGGAGGCCCAACGTAAGTTACACCTGTTGCAGGAGACACAGCCCACGTCGTATTCTATGCTCCGCAGCTATGCAACAACCTCTGCATATTAGTCTTCTCCAAGCAAGCTAACTAAGCATCATCAGTTGTGGAAGGAGAAGTCAAGGATTGGTATGTTGTATCCATCCCACCCAAGTCTGGAACTAACAGGATCCGTAGGTGCAGGATCGCCGATAACCTACCCGGTCGAACGAACAAAGACTGTCGAAAACGGTGGCACAACTCGGTGGCAGGAGGCCTCAAGAAGGGGCAGTGGTCGAAGAGTGAGGATCAACTGCTTTCGAGAGGGGTGCAACAGTACGGCCAAAAGTATGGTTCAACAAATAGAAGTACATACTCGTACTGACTACTATCAACAGGTGGACAGTGGTCGCAAGCTGTGTCGGAAGTCGCAGCGCAGACCGTGGGTACTACAATGTATTACTACTTCGTCGCTGACCAATCCTCAGAGTGCGCAAAGCGGTGGCAGCAGTCACTCGATCCGGATCTTGATCGAAGCGAATGGCGCGACTTGGATGTCAGTGACAGCAATCTCGCAGACGATACCCTATTTTCCCTTGCTGACAAGAACTGCTTAGGACTCAGCACTTATCGACGCAGTCCAGCGACTAGGACGACACTGGAAAGACATCCAACGAGAACATTTCCCAGGAAGATCAAAGAATGATATCAAGAACAGGTTCGTTGTTCGATATTTCTTGTTAAACTATCTCCTAACGGTTTCAAGATATACGGTCCTCGTGCGAAGATACCAGAACCAGGGCATCACCCTTCCCAATGCCCCAAGTTCTCCATCCGACTCTGGTACACCGGCCCTGTCGAGCTATCCCGAGGACGATGACTACCTCTCCCCCAGCTCTCATATGTACGATACGTTCCTGTCAACACCCTCACACGGATCAAGTCGCCATTCCTGGTCAAGCTTCGACAACGATGCATACTCAACATGGTCATCTCCACAAACATACGCCACACCTACCGTTACAGCCGACCGAATCCCACACCATTCATCGGTGACTCCTTCTCAGTATCTATACACTCAGCCACCACTGGGCTCCAACATGCCTGCCACATGGGATCAAACGTCGCCCTACGCACATCACCCCTCACCATCACTGCACACCGGTGCACCCACGAGCCCATCAGTGTATGGCTACAGCCCATATTCGGTCGCCCAGCAACCAATAACGACCCACAACATTGCTTACACAGCCTCCACGGAGCGAGCAGCATATGCCACGATGCCGAATTACTCGCCACCTACTGCATCAGGTCAGCGGGTTTACGACCAAAGCGCATCGGCAATGTACCGTGACCCCAGACATCCACAACATCCTTACTATCAGTCGTGAGGCTGTGCAACATGTATGTTAAAGTGTGTAGCTTGGCAGTTACTTAATGGGTCAGATTTGGCAAGTACTTGATAGGTCGAGTTCTGAGAGTCTCGTCACACAGCTGCAATAAAGATAATTTTCCGCCCACAAAGCCCCGACCAATCTTTCGTTTCACCGAGTGTCAATTGCGTTTCAAACACCACCTTGCAAACCTTGATGCCAACTACTGCAGGTTCTCTAGACGCGAAAGGGCCTAACCACGTGACAAACCCGCAAGTGAAGACCCCTGATTGGCCGCCTAAGCCCAGCACAGCCTCAACCCCGAGTACAAGTCGGACGCCTCGCACCTCCATTGCGTTAAAGTTACCCAATCCAGTAAAGTGCGCATCTACGGAACAAAAAGAAGAACAAAAAGACAGGATCGGTTACCTAGTCGAGTCAAAATAGCATCGTCCCCACTATCACGAATCAGGGTTGTTTCGCGGCGGGCCACGCTGTTTCTTTTTCTCTGCCTTGAAGACAGCCTGAGCCGTTGCAGGCCAGCACGCGCATCAATGCACCGGTGATCACATACATGCTAGCTAGCGTCAGCTAATGTAGAGTGTCCTGATCCGCGCCCATGTCCGCTGCACGATGCACGATCTCGTTGCCTGGACCGCTGTTTTACCTGCCTCATCCGTTGCGCGACGCGTGTGACTTTTTCTCGTTTACACACGCGAGTCCCTGCAGCGTTTGTCACTTGCAGATGGCATCATGCCATTCTGCTTCGCTTGGGCGTTGTTTGTGTTGAAGGTTTTTTGTCACGATACCCCGTGCGCCTGGTGATGGCTGATGGCTTGCCGCATAGCGGTAGGTACCGTTAGCATGGAACCTTGAAGTTAACCACGTAGGTGGAACGGCGTCCCGTTCCTGTCGATCTGTGTCGTCAATGTACGCCATACATTGTTCTTCACATTGTCGGACCGGACTTTGGGTCTGCTTTCGGTTGGTTTGTTCCTTCGTTGCTGCCTTGAGTAGGCTTCGTCACCCTCGTGTTTTTGGCATGATTTTGCGGGAGGGAATACGCGTTCCTGCATAGAAGGAATGTATATTTGGGTATATGGACGCTTTGGGAGGGTGACATGATGTCAAACATATGATGTCAATTATCCGCTGGCACGTGGTAGGCTTGTATTCGGTATCGCCCGTCGAAATCTTCGCCGATGCTTGATTGGAAACTATGTGTTGGCGTGGGTGATTGGCATCGGCATGTATGCATGATGAGGTCGAAGTGGGCACTTTGAAGCTATGGACGCGCAAGGGAACTAGGTCCTACGCGGACGAGAAGACGTCTACCTCCGTCACTTGTCAAGGGCGATACCCGCGTTAGACGGATGTAGTCTCTACAGGTTGTCACTTGATACTGCGAGACCAATGCTCGCTGCTGTGACTATCTCTACCCTGACTCTTCAGAGAAGAGCATCTGACAGTGTTGTCAATCCGTTTATGATAATAATGATAACGGACCTACATTCACGTACACGATGTCCAGACCAAGTGAGCCAGGAGAGTCTCCACGTTCCGTCACTTCATCCCAGCACTGCATCAGAAACTCCACACCCCACACCCCACAAGCTCCGAAGCACAATCAGGCAGCTGGATTACTATGAATAGGTAGACTATGCGGCACGTTCCCCTAGATGCCCAAAACCCACGTACCGAGAGCTACATCACACTGTTACATTACATTACAATACGTGAAATGATACAGCGGGACCCAGGTGACCACGCTTTGGGGACTCCGCCTCGCTGTTTGCCTTACCAAGAGCCAGCGGGATAGTTGAGACGCGTGGCAGTTGTAGATTAAGCTTTTCGCTTAGCCGTAAGACGGTCCGCTTTGGACGGCCTGATGTGTTCTTCGGAGGGCCTAATGTGTGGACGTCTTCCGGCGGCAGAATGGGACGTGTTGAGATTAGCTTGGGTCATATGGGCGGAGGAAAGACTAGCGTGTTATCAAAGTAATGTTTCCCTGAAACATCATCAGAAGTGACTATGTAACTACAAGTCCTTTTTCAAACTAGCTCCTGACATCATATACATCATTCTCTTCTTCTCCTCTTCGTTGGGCTCTTCCCACCAGTTGTGGAAGTTGACAGGCTTGAAACCTCTGTCACGCCATTGCTGCACCTGCTCCGGACCGACTTGATGCCACGGCACGTCCATATCCTTCGAATCCGATCTTTGACGTAGCTCTCCACGGTGTGACCGATACCCCTGTCATCGTTTCACTTGGCCAAAAAGAACAAGTCGAACATCTTCTGCTACTCAGTCGCTCGACTGCTTTCTCTATGCCACCCACCATCTTGTTCTTGTTGCAGGCTTGTGGCTTTATCTCTGAACATTGTTTCTTTAAGCGAGGCGTTCAGACGTCCAGGAGGCTTCGAAGGCTTGGGTAAGTAGAAGCTTTCGCTGGCCCGATCTCTGATCTCTTGAGGCGCACTGATATCACCCCAGCGAGGACGGGCTCTACGGCCTAGTGTTGATCTCGGATCCTGTAGCTTGGAACGATCGTAGTCATATTACAGGTCCTGTGTCGTGAATCGGGGTCTCCGATGTTCTAGTTCTTCTTGTCTTGGTTGCCCTCCATTCTTTTCGGCCCGTACTGAAGTAGTTGTTCCATGTCTTTCACTCGTTCGGCGTCGCTTTGCAGATGCTTCATTCTTGCATCTCACTTTCCTCCTCTGACGGGCAGATTGTGTCGGGGACTCAGCGTTTTGCGCTCCAGACGCAGTGTCTCGCGGCTGCTTCTCGGGATCTTGACTGGCATCGCGTCCCGCATCAGCACTACTCCTTGCTTCGCCTCGCGTCCGTGGCATGGTCCAACATCTATTTATTAAGGATAGGACAGACAAGTAACGAATGCACTGATAAGACTTTGGGCACAGAGTTGTTCGAATGTTTTATTTTGACTTGACGCGTTGCGCGCCACAGCTTGATGTTAGGATGACGTCACGTGTTCACCCCTTCCACGCGAGCGATTGGTGAAATCGCAACTACATCGGAACGAATCCTTGGTCGACCCGAGGAACCTGACCGTGTCTCGGCCAAAGCGCACCATCTACTTGTATCATCCTCGACCCATGCGATGGAGGTCCAGAAAGCCTCCCATTCTGCCTCGTATCCAGACCACTAACCGGCATATTATCAGCGTTTCAAATATTACCCGTCGGATAGCACCCCTGAGTACAACACAACGCACTGAGCACCGAACGTGTGTGCATTACAAACTTACATGCATCGAGGATGATAATCAATCGAGGGAGGCTGGTCCAACGACCGTTAGCAGTCTCGTATACACCCCTCAAGCTCATGCACAATGAGCTTATATGCGCCTCCATGAGACCATCTTCGTGCTTCGCCACCGTTGGCACGCGTCTCTTGTCGCAATGCAGTAATACGGGAGGCATACCTCTTCTCTTTCTAGAATCCGTGCCGTAGGAGATTGACAAGGGTGTCCGCTGGAGCGGTGTCGTGCATATTACTTGCATGCTTTGACTGGGCAACAAAAACATGCCTTACAAGGCAGAACAGTGATGCGCAAATGACTTGTAAGGTTTTGGAGCCGTATCTATTGTTTCCGGCCATTGCAGTAGTCCTGGTGCTAGGTTCAGCAGAGATGCATGCACTACGATAGCGCGCCCGAACTGTAGCGTGAGCAAGTAAAGAGCTTGTCTTTTCTGTGGACCGGCTGGGTGGGTGGGTAGTTGGCAAAGGCGGGGTTTTCGGATATTGGCAAAATCTGCGAAGTCCCGACCCGCATACCCAAACAAAATTTTTCCATCTCGATCGAAACTTCATACCAAAGAACTCTGCAGTTGTAGAGCGGCTCAACAGTTTTACTTTTGCTTATATAATTATTATACATGATCACAGTTCCATCGAAAGCAACATCAGCCCGGCTAGCTCAATCGGTAGAGCGTGAGACTCTTAGTTATCACGTCCTAACAGACACGGTTGTATCAAATCTCAAGGTTGTGGGTTCGACCCCCACGTCGGGCTTTCCTTTTTGCCGTGCTGTCGTCCATCGTAGTCCCGAATAGGAGGTGTTGGAGGTGTTGCTGTGAAGGACATTTTTTGGACTTTCGCACTAACCGACCCACAACGACTACAAATCGCGATAAGAACACTACAGCAGCACGTGGGGCTGTTCCTTAAGTCGAGCTCTCAATCTAGAAGTTTTCGTCCAACAGAAGATCTAAAAGGAGGGGTTAACGTAATGGTGGTGGTGAAGGACATTTTTGGCCAGACACGCTAAATCATGCACGCCCACCAAAACCCCAAGATAACGGATCATCTAATGAGGCACTCTCCTAATTGTAGCACCTAAGAAACAACTCTTGCTCTTCTTCAACATGTACGTTATGAACCCCAGGCTCTTTTGGCGGTGGCTTACTTGCATCCTTACCTAGGTACACAACGCCCATCCAGTCATCCGGATCATAAGCCCACTCAATCTGACTGGCTTTCACATAGGCCTTAGGGAGATAAAAGTGTCAGTGTTTAGTGAAACATCGTGTCGAATTGACTAGGGAGATAACATTGTGATATGGCCGAGTCTCCCCAATCCGCAGATGTCCATGTCGTCGGTAAGCCTCTTAGTTCGCTCATGTACCCCACCCTTCACGAAGAGGGAAGCCTTGCACTGCCCCACGTAATTATCATTTGCATCAACATGGAGCGCAACTTGTTCCTTCTGGCCATATATTGTCAACCCTCACCCCATCGATGGCAGATCGCCGGACTTCATCGCCACCCGTCCTATTCCTCCATCACTGTGTTTCGCAGCTCGTCTTAGATGTTACTCTGAATACTAACGCAGCCTAGTGACACTCGATATGCCACTCGCGCAAAGGATTCGACAGCTGACCAGGTGAATAGTGATTCTGCTAAGATGCCACAAATGATGGTTATTCACTAACACCGGAGATATTAGCTACGGGCGCGATGTATTCACTGATTCGGTTGATGACAGAAGAAAGCTGAGAACCCAGCGCAAGCAGCACTGCTATACCACTTCAGACTTAATTCCTCCAGAAGGAGCCACTGAAGCGCACACAAGAACCACTACAATGCACACGCGAACATATCGATATCGACAACTCAAAGGATTACATTCAATAAGATTACTTCGTTTTCTGCCTGACTCCAACAGTGAAGACATACGCTGTACAATCGACGAGTACGATACAGAAGCAAAGCACATCCCTTATGCAGCACTTTCATACGTCTGGGGAGATGCTAGAGTCCGGCACGCCATCACGATAGATGGCAAAACTGCATACGTCACGTCCAATCTTAAAGAAGCTCTGGCACATCTAGCCGGCGAGTTCTCCGAATGGAGCTTTTGGATTGATGCTATCTGTATTGATCAAGATAACACAGAGGAGAAGATGTACCAAGTTGCCCAGATGAGAACTATCTACAGCAATGCAGATGGAGTAGTGATGTGGCTGGATCCGGGGAACGAGGAAATCGAGCGATTAAAATTGGTGATAGAGTCACACTACAAACACTGCCCCTTTCTCCATGAGTCGATCGAAAGCTGTAAGCTTTTCATAGATGCCGGTCTCGTCGCCGCGATGCAGCATCTCGTGCAACACCCGTACTGGTATCGAGTGTGGATTATCCAGGAAATTGTCGTTTCCAAGAGTACAATATTAATGTGTGGTACTACGATGCTGCACTGGCCTCATCTTTCGCAATTTCTTGGACTAGTACACTTCGGCCACTTCACACTCCCGCACCGGCTGAGAGTTAAACAAGATGGCCCCGGGGGTCAGACTTTTCATATCCATCGTTTGTACTCCATGTCTCGAACTTCCCTGGACTTGGCCAATGCCTTGGTATTCTCCTTCTCGAGCTTTGCGACCGACAGTCGCGATGAAATCTATGCACTTCTCGGTTTACTGAACACAGGGGCTGGTCGTCTTATCTCGCCCGACTACACACTTTCGCCATGCAACGTCTACTGTCTTGCCATTCGCGCCATGTTGGTGGATTGCCATTTCGAAAGTTTCGCGTTTGAGTGGCATGGGAGAATCGACAGCATACCTTTGGCATGCTTAGACGACACTTTTCGGCGCGAGCGAGCACCAGGAGGTAAGAAAGCAGGGCGATTGCGGCGGTCATCGAACCGTTTCCCGTTCAAAGGGTTCAGAAGTCCAGTCAAAAAGAAAGTCCCCACAGATACAGGATGCAATGGGATCGAGTGTGGGACCCGATTCAATATGCGGCACGTTGCAATGTGGCACAATTATCCCGAACTCACACCATCGACTCCGATAATCAGCCAACCACCGGTGGACTTGCCCTCTCCATCGGGCATAATGGATACCGTTAGGATCGCACATTGGCACAAATTCTTCACAGAGTACAACACGACCTCGCTTATCAAACAGTGTGATGATATCGAAACCAAGAGACCTTTTTACAACGGGACCGCTAAGCACATGGTGCTTGCTGGACTGTACCTGGGCCTTCATCCAGTTCAAACTTAGTTCGACCAATCCATTACTCGGAAGCTATACCGTTGCCATTGGGTACAGACTTTCCTCCCACGACCGCATCATCCAACCCTGCTACTCTCAAGTCAATCACAAATACCCTCTCCAACCCATCCACTCAACACCCTTCTTAAACACCACCCCAACAACCCACGACTCACCCACACTCAAAGCCCCCACTACAACCGCCGATGCCACCGCCCCCATACTTTCCCAGCCTTTCTTTCCAAACCAACACTGCAAATCGAGGACCACTGGCCCATGAACCAAAAAAGCTGCATAACTGTACTTCGCCACATCCACGGCTCCAACCATCCAGCGCTTGCTCAGGAACGCCAAACGCGGATTATAGAAAGCTTTCAAAAGAAGCGAAGCGAGAGATAAGCCAGCGAACTCGTTGAAGAAAGCGTAGAGGAACGCGAGTAGGTTGGGGCCGCCGAAAATGAGGGGGACGATCTCGGAGAAAGACAAGCCGGTATCGAGTAGGGACTTGATGTGAAAGAAGCTAAGAGAGGCGATAAAAGCAGTTATAGTACCGACTATCCGTAACGTGGAAGAAGAGATGGCGTTTTGAAGTGAACGACCGGAGCGGTGGATGTAGATGCCGGCGGTGTAGTAAGTAACGTATTGGGATACATACGCCAGCTGGAGGAACAAGGGCCAGAATGCTCGGCCTACTGGGTAGTGGAGTCGGATAAAAAAGGATGAAGTCGAGATCAAGGTCAGAGTAGCTAGAACGTGGGTTGTGCGGAAGGACTGTGGTTCCTCCGCGGGGTTGACCACGCTCGTCGTAGATCGCGTCACCACCGACGACGCGCTGGTCTTGACCTCGCTAGAGACGGAGCCCGAGACCACTTTCTCGCTCGCCGTCAGCGACTCCGTATGGTTAAAATACCCCGGTAGCACACCAGCAAACACCGCATCAAAAGCTAAAAGCGTAGCACAATACCAAACCGGCCCCCCAACCCCCCTCACACTCTTGATGCCCTCCCAAACCTCCCTCCCCACAACCTCCCATTCCTCGCCCCTCAACCTCCCCGCCAAAACCCCCCTCAACAGTCCCCCTCTCACCAAACAAAACACCATCGTCGGCACACCCAGCCTCCTCCACTTCTCACGCACAAACTGTAATCTAGTTTTCTTCTTCGCGGCGATAGAGGAGAAGTACGCGGAGACGAGGAAGAAAGAGCCCATGAAAAACGTTTGGTTTGTGACGTTGAAGAGGACGAGAGCAGGGGAGCTATTGGGGTAGTAGCGAGGGGAGGTGTAGGACCAGGAGCCTGCGCCACCGTAGGGGACAGAGGCGTGGTGCAGGATTACGAGGGCTGTTAGGCTCGTGCGGAGGTTGTCTAGGGTGTGGGTGCGTGGACTGGCCATTTTGCTTCGATATTATGCTGAATTGAGAGGTAGTTTGGTATTAGAAGAAGTCATTTAAGAAGGTGATTGCTATCTCTCTTTATCTTGCTTCATTCCATATATGTGGCCATCATTTTGGTGATGGATGTAAGCAGCGGAGTATACACGCGTGAAGAAAAGTGGGGCTGGTGCCTGGTCGTGTAAGACGGAATAAACGAGACGGAATGATCATGGCACGGAGTGATGATAGGCCACCGCCCCAACGCTATCTTGTGTTTTCTTATCCTTCTACTATCAAGCGAAGTAGCTATTCATCTCCATTGCGACTACCAGCCGTTCCATTTGGTTCTCTTCTGCGGTGCCTCTCCCTTTGCCATAGCCTTGTTTGCCCGTCAGGCCTCGGCACACACTCAAGAACACCCGTATTTTTCCTCTGAGCTTCGCGTAAAGACCTTTTACACTTTCTTCACTCTGTTGCGTGTTCGCATTCTGCATCTTGGCGAAGAGAAGGATGTGGTCGAAGATATCTTCTACAAGCGCCATGATCTTTCGCTGTCGCTTCCGGAGCAAAAGCGCAAACAGGATGCTGTCTAGACATCTCTCGTGCGAATCGCGCAGAGATGCAACGCCTTCCGTGACACGCACTCCGAGTTCGCCCGCCGCGTCTTCCTCGTTTAGCCTCGTCTCGACCGTCCGGACCAAGGTGTCAAAGTCGTCCCACGGCTCTGCAATGCCGGTCTGGAAGACGTAGTTGGTGAGCGTTATCACGAAGTGATATGCCTCGGTCCTGAAGTAGCGAGCGTTGCTATCTGCATACTCGCGTGGCAGATGTGATACGACGAACAGCATGCGCAGAAGCCGCAGCAAGAATTTAAAGATGTAGTCGTACTTGTCCAGAGAGGTACTAGTAATCACTAGATTTAGCGGGGCTGGCGCGACGTATTGCAACCGCAGGAAATCGAGGGCATGCAACGCATCAGGGTCCATGACCTTCTCTTGTTCCGCCTCGGTGAGGTTGCGGATAGCAAAGTTGAGCTGTCCAGGAAGCTCATCGTTGTCTCTGTTGTTAAGAAGCGCGGTAGGTACAGCTACAACTTCATCGCCTTGTGTTGACTGGTAAAGCGTCGACGAATAGTAGCTCTCACTGAGAACGCCTCGCAGTGCCAATCGAAGCTCCGAACTCGCTGGCGGCCATGACGTCCGAGACCCTAGTTGCAAACCCATATGTACTCCGCTACGCATCCTTCCTTTGTGCCGCTCGGCACTCTCGCGGTCGGGGTCGAATAGGGCGGTTGCTAGTAGAGATGAGAAGACACCGTCACCCAGAAGTTGATACTGCCGCTGTAGAGACAGGTGAAGGCGCAGCTGATGAGAACGAAAGAACAAACGGATCGTGGCTGCGTTGACCAGTTTCGCTTGTGCGGTGATAAGTGGGCGAAACGACAGAGTAGATGCTAGAGACATTGGTGGCGAGAACGTATTGGAGACGGCCTCGCCATCTTCACTTGTTCTCTCCAGTGTCCTCTCTATGAGGAGCTGCAGCTCATCTGGTAGCGTTTGCGATGACCATTTCGGTGTGTCATCCATGCGCCGGATAGAGTCTTCAAAGTATCGATCCAGGTCCTCAGGGTTTGTCGGGACCTCAGTCGCAAAACCTGGTGCTGATTGAGTAGAGAGAGCGGCTGTCTCGTCATGTGATCCTGTGCTGAAAGCGAGTAGAGCTTGTCTAAGCCTCTCTTCGTATGCTTTTGCTTTTGACGCTAGTATCTCGATATCTTGCCATTGGAAGCCCCAGTCCATGTCCGGGGGCTGCACTGCCAACCCATCAAGGCGAGCCAGCGGATGATAAGGGTGCTGCAACTTCAAGAAGCGAAGACTGTGACCTGTCTCGAATATCGTGTTGCCGTCTTCTGGGGAAATGAACCTTGGCATCATTTCGGACCTGTAGGCGTAATCCAGTGTGAGTGTATCGCCAGTGGGGTCTTCAACGGTTACAAAGCTGTTGCGTTGCCAGACAGGCACAGACACTTGCTCTTTCCTTATGCCCATCCATTCACCGAGAAGCTCCAAGCTCGGTCTGGATACCTGGCTAAGCACCTGACATGATAACTGGCGAAGCTGTTCATCTCCCTCCTCCAGCTCAAGCAGGCGGTGGTGTAGTATGGATGACAGTTGCTCGTTGGTTTTGGCGTGCTTGACGGCATCGGCCATACGAGCGACGTGGACGAGGATATTACGAGGCTTGGCGAATTGGTGCTGAAGCTGAATGAGCGAGCGGATCTTGGTGGATTGCTTTCCCAGGGTGGCTTCCAGGCTTGAAAGAACGCTTGTGATTGATGTGGCCAAGGCAACCCTTGCAGGGATAGACGCAGCCGAGGCGAAGGTGCGCTCTGCGAAAGAGCGAAGGTAGAGGAACGTATTGCCAATGAATGTAAAGTGCGTGATCAAGCTCTGCGCTGCCTGTAGGCTCAGTCCCGAAGCTCGTCCATCCGGTATGGCGGGCTGGAACGTCTTCAGCTTTGGATTGAACTGGAAAAGTATAGAGGATCGGCCTAGGCCGAGGTTCCAGAGCGATTGTAAGAGCATATCTCCCTTCAGTACGCGACCGGCAGTCTTGCCCTCATCGCGTATCAAGGTCGCATCGAAGATCTTGGGGCCCTGCTCCGTTATATATGGTGTTCGAATTTCGACGTGCCTTCCCTTCTCGAATGACTCCCAAGTATAGAACAGGACATCTTTATTCGCAGGTCCTAGGTCAAGGGCTATCTTCCAGACGTCTTCTTCAGGCTCTAAGGGCGGTGTCTCGATGGGGATGCTGGAGTCGTCGAAACTGTCGAGCTCGGGCAGGGGTCCGAATTCGAACGTGTCCAGATCGGGCAGTCGCAATTCACGTTGGAGGTCATGTTTGGGCGCGTAAGGATGGTCGAATTTGATTGAAGAGACTGTGGCTGGTCAGCAACGCGTTCACATGCTCGGTGGAAAAGACGCGACGACCCACTGTCTAGCTCGAGGGGAGCGAAGAGCGACGACTCTTGAGAGTCATCGTCGAAAAAGGAAGGCTGCCTCCACAAGTGCTCGGTGCTGAAGACGTCGTGAATCGAATCACGCGCGTCCATGGCGGCGGATGTGGAGTAGTGGACGGTGAGGGGTATGACGCGCCATGGTTTTGGCGATTCAGCCCTACGCGGACCCTTGCGCCTTCCGTCACTGTACCTGCAGCTCGCGACTTCGCGTTTCTTCACTCACTCACTTCCCTTCCCTCCCCTCCCACCACCAAACATCCACAACATGCCGCCCCGGAAGAAGGCAAAGGCGAGTGCAGCTTCAACGCCTCTGCGCGACACTCAGCCCCAAACACCCCAAGATTCTGGCGTTGTGCAGTCGCAAGATGAGCTGCTCAGCGACCCGTGGGCCGACGAGCAGGAGACACAGCTTCTGAAAAGCATGATGAAGTGGAAGCCGACGGGTACGAAATAGTGAAATCTCTTGTTGAATGCGTCATTGACATTCTCAGGCATGCACAAGCACTTTCGCATGATTTCCATCCATACCGACATGCGCTCGCACGGCTTCGCTAGTGACGACGCTCCTCACACGCGCATTCCCGGTGTCTGGAAGAAGCTGTCGCAGCTATACGATCTGGACGCCCTCGATACGCGCGAGAACGAGTTCGCTTTCTCCGAAGACCCCGACCCGCTAGACCCCGACGACGCCAACCACATGCCCGAATTCGAGCTGCCAGAAGACGACTATGGCAAGCTCATGTGGGACCAGCGCTTCCATCGTGAATCTTCTGCCGCCGACTCATCGCCACCTATGACGCCTATCCAAAAATACAAAGACCTCTATGCGCCAGGCATCGGCCTGCTAAAAGACCTCCCAGATGGCGTGCACTCGCAAAAGGCTGAGAGTGTGACTGAAGCTACACCCGTACCTAAGAACGCAAAGAACACAAGGACTGGAAAAGCTACAAAGGGCGGAAAGAATACCAAGGCTGGAGCCAATGCTGCAAAGAACAGTAAGGCCCAGAGCACCGTATCTGAATCCGCAGAAGAAGAGGATGAAGATGATGACGATGAGGAATCTAGTCCCGAGTCCGAAGAAGACAGTGCGCCGACCACTCGCAGAACGAATCGCGCGAAACCAAAGCCAGCGCCAAAGAGAACAAGAAAAAGGTAGACAACTGCAATGTGGGCTTGGGCAAGGCGTTTGGATTTATTGATACCCGGGTTCCGTGTGTTCTGTCGCAACAACACTTGAGCACGTGGAAGAGAAGCGTTTGATCGTTCTCGAATACACGTGTCATTCGTACCGCCTCAGGTGATTGGTCGATCACATCTCACAGCATTGGGCGTTTGCACATTCACATCGATACCTTCTCCGCAGGCGTGTTACCTCTCCGTGATGTATGCACCGTTTGCATGGTCACGGGCAATAGTTGAAGAACGCACAAGCCTTACTATAAGATCCTGCACTCTTCCTCTCCTCGTCTTCTCAATTGACAGAACAGGATTCTACTACGGCCGACCATGGAGAAGTTGCCACAGGAAATACTCGACGATGTCTTCATTTACATCTTTGATACAGAGCAACTCACGACTGAGCGTTTTGACAACGTTTCGAAAACCTCCTTCCATATAGTACTTAATTGCCGGCTCGTCGCACGCCGCTGGTTCGATTCAGAGACTTTGATCCGCGTCTTTGTTGGTGTACTTTCCCTGACACCTTTCGTGTGGTACAACCATCGCCTGCCAGCACTTGAAGAGATAAGTGAGATCCCAAAGTACTCTCGTGGTTTCACTCGAGCGATCACAATCTGCGGTATGGACCTGGGTCTCGTTACCCTTAAAAACCATGACCGCTGGGGTCCTGGTCGCGATGAGCTCGACAAGGAGGACTCTGTCACACATTATCTTGTGCACCTGCTACGCCAGTTTAGCTGGATAGAGCACTTTCGATACTACCCAATCCACCCAAATTGCCTCGATGGCACCTGGCCCAATTAGGAAGTAACGGAGTCAGACCGCACTTCGCTTGAGATGTGCTTCCAAGGAGGACCAGAACGCTTCAGCTATGGATATCCAGCACTCACTGAAGGCGAATACTCTTGGGAGGGTGTTCAGAAGGAGAGCTAGTGGATTTTCCCTAAGGTGAGGGAAAAACTGTACGAACTGCATGTGAGACATACATTGACTTTGTGTTCTTGCATTTGCGGATCATGGAAGCATTCGAGGAGTCCCATGTCCGGTTACATTCTTTCGAGAGTCCACTGCTCGGTAATAGGGCGTCGCACTGCGCGATCACATTTGGTACTGCCCTTCCCGCAACTCTCGAGAATCCATATTTCGGGCGCGATCTCTTCAGGTGGTTTCCCAGATATTTAAAGCGTGTCGCTATCACCATTACCCAGCACATCAGCAGGCCCTTGTTAATATCCGACGGTCTTGAAGAGCTAGAAAACCTTGAGTACCTGGGAATTACGCTATCAATGAGTCCACCGCATTTTAGCCGATGGAGAGGTCCTTTCGATGCACCGTTCCGGCTAAGCTACTCCTGGCCTGAATATGCGCCATACCAACTAGAGAAGCTGAAAGAGTTCCGCTTGATGGCAGACCAGCAGCATTCGTTCGATGAGCACGACATTATTCGTTCTATGAGAATCTTTCCGAATGTTAAGAAGCTTGCATTCGCACACATTCTACTAGATGAAGCTGGAAATTGGAGCATTCTGCTACAGCAGCTAACGGCCCTCAATCTCGAAGAGCTATGTTTGCTTGACCCTCGAAACCTAGTCTGCGATTATCCCCAACGTCGAATCCGCCATCTTCATGGTGTTCATGCACCCCTATCTCAAATTGCCGTTGCCTACACTCCCGGGAACTCAGAATACCGACTACCGCATGGTCAAGTACGTCGATGACGGTCATCTGTTGCTGGCAGCGCAAAAGATTCGCCTGATCGATACATACTCATTATGGACTGCCAAGGCTCACCCTGGGCTGAGCAGAACTTTCGATTATCCTGGCTTTGCCATCTTCGAAAAAGGCGGAGATGATGGTTGATCTGGCGTCATCACTTGCAGTGTATACGAAAGGATCCGGTTTTGCGGAGATGCATCCATACCACGAAGAAGTACGTTTCTTTCGAGTAGCACTCATTCTGGAGGGGCGCCCTGGAAGGGTCTGACATATTATCCTTTTCACATTGACAATTCGGTGTTGCAAGGTTGCAACCAAGAGCATCTTCATGGCATCTTCCATCTATGTAGTTCCAGGGGACTGGATAACTATGTAGCCTGTTAATACACTGCGATGACTTTCACTCTTATCAATACCAGTTATGTTCATTTTTCGCCAGACTCATTATAAAAGTGATAGAATCGCCGGTCGCTTTGAAGACATCGTAGTATCACCAATAGCAGCTAACCTCGCCGCCGCCGTCCCCGCTCTCCTTCCAAAGACCGCCCCAGACGTCAAGCCGCTACCTCCAGGATAATTGCCATAGAACAAACCACCCAGCATCTCGCCAACACAAAACAGCCCTGTGACCTCTTTTCCAGAGTTCGATACTACCGCCGTAGTTTCCGGGTTGACAGCCAAACCTCCGAATGTGAAAGTAACGCCGCAGCATACTTTGACAGCCATAAACGGGCCTTTATCAAGCGGTAACGCCCAATTCGACTTCGCCAGCTCCAGCTTCTTCTTGGATGACTGCGTGGTAAGACCATCCTTTACCGCCGGGTCCCACTTCCTCTTCGGATTCTCGTTCTGCGCCGCATAAACCGCCTCATTGTACTCCTTTATCGTCTTTACAAACCTTTCCGGCTCATTCAACCCCCCCTGCCTCGCCAGCTTCCCCGCCAACTCCTCAAGTGTATCCCCCCAAACCTTCCTCACCCTCTCATCCCTATACTCCTCCTCCCTCAACCACCCCACAACCCTCTGGTCCCAAACCTGCCACGCCACCCCATCCGGCTGCCCATGTATCGCTCTCCCAAACTTCGCATACGTATAGTTCCGCATGTCGATTCCCTCATCTACAAACCTTCTTCCGTCTGTATTAACCATAATGCCAAGCGGATACCCCGACTTAGTAAACTCGTTCGAAACAACGCGATCGCCGCTGTTAGCAGGCGCATTAGCATCCCAACACGTAGAATGGCACCCCGACCAATTCCCCGCTTGCTTCGCATCTACATCGCGGATAGCGTACTCGAGGACTTCGCCTGTGTTGAAAGGCGTGCCGCGGACACGGGCGAGATCCCAGGACGGACCGAGGTATTGGGCGCGCATGCGTGGGTTAGCTTCGAAGCCTCCTGCGGCGAGAATGACGGTTTTGGTGGGTATGTGGGTGGCGGTGCCTTTGTGGTCTACGACAACGCCGGTGATGGCGCCAGAGGGAGATGTTACGATGCGTTTGGCGGGCGTGGAGTAATATACTTCGATTCCGTGTCTCTGGGCGCAGGCTTGGTGGTCTTGGATGAGACCTTTTCCTCCGTCTTGCGTCTTGAGTGCCATGCCGCCCCAGAACTTGTAGCGGCCGTTTACTTTGTAGGCTTGGCGGTTGAAGGAGAGTTGGTATCGGATGCCGTTCTTTGCGAGCCATTTTATGGCTTGGTTGGATTCTGAGATGAGCGCTTTGCTTAGGTCGGGATCTGAACGACCTAAACATACTCGATCCATGTCTTTCTGGAAATCGTCTTTGGTGTATGGTTCCATGTCTATGAGTTTCGCTGTTTCGGCATCGACGTTGTTGACGATGGATAAGAGGTCGCTGGTACCGTTGTGCACGGTACGAAAGGCGCCTGCTGTGAAGTAGCTGTTACCTCCGGCCCATCCTTCAGGTGCCTTGTCGATGAGGACGACGCGGCGTGCTCCTTCTTCTGAAGCGGCTGTTGCAGCGGAGAAGCCCGCATTCCCTCCGCCTATTACTAGGACGTCGATGGTAGGGAATGAGGTCAGTTGTCTCATGGTTGCGGGCGTTAGGAAAACGTGACTGTACGGCTACCAGTAAACGTCTGAATAAGGCTTGATACTGCATGGGATATGAGAAAGCTCATAAATGTTGCCCACGGAACATCTAGGTGGCGCGGGATGGCTACGCAGCCAACGAGCGCGGCCCGCGTGTTTAGTCGTCGCGAGCCGCCATAGGACGGAAATATGGCCGAACAGCAGCGCTCTATCTCCGAAGAGGTTACTTGCACGCATGTATATTGTATCTCGAAGTGTAGGTCGCACATCACGCAGCATGCTAATGCTGCCTTTCGAACATCAGGTGTCGTGGCATGGAGCTGTTCGCCCTTGGCCCTGGCGGTATGACTCGCGGCAAGCTATTCAATGCCTCCTCAACTTCCAGCTCAGACAGAGGTTTAACATTGCAGCCGCTGTTGGCGAAAGTAATGCAGCGGGCAGGAACTGCATAGGACTCAACAGTCATAATGTTCTTCCCCGTATCTTTAGCTGCGCACGCCCCATATCCCCGCCGCTTCTATCCGTCAGCCACTTTGATTGGTCAATCGCTCCGCGCCGACGCTTTGTTACATACGCCCTGCGGTCCCAGATTCATTCGCCAAGCGATATCAGGGAAACAGTCACAACAGCATTGAGTCACATCTCCTATGTATATATAACTATACATACCTGGTGCGACTTTTGATGATACAAACAACTTTGTCCGAACAGCTTGAGTCATGACGTCAAGCTTGAACAACGCCGCCTTGGAGGTCAAGACGAACGGTGGCATCAAGTTCGGAAAAGAGCTAAGGGAGAAAGAGTTCATTTTCGCGAATGGGTTTCTGAACTTGAACCATGGTATGTGTATACACTCTTTTCACAGTCCACGAGCAAATAGCATCGCCCTGTAGTGTCATGGACATGTTTGCTCATATATCTTTGGCGAGATATGTTGTCTAGGCGAAGGCTAACCAGACTCAGGCTCCTTTGGAACCATTCCTCGTACGGTTCGCGACACCATGCGTGCTTTCCAAGATGAATGCGAAGGTCGCCCAGACCCTTTCATCAGATATAAATACCCTGTTGTTCTCGATGAGGCTCGGAAAGCCATGGCAAAGGTACGTTACTCGTCTTGATACCACTGGGCAGTACCGGACTTCTATGCCATATACAACTACCTATGAAGCCTTCAAATACTGCAAGCTCATTCTTCAATTGCTCTTACTAACAATGCTATAGCTGCTCAACACACCTTCCTCAACCCTGGTATTCGTACCCAACGCCAGCACCGGCGTGAACACTGTTCTTCGCAACATTGTCTTCGAACCTGGCGAGCATATCCTCATCTTCAGCACCATTTACGGAGCTTGCGAGAAGACTGTTTCATACATCACCGAGACCACTCCCGCGAGGAGTGTCAAGATTGCGTACACTTATCCCGTAGAAGATGACTGGCTACTGACCGAGTTTGAGAAGAAGGTGAAAGAGGTAGAGAGCAAAGGTGGGAAAGTGAGAATCGCAGTCTTCGATACCGTGGTCAGCGCGCCTGGCGTCAGGATGCCGTTCGAGCGTTTGACGCAGAAGTGCAAAGAGCTTGGCGTCATGAGCTGCATCGACGGGGCCCACGGGGTTGGCCACTTGGAAATCGACTTGGGGGCATTGGACCCAGATTTCTTCGTGAGCAACTGCCACAAGTCAGTCCTGTCTCTCGTCATTGCACATCCGCGTATACTAACCCTGCGCAGATGGCTCCACGTCCCTCGCGGCTGCGCAATCTTCCACGTCGCCCAGCGAAACCAGGACATCATACGCAGCACGCTCCCCACATCCCATGGCTTCACACCCATGGGCGAAAAGGTCGATTCGCCTTTACCAAAATCGGCGTTCGTCAGTCCGGATAAATCGCCCTTTGTTAGCAACTTCGAGTTCGTGGGTACCATCGACAACAGTCCCTACTTGTGCGTACCCGCAGCCTTGAAGTGGCGCGAAACTCTTGGAGGCGAGACTGTCATCATGGACTACTGCCAAACGCTCGCTCGTGAAGCCGGTAAACACGTCGCCAGCATTCTTGGCACTGAAGTCATGGAAAACAGCACTGGCACGCTGGGACAGTGTTGTTTGTCCAATGTTCGCCTGCCGATATCGCCGTCCTTGGCCCAAGACATCGCGACTAAGAACGGCATCGACATGGAAGAAGTCGGGAACATGGTCAGGGACTTCATGGAGAGGCTCAGTTGTGAGGAGTATGGTACCTTCATTATGATGAAGTGGTATGCGGGTGTTTGGTGGACGAGGTTGAGCGGGCAGGTGTACTTGGAGATGGCGGACTTTGAATGGGCTGCTAAGACGCTGAAGGAGATATGTGAGCGGGTGGAGAAGGGCGAGTGGGCTGTGCCGAAGGGGAAGCTCTGAGCTGTGATCTAGATCCTCGCGATTGAAAAGACACATGATGTTGATGGAAAAGTTGCATTAGCAGTGCACATCGTTCATTCGTATCCAGTGTACACTCAATAGCCATGGCCCCCATGCACAACCCCGAGGCGACTCCCAAGATCATCCCTGTTTATACTACCTCTCGTTCTGTATCTTGCAAATGATGTCGGCACGGACCATTAGATCCAAGGTATCGTATAACAGTCTGTCACCTAGACGTATCGCGATTTCTCACGGCACTTGTCGAACACGCCACCGCAGTCCTTGCACTATCCATCAAGTCAGCCCAGCTCATGACACCAAAGTTACAGTATCACATAAAGACGCACCTCATGGCCCTGGTAACGGTACACTTGGCACACATGCTCAACGCAGGTCTGTTTGCAACCGGTCTGTCCCTCGGTATGGCCGTTCTACAACCTCGTCAGTTTAAATCGCAAAGTAACTTCTAACATGCCCTGTCGCTTACCTTAAGGCAGAAGTTGTACCGATCCAAGCAGAAGTCGCAGTTTGCGTCGCGAGCTACGAGCGTGGTGCTGTCGTCTGCGGGAGTTGCGGCTGAGACAATGGTGGCGGCAAGCACGAAGAGGATAGCGAAGGTCCTCATGTCTGGGTCTTTGGTAGTATACTGTGAGTTTCCAAGGAGTCGAAATGGTTGTAGGTCGAGGGTGGGATTGTTGACGTTGAAGATGAGGGGGTGATGGAGATATTGTTGAGTGAGTGTGAGGTGTGACAAGAAGAATGCTGTCGCGCGGGCTGCTAAAGAGTGTAAAGTATGTGCGAAGAGCGATTGCTGCGCTTGATCGGTGGGTGTCAGTAGTTGGAGAGTTGAATGATCAGTCGTTGGCCCGGTGAAGGCGCTTTGCACTGGACCCGAGTGGTGGCGCGTGGCAACGATGCAAACGGTACTGTTGTGACCTCGACGATGTCCGCTTCAATGTCGAGGCTTTCTTGTGTATAAAGACAATCTTTGAATGCGAAGCAGAGACGCCTGCGATGATCATCCGCATGTAGAACAGCGCGCCCTAGCAATTGAACTCGGGGCTTCGTGAATGAATGTCGGCGTGGCGGCCAAGGCTAAGATACAGCCAAATCACTGCAGCAAATCAGTCTGAATCTAGCTCCACTATGATTTTACAACGGGAACATGCTCGCCTCCGCCGAGGCTCGTGTCGTAAGGCGCTTGCAGTCTTGTCAAAAGCCACTGAGAAACCGATCCACTCACCTCTCAAAACGAACTGGGACCTACCCAAACCGGAATACAACTCGATTAGGCCGGGTTGCAAGACCGCGAGACAAAAGAAAGAGGCGATCAAGCCAGCGTCGACTAGAGGCAGTGTCTACTGATCTAGACGGGAGCGCGTGTGTACCGTGTACGACCCAACTAACGGTTACGACCGTGAACTAGACGATAATTGGAGTGAAACTCATGACGGGATACGGGTAACGCGGAAGCCAAAAAAGAATTGCGACAATACTGAATTTTCCATTGTTTTACTTGCTTGAATGTGCTTTTCTATCGCGCTGCTGAGAACATGTAGGGACTCATCGCCGGGATGCTGCTGGGAAGATGGTGCGAGGAGCTAGCTCCATCGCCACCAGAATTATGTACAAGGTGTAAAAGGGAAGGGGTATAGCAGCGAACGTAATCTTCATAGTAGCCTAAATTTCCGATACTAGCTCTTAGAAATAGCGAAGCAATGAACAGAGACACCAAGTCGAATATTAGATGGTGCGGACGCCACGTGCCAACTCAGCGCGTACACGCCTCCTGTATTGGTCACGGTATTGGATGCGACCGTATGTTCCGAATCCAACGGCAAGGAAGAAGAAGAGCGCCCATACTGATGTGACGACCAGACCGATTGGGAAGAAAGCCAAGGCAGTTCCGGGGATGATGAATGGCGCGGCCGATGAGACGGCAGCGGATGCGGATGCTGCTGCTTGGGGGTCTGCGTTGGTGGGAGCGTTGCCTGCTTTGGAGAAGATGCCGTTGACGAATGATGCCTCTTGGGAAGAGAGTGTAGTCTCGACGTCCTGGCCGGTAGCAGGGTTTCGCGCAGCGAGGTCGATTTGTGGGATGAGAAGGGGCTGGAGGGATTCTCTGCAAGTATGTTAGAAACAGAAGTATGAAATATGAAGACGGATACATACTGGGTCATGGCTGAGCCCATCAGGTTCTCATTGATCCTTCCAACATACATGAGGACCTTGAGTTCCGTCATGGTGTTGATGTCCTGTCTCTCCACCAGCATACCCTCACTGACTGGCCAGCTGAGATCCCGCTTGGTGAAGTTGCCTTGCATGTTCTGCACAGTCGCACCGAGGTACGAAAGTGTCATGCTGACATCGGCCGCGGTGACGCCAACCCATGGGTTGATGGGAGCTGATACATTATACATTCGGAGCTCCGCCTGGAAGACACCCGTCTTGTTGTCAAGGAAAGGTAAGTTGTAGCACACGGCGATTCCACTCGGGTTCGACGCTTGGCCGTTAAGGTTGCTGAGCGTGCTCATACATGCTTCCTTTGTCTGTTGCTCCCACTTCGCTTGATCGACACCCGACGCATCACCAGTCGCGGGTGTCAGCGATGCTAGTGGTGCTGTATCGGCAGAGTTGGCATCTTGTCTTTGAGTAAGGGTTGCCATGAGCTCTGCGTCCCTCCGAAGTACCTCCTCCACGTCCTGGCCCGGCTCGAGAAGCGCGTTCACTTGGGGACCCTTGAAGGCAGTTGCGTGTCCAGCAGCAAGCAGAGTGCCTACAAAAGCGCTCTTGAAAAACATGGTCGAGGTAGTATTAGTCGACGCCGGAAAATTAAAGTCGGTAGTGCGAAGGTGGCCGGGCTGCCCAGCAGCTTACGAGAAAGAAAGTGGCGAGCGAAGAAAGAACGACGAAGCAAAAGCTAATCACTGCAGAAAAGAAACGGGCATTAGAAGTGTCATTAGCAAAAGCGAATTAGAAAAGTCGAACACGCGAGCATGAAGAAACGCGGTGTGCGAATCACGGCAGTAGGTGGATCGGACGAGAACGGCTCGCAAATGGCGTGACTCAGGTCGGGCACCAGACTCGAAAAGCAGCACCAAGACTGGCTTGAGGCTCCATAACAGAGTTGAGACGGGCTCTGCTTGAGGCTGTGACGGGTGGCACAAGGCATTTCTATGCGTTGATCCCGAGGCGACTAAGAAGAAGCTTAATTTAGCATAGTAGAGCCGCATTTGGTGGGAGCCAACCAAGCTGTGGCCTGGAGATCGAACCGTTCGGGAGTGGGGACGCACTGGGCATGACGATGCTGAGCCCCTTGAGACAATTGGTGTTGAGGTCTGGAGTCGGGGAACGATGCTAAAACTAGGGGCGCTTCAGGTGTGCGCTAGCAGGGCACGTGATGATATCCTCCGAGCCAATAGCATGCTCTTGTGCCGCTTTTCCCGGCTTTTCGGTTTCACCCTTGAGCCGTGCAGAAGCCGATGTCCTGAGTTTCCCATCGCTCCAGCCTCCGCCGCGCCATCTGTGCATCGCAGAATCTCCTGCGGTGTGGCTTCCGGCGCGTGCTTCCTCAGAAACGGGCGATGTTGACACGGGTAGCGGCCGCTGTCATCTGAGACCTGCAACACTCGCGCTGGTACAGGCGGGTCGCCGGGGCGCAACACCTGGACAACTGTACAACATCGACCGCATCTTCAATACCGCCCAACGGACCCAGCCGCCTCGCTGCTGTCGAAGCACGTCACTCCCGAAGCCACACGGACATTAGTTGTTCCCGGTGCGTGTGCCGAGAAGAGACGGTGAGCTGTGAAACCTCGTGTCCCAACCTCCACCCGGCCAATACCCGAACGCGCATATCCGCGGTATCTACCTTTATGCCAATAGTTGTTCACTGTGTATCAAAGCACACAGGTCCTGCGTCCTGCTTCCGTTGCTCGTCGTGTGGTCTTAGTCCTGCAGCAACTTAGCGGCCTTGTCGCGCAACGCACGCATAGTCAGGCACACTGCCGACCACACTTACTAGGTACGGGACGGATCGCGCGCTCCATATCAGACTGCTCGATGATCTGGCACCATACGGGAAAGTATGGGCTGCGAACATATGCACACGATACGCCTTTGACGACGAAGGCGACTCTGAGGTGGCCACGTTCGCCTGCATACAACTAATCCACATGGGTGCGCTTGTGCCCAGCGTGCATTCGCCCAACACATACACCCACTGACTATGGCCATATATTGTCATCCTCCACTAATGTGTTGCAAAATGCGGGCACTAACTGCCAACACATCAAAAGCCTCTAGACCTCTACTTGGAGCAGCCCTATTTGGGCTTGTCACAGTGTAAGCGGTCGACTCTGCCCGAAGGGTCCCGCTGTACTTCATCTGCAGACCAGGGCACCTGGACCCAAGTCGTCCTTCAAGGCTCTCACGTTTCTCGCTCTGTTACGCTCATTCTCTTTGTTTGTTTTTTTGCACATCGTCACGAGCCCCCACGAGGCAAGTTCACAGTCGCTGCAAACACCTAACATTCCTCGAGGACGCTCTTCGTTGGTCACGCGCCGACCACCTGTACGCAATGCAGCACGCCTCGAACTCGCCATGGCGGACACCTGCGATGCAATATCCCAAACCTCAATACAGTCTACAACACACCATATCCATGGTCAACCTTCGGGACGATGATCAATCGTGGTACAACAATCGCGAGACCGCATCTCCAACAGTCTCGTCCGCCTCGTCAGCCACTAGTCGAAGTACAACGCCCACAACAACGAACAACAACCCGTGGTCAAACGTAATGATCAGCCCAGCTTCCACATATTCCAACAAGTCGTCCGACTCATCGTCGCCCAAGGGCAGCCCAAAACATACCCCGCAATACACAAGCCGATCGACAACGCCCCAGCCCATCGCTCCCCAGCCAATAAGGGTCATTAATCCGGTAGCAGGATTTGCGCCCATGTCACCGCCTCCCTCAGCTTCTGGTGAGTCGTTCCGAAATGGCGATTACCCCGGTTCGCCAATGAATCCATATCGACAACCTGCTGCTCCCTTGGTTCCGTTGGTAAACGGGTACATCAACACATCAATATTGTCTTCACAGGGCCAGTCTCTGTCCGGGTGGTTCTACGAGCTCGTACGGAAGCAGGGATGGGATGCTGGCCTAGTCAAGAAGATATGGCAGTGGACGTTGTCGAACCCCAGGCTCGCAATCCTCTTGTTCGTTTGCGACGATGTTGCCTCGTGGCGTCAGGCTTCCTTCTTTGATCTTCGAGACGAGAGCCTGCCATTTCCAGAGGACCGTCTTCAAGGTATTGTGGGAAATGCACGGAAGGTTGTCGACGAACAATGGCGTGCCACATCCAAGGAACTACCGTTGACGGGAGCACATGTCGACTACACCGCACGTGAAACAGTGCCACTACAGCATATCAGCCTCATTCGATCGTCGCGCAATTCTGAAAAGAGTGTCGACTGGGTTCGGATGCAAGGGAGCAGCGACGATCGTGTGCTAGTGCGAAAGCGCTTCGTCACTGCTCGTTCCTCCCAAAAAGCTGCGCTGTTGGACCAGATTAACAAATTCAAGCAATATGAGCACAAGAATATTGCGAAGTTGCTTTGTTCGTATGCTCAGCCGAGCCACGTCGGTATTGTCATGGAGAAAGCACAATACACTCTGGACGACTTCCTTGCGCTCCCTGGAACCGACCCAAACCGCTCGAAGTTGCTGGTGGACTGGATGGGTGACTTATCGTCCGCTCTTGAATATCTTCATTCGCAGTCCATCTGTCATCGAAGCATCCGACCTCGCAAGATCTTGATTGATGGTGCTCGCATTCTACTTGCTCCATTCGACATTGGGCAGAGCATCGACACATTTAGTCCGACGATGGCGAACTCCCAACGCCTAGACCAACTACACACATACTTCCAGGATCAATCCTACGTCTACGCTGCACCTGAAGCTATTGTCTCACGCGGCAAGAGGATGGCAGACGTATTCTCGCTCGGCTGTGTCTTCTTATCCATGATGACAGTCGCACAAGGCCAGTCGCTATCAGTGTTTGCACAATACCGGGCTGCGAATACCCAGGACGCTTCATACCATGCACATCTCGACCGCGTGGCAAGTTGGCGAAACCGGCTCCACGCTGCCACCACCTCAAACCTTCGAAACGGACTCATCGGATCTGGAAGGAAGCTGAGGCAGCTGAAGGCGGAAGCCGACTGGCTAACCATTATCGAGAAGATGCTGTTACCAGGACCAAAGGAGAGGATCAAGATGCGCTTCGTACTGGCTAGCCTGAACAGCGGTAAGGCCACTGGAGGAAGACGACGTAGCTTGGACGGTGGCGGCTACAGTGGGCAAGCAGCCGCATCGCTCGGCGTCAACGGTGCAACAACCGCGACGCTGGTCGACATTTCGGAGCACCACGCGCCACGCAAGCCGGAGCTAAGCGTCTTCGATGGTTATTTCCAGACGCAGACCCGCAGGTTAGAACCAGCGGGCGGTTGGTAATCGGAAACCTCGGACTTCGAACAGCATGTCAAACATGAAGCTCGCGCTAGGGTGATACTTGGCGAAACATGTTAGACATCGACTTTTGATGGTTATCGGGCAACTAGCATGCCGAAGCCGACGTTGAGTGTGAAACTTGACAGCTCGGAACGAGACGGAGCCCCATCACCCCTCGGATACCACTTACGACCACAATGAGCCGAAGATGCGTATACGATGGCGACGGCCTAGGATTCATCTCTTACTTTCTTCATATCTTGTCCGTACTGGATTTGGGTCGGACCTTTGATACCCCTTCTTGCGACCCCATTTGGATGATTATTTTGGTTGTTTCTTTCTTTTCGTTCTGTTCTCGTTTCGTCGTATCTTCGTTAGCGACGTAGCATCCAGCGAGCATCTAGAGCAATGATCATGAGCTACTTTTACAATAAGAGGAGGGCATCCGCACAGACGTGACTATGGTTTAGGATTTAGCAATGCGCCAGTTCTTGACTTCATCACACATCCATATATCCCTGGTAAATGCAATGGAATTCTATGCTGAACCACCAAATTGAATACGCGTCCGGATGCAGGACGAATCAGTCGCTCGCTCGCGCAATGTATCAAGATGATGTTTCATTTCATAAGAGGAAAGAGCTGGATCAAGAGATACATAAAGAGATTTGCCGAAGATACAGTGTGCTTCTACATTGGCGTCCTTCAAGTTGAGAATGCTTGCATATATCGCAATGTACACAGTGCCGTTACTGAGGGCCTAAATACATTGGAACATTTTCAATGGTGATGTGAAAAGCCTGGCGCCCAGACTGCCATCTTTGCTCTTGCGTCCATCGCGATATCAACAGAGCGATAAAAAGCGACGTAATCGTTGTCATTACATAGTACATAGAGGCTTTCTCATCTATGACACAGGTCCTCATAGCTTTCACTTGGAAGTGTCCCAGTCCTAGTCTTCCGTGGCTCTACACCTGCTGCAGTCTAGAGTCATTGTCTATCACTTTATCAAGCGCATAGACACCGTAACTATAGCCATACCGACAACCTCCAATATTCAGAGCCAAACCTACCCTTGATTCATCCACGATCGCAATGGCAGACTGTACACCTGCACCTCGAAAGCGCGCTACTCCAAAGTATACCGGCGCGGAAGACGCACAAGGTCGGCTTCTAGTCAGCACTTTGTTCGGAGGGAGTCTCCCAGGAGCACAAAACACCAGTAACTAACTTTGATAGATCTCTCTATGTTACGAAGAGGATACCAATACGAAGAGGAACGGGTTTATGGACGCGGTGAGGGAGGCTAAAGGCGCCATGGTCCTGTATGTCGACGCGGACGAATCCTATTTCAGGTACCAACCACGAAGCAAAGGCGCAGTTCTACGAATAACAAGTTCATAGCTACAAGGTCGAAGCTGGCTACCTAGATCCGTTGAAGGAGCTTGTCAACACAGATACCTTTGTCGACTTTGGAGAGTACAAGGAATACAAGGAGACGGCGTAGCCGACTCTACCAACGCTTGACTAGAGCTACAAAGTCGCCTAGATAAGACTTGAATGACGCCTGACTGGGGCTTATCTCTAGGTCTCACTCAGGCCCCGCTCAGGCTCCGCTCAGGCCTCGTTCAGGATTCAACTAGGCACCTATTCAAGAAGTTCGAGCAGGTTAAGCAAGGACGGACGGAACTGAGGGAAGTCAAAGACAGATAATACATCAATTGGGTGTAACATGAAGACTTAACATCTAAACGATGTGAATTTAGTGTAAACAGTGGAGTAGAGTGCTAGCTATGCCAACGTGCTCACTAGCACTTGTGTCGTCATCATTGTCATCAGTTCCTTCCCTTGGAATGTGCCGATATCCCATGATCAAGGAGGGAAAAGCCAGCCCGAACCAAGACATGGCCCTAATCTGAGTCGAAGGCACATTCTTCTGCTATCTAGAGGGAGCAGCAGATGTATCCATGAAAGTGTAGTCAAGTGAGAACGTATTGGAAGTTTGTAATCGAGATGGAGACGTCTCTTGTGCGTGGGCGGGGGTTAGACCGTAGCTCCTTCCCCAAGACACAGACGCGACATCCGTACAGAATCTGACATCATGGACGCTTCGGTAAACAATGGTCACCCACCAAGGCCGCAGTAAGCACTCGGGTACATCAGAAGCTTTCCGTACCTCTTCTCTTCACATCCACTCCCACCGCAAACAAAAGACGTCTCCGCTTCCACCATCCAACACAACCCCACATTTGCTTCCAGCCTCGCCTCGCTTTGCCCATTACTTCGATTTCGGCTATTCACCAGATGGGCGGGGCAATCCTGGGTGATCTCTCCGTCGCGGGCTACACCCGTCGTCACTATCATCTCTCGCCGACCAATGTACGAGTGGCAGAGACCGCCCCCGAGCTGTCCACCATCGATGCTAGGACCCCACCCTCGATAACATCTGAGCGAGACTTTAAGAAGACTCACAGCCGCCTTATTCTTTTCTGATTATACTAGCCTGGAGGACATCTCGCCAGCAGAGCACACCGAGCATCACCATAGTGACAGGCCAGACAATGTCCGCGTGGTAGGACAAAGACCCAACTAAGTGCAAGTATCGACGGCGTACCGAGGTCTTTGTATACTCGGAGAAAACTTCGGCACGCATGGGAATATAAGAAATTGATGACGGCTTCGAAGCATGTAGACTGGCTATGCCTATGATACAGAGCTCGTTCTGTTCGCCCTACTCTGTCATGGATGTGCTGATAGTGACGGCCAACTTTGATCAGTTGTACCTTCAACATGACAATGTGTACTGAAGCTTACATTGCGCACTATCTTTCCGCTTGTTGCCTGAAATCATATTGAATACCTCCAGGCTGACAGATCAGTCCCGAGATGTCAGTTACTACAGCCAAGATTGAAGACTGATACTTAAGAATTTCATCACCCGATGCCAACAGGAACATCGAGGACATCATGTATTATGAGGAAGTCCATTCGCGTGTGTAGTAATAACGGTTTATACAGATCTATCCTACAGACGCGAAGCTGCCCACTCCGTCCACACCAGCCAAGCTAGCTATGCAAATCAAGTAGCAGTCACACCCATGCAACGCAGCGGATATTCAAAATGCCTATTCGCGAAAGCACAGCACACTAGAAGACACCGTCTATCCAGCATGTTCCACAATCTCACTAACAAGCTTACCATCCTTGACATAGCTCCTGATCTGCTCCGGCAACGGGTTCTCAGCGTAGTCATCTTCGGTCGGCAGGTTGATGTTGATACTACTGCACTTGCTTGTGAAGACCTCGGTTGCTAGCGAGTCTTTGGAGAGGTATACGGTTGCGCCGTCGACTTGGTCGAGGAGGATGGTGGGGAGGGTGCCGAGGACTTGGAGCGCAAAGTTGGGGCACTTGATGACGTCTACGGAGCTGACTAGCGAGTCGATGATGAGGGATGTGCGGGAGGAGTTGTCGAGTGAGAGGGCGTTGGCTTTGCCGTTGATGCGGATGGTGGTGTTTTTGCAGCGCGAGATGAGGATCGAGTGGTTGATTTCGGCGTCGATTTCGAGGGTCTCACCTGGGGAATCGAAGTTGTCCTACAAATGTGTTAGTAGTGAAGCTTCCTTTTTCCCCAAAGATACATACTATTATCCACTTGTTTCCGTCCAACTCCTTCTTTGGTGGCTTCTTAGTCCGCATGCTCTCCGGCTTCTTCGCCTTGGGCGGCGCAGGGCTCTTACTCCTGAGGCTGCTGTTGCTATCGCTCCGTGTAGGGACGGATGCGCCTGCTCGTAATGATGGGTTCTTATGCGTCATTTGGCTGGGGTCGACCTTCTTCAGGCCCTTTGTGACATCTGAGCCCTTATTGAGATCGCCAAAGACAGCGTTCATGTCGGGCGCAGCCTTCTTGGCCACTGGTGCGGCACCTGGTGGTGGCGGTGGGCCTGGTGGTGGAGGAGGGCCAGGTGGTGCTGGAACACCCCCTGCTGGAGGAGCGGGTGGTGGTGAAGGAATGTTGGATGCGCCGGAGAGCGGTGCTGAGGAGATTTCCTTTGCGGCGTCTTTGGCGTCGATGCCGTTGCTGTTCCAGGCTACACCTGTAGCGTGGTGCTTCTTTGCGTATTCGGCGAGAGCTTTGAACAGTCTGTAGTAGGCCTGCACCCACTTGACATGCACTTCACCGTCGGGCCTGTATCTGTTAGCACTGCTCCAGCATGAATGATAGAACGCCTTACTTGTCCCGGTATTCCTTAAGCACTTTGTTGCCGTACATCTGCGCTCCGCCGAACAGCTCGTTGATGTGCTCATGGGGCTTCATGCCTCCGCCCTGGCCAATTGTCACCCATCCAAGTGAGCCAACACCATCGGCGACCATGGAAACGGAGTCCTTGAGCGCAGGGTCTCGGTTGCTCTGTCGGAACTCGTCCGTCTTCTCCATGCTCGCCTGCAGGTCCTTGAGCAGCTCCATGAGAGTGCGGTCATCGGGCTTCTTGGCCTTGTTCGCGATGAAGAGGAACTGGCGCTGGGCAGCAAATGCGCCCTCGACTGCTTTCGACTGGCCCTCAATGACGCTTCCCAGCTTTCCGCTCAAGTCCAGCCAGTTCTTAAGGTCCGAGCTGACGAGCTCATCGAATGCCTCAATCGCCGGTGGTGCGCTTTCTGCGACGAGTTTGGGGGTGCTAGCACTTGTGCTGACGGCGGTCACGCCTGGAGTAGCCTCGGTTGACGCTCCATTGAGGCTGGCAGCTCCATCGCCGCTACTGGGGAGAGACGTGCTCGCGATGTCTTCGAGACGCGAGGTGGCAGCTTCGAGCCTACGGACCATAGACGTCAGTACATTGTCTGCTGCGAGGTGGATTTGCCCCTGTCGACCGAGGATGTGCGCTTGTTCGGGCTTGGGAGCCATTGTGGGGTCGTCTCATAGAGTGTGCGAGATGCGCGGAGTGTTGTAGGATGATAGGTTCGGGTGCTAGTGGGTGATAGTCACGGACGGAAGGTACTTACCGCTTGATCAGCGTCGTCAGGTTATTCATGTTGTTCGCCATGTGGAGAAGGCACGTCGCAGCGTTTGCAAGGTAGGACAGGTATCTTGGATGCTCGGGGAAGGGGCAGCTGCGGCACGCTGCAGCTCGTGCGACGCCGTTTGGTTGGTTCGGAGTAGAGAGAGGCTGTGATCCAGCAACACAAACTCTCGGTGACAGGAATAAGAGGACTGTCGGAGATATTTAATTGGAAAAGCACAATTGCAGGCAGAACCTCAGGGTCAGCTCTCCCCGGCGCATGGCCACGGCTGCCCACGTTGCGCTAGCCGTCTGCAGCCAAGCCTGGTCCGTTCGAGACATGCACGTCAGCGGCAGACTATCAACCTTGCGATCTACACCAGGCGACATGGAAACGTCCAACATGGCCGACGCAGGAGACCACAGTTATGGCAAGATCGACTTTTGCACGCTGGGGATGTTCATCATCGGTATGCATCAAGTCTTAATTAACGCATTCTAGCCACTGAACTTTGTCAAGATGAGATTGAGTTTCCCCCACCAAAGCTGCCAGTCAAAGACATCGTTGGTGGAGCTGGATCATACTCCGCATTGGGCGCACGCATCTTCTCTCCACCGCCACAATCAGAGTCTGTGGGTTGGATTATAGACTGCGGGTCTGATTTTCCACCTGAGCTGCGCGACTTTATTGCGCGATGGAAGACTGGTGCACTGATTCGCGAGACGCCTTATCGATTGACTACACGAGGTTGGAATGGATACACTGGTGAAAACGAGCATCGAGGTGAGTGTCGGTGTCTCGTTTGTGAGTGACCACATGTCTAATCACTCTGACGAAGCTTTCCGATACTTGACGCCTAAGCTACGCGTGGATCATGAGGATCTGAGGAATACAGACCTCTTGTTGTCCAAGTCGTTTCACCTGATCTGTTCCCCGTTGCGTTGCATCGACCTGGTTGAGAACATCATCGCATTGCGCAATCAACATCCTAACTCGGCTCGAATTCCTCACCCGATATTCATCTGGGAGCCTGTTCCTGACCTGTGCACAACTGAGGAGTACGATAATTGCCTGAAAGCGCTGAAGCATGTCGATGTCGTCAGTCCAAACCACGGGGAACTTGGCGGCTTCTTCGGCAGGAACACAGATGGAACGGATCACGTAGATTTCCGAACAATTGAAGAGCTATGCGGTCAGTGGCTAAACAGTGGTGTTGGCAATGGCAATGGTGGGGTCGTCGTGCGCTGTGGGAAAGATGGTTGCCTGGTGATGCGCAAAGGGCTGGGCGCAGGGCTGCGCAAATGGATGCCTGCGTACCACCAGTCAGCAGAGAAGGTGGAAGATCCTACAGGAGGAGGCAACAGCTTTCTCGGCGGACTGGCGGTCGGCCTGGTCCGGGTACCAGGGTATCTCGAGGAGGCTGCAATTTGGGGATCCATTTCGGCGAGCTTCGCCATTGAGCAAGTTGGTATGCCCATTCTCTCACAGTCAGCAGACGGGGAGACGTGGAACGGAGTTCGTGTCGAAGATAGGCTTTCAGATTTCAGGCAGCGCCTGGCTAGTTATGTACAGCCATAGTCGCGGTCGCTGTTTCCTCCTCCCCACTCATAACCAATCTAACCCTCAAGAGTCTTCTCGATGATGCTCTGATCTTGTTTCCGCTCATGTTCCCGGATCTGTTTGGTCCAGCTGTGTAGTTGTTAGCTTCCAGGTCTGAATTCAGAATATCCGCGTAGGTCGTACTATCGGCTGGGGAAGAATCGGTGGCGTTCGGGCATCTTGTCGCGATATTCGCGGTTTGCGCTGAGCATCCAGGCCATGCCGACGATGCTGCCGAGGGCGAGGCCTACGACGGCCGTGTTGGCTTTCCAGTTGGCGGGTTGGGCGTACCAACCACCGGCCGGCGACCAGACGTGCTTGGGGTATCTAGTCAACGTCAACTCGGCACTGACAAGCGATTGGCAGGCTGCTCATACGGGATCTTTCCTCCTCCGCCCATTGTAAAGGTGGTTGTGCGGGTTCGTGGGGTTGCTGTTGCGGAGCTGCCCTGAGGTCGCTGTCGCATGGGAGGGCTAGCACGGGCCCTGAAGCTTGGCGGAAATTCTTTGGCAGTCGCGATCATGACCTGTGTGAACACACGACCGGCCAATTGCTGCTGCTGCCGACCCCGCCTCTCCTGCTTCTGCTGCCGCCTTCTCCTACATTTTGTCTTAATGAAGCGGATACCCATATCGAGATGCGCCTCGCAATTGCTGGGTGCACCCTCGCCACGCCGGCCCTCGTGCCCATACACAGCGGCAAAGAACGTGCGGAGAGGTATTATACCTCATAGCCACCGGATACAGGCTCGGTTTCAAAGTACAGTAGCACTTCCGGACGACGGTGAATTGGAACTCGAGATTGCCGCAAATTCTCCCACACCGTCAACATCCAGACCAAGAAAGCGTCTTCCACTCGAGAGCCTTCCATCTCCACATCCCAGCGCCGCCGAACGTTCGACAAAATTATATGCCCTACGGAGTCGATTATCCCTACCGCCTCGCTTCCCCCTCCAGGTTCTCGCACGAACCCTCATCCACCCCTCCGCCGACTCAAACCCCGCCTTCAATAATGCCTCGCTATCGATACTCGGACGCCAGCTGCTTGGCTACTACACCTCCGAGTGGCTTCTGTGCAACTACCCACGTCTGCCAATGGACGTCGTCTTCGCCGCAGTAGAAGCATACATTGGACCGAGAGCGTTGACTACAATTGCAAGCGAATGGGGCATTGAGGCGGCGGCGGAGCCAGGTGGTGAAGTCGACCCTGGCTTATTACAATTCAAGAGGATACAATCGGGCGATGCTCTCCCAGCAGATTTGAGGCGGCAAGCACCCTGGAAGTGGAATGTTACCACCACACACAAGATCATGAAGACCGACGAATTTGGCTCCGACAGTGCTGCACCCAGTCCACACGCGCTACAGAGTACGCCAGTACCACTGGAAGAGGCAGCTCAGTCCTTTGTCCGGGCCCTCATCGGCGCATTGCACGTACATCTTGGCTCCCCACTTGTCAAGCGCTTCTTCCGTGACCACTTCCTCAGCCGACATCTCGATATCAGCACAATCTTCGACTTCCGAATGCCGACACGCGATCTTTCACGGTTATGCGCACGAGAAGGTTTCGAGCCACCGGTCGCCCGATTGATCTCAGAAACCGGTCGTCTGAGCAGACATCCTGTCTTCGTGGTTGGCGTGTACAGCGGAAAGGACAAGCTAGGAGAGGGATCAGGCAGCTCATTAGACGAGGCCAAGACAAGAGCAGCGGCAGCAGCATTGAAGGCATGGTACCTATACAAGCCGGTCGAGGTCACCGTCCCAAGCAGCATGGAAGGCGAGTTGGATACAAGCAAATGGCGGCCGAACCATGTCGACCACGGAGAGGTCATTGTGTAAGATACGCGGCATCAACCACACTTTTGGAGTTGTAGGGGATCTACTTTTGGCATGCATGGCATGGACGGACGGCATACTCTTCGCTTGTACAGATTCATGATAGCGCAGGGGGTAGGAAAAAGAACTGTGCCGCAAGAGGGCCGGAGAGGAGGGGAAGGTTTACCCCACGTTTCGCTACGTCAAGGGTTCAAGTCTGCGCACCCTGAGAGCACTGCGCATGTATCATATGTGACATGAGGATACCATGATGATCCGCAATGTGTATAACATAAAAGAAACGTTGCATCACAATACCCATTACTTGTTTTTCCGGTTGTGATTCAGGGCTGGAATGTGATGACCTGTGACTTTCACCTAAGAATCGTTCAGCTCAAACTATGCTTTTTGGAGGGTGGAGCACGGATCACGAGACGTCAGACGGGCGACCGTCACGTATTCAACTAATTCTACGTTGGTGACTTTCAACTGAAAATAGCTGCAATTGCATCGTCACAGGACCTGCGCGAAGGGAACAACAGAGCTCACAATCCAGCTTCTCTAATGTGTCTCTCGCATTCCGGAGTGGTTTCTATCCTGGTAGATGCCATATGTCTGTTTGGGTTGTTCGAGTGGTAATTTCGATGTGGTTTCAACGGTAGCGAAGGCAGCTGAACCATCAGTGTGCTGGTAGATAGCGATTATCTAGGCACTGCAGGGTTGCAGGGTCGGTAGAGGCGCGCATACTTGCACCTCCTCACGTGCAGCACACATAAGGCCCAACACTTCCACGTTGGTTGCGGAGAAGTAGGAACCCTCCTCTGGCAACACAGCATTGTCCATCAAACATGCCACCAAAGCGCACTGCAAGCGCTCATCATGAGCCGTCCACTGAGGCCTCTGTACGAGCGCACAGGAAGATCAGAATTGAACCCGAAGACCCGCCGCCTGATCCCGTTCCCAATGGATTGAGAGCAGCCAAATCAGAGGTTACCAGGTACATTGAAGCAATGGAACGAGTGACTTGATGTGCATTGGAAGATTGGTGTTCCTCGCGGCGACCCCGAAAACATCATTCGCGAAATTAATGTTTATCATATCAAAAATAAAATAAAAAATGGAGCGCGATGCACAAGTCAGTGGAGCATTCGCGTCGCTCAAAAAGACGTTGGAAGAAGGCAAGCCCGCCCCGGGCATATACGATCCTTACGTTAGCCACGGTAAGTGGAGTCTTTTCTCAAGCGAAGTCTTTACGGAATACCTGCTCTGGAACATCGATAATATGAACTTCAAAAACTTTTGCGTGAGTCAGTGGATCGAGTTTCATGATCCTGAAGCAGAAGTGGACCTCATGGACTGCCACTGTCAACGCCCGGAAACTTTTGGCACCATCGTCGGACCCAGACATATCAAAGGAGAGATCAAACCGTTTGACTGGCCGCAGGAGGCTTTACTAGAACCCATCGTCGTGCGAACATCGAGCCGGTGTCGGGAAGTCAAGATGTGGTTCGCAGGAAATGGGTACATGAGGATGCAATACGATATGGGTAGTGTAGATGAGCTCGCAAATGGACAAGCGTCAACAGTGACTTGGAATGCGATACAAATGACGAAGGAACACAAGGAGCGTGAACACAAAGAGTTCATGGTCCGTAGGAAGAAGCAGGAGGAAGAAATTCGGGTCAAACAAGCGGAAGAAATGAGGAGACGGAAGATAGAAGAAGAGAAAGCAAGGGAGCAAAAGAAGGAAGATCATACGCTTTGGGTAAAGAAGAATCAGAGGAGACTGAAGTTGAGGCAGAAATACGAAGATGGCCATATTAATAGTTCAGAGCTGGAGCTGAGCACCGAGGAAGAAAATGGCGAAGGCGCCACTGATGCGGAAGAAAGTCGCCCCTCTGCGTCCCCTGAGCCGTGGGATTCGTCAACGGGTGAGGAGGATTGAACCGAGTCGGAAGAGGAAGAGGAAGAGTCAGAAGAAGAGTCGCAACAGGAAGAAGATGATTCAGATGAACTCGAGTCCCAACCGTCAAGATATTAGCGGAATATCGATTGTCTATCTCATTTGGAGCATTGTTTCTACAGTACCACTAGTATTATCACATCATGAGGTACTCGCAGTATTTTCAGGCGTTAGTATGTCGATGTATATGACGGGGTGGACTTCCAAGACACTTCTGCCTATGGTCAAGTGAAGAAGCGCAGAACATGTCTCCTCCCGCGTGTTACATTAGAATGTTTCTAGGCCTATGTGCAGACGAAGAGGATGATTCGAACAGCGTGATATGTTTCCGATCGGCAGCCGAGTCAGATCAGACGGCTCCTTGCTGCATGACTTTTGTTTGTTGGTTCCTCGCTCGCTTCCTGCCCCGGTTATCCGCGCTCAGAATCGGAATATCCTTCCAATCTCCATGACCGATATTGAGTCCGAGGTCGTTGAAGAGGTGTCGGATATGGTCGTAGCACTCGAGGCTCCGGTCTGACCAATTCTCGTAGGCTGCCTTACGGAGGAAAGGATCTACCATGCACAATTCTCAGGGACAGCTGACCTGAAGGTCTATGATATGCCTAAGCACGAGATCGCAAGTGTCGCACCGCTGGTTCAAGACCATCGACCAGAAGGGAGGGACATCGGAGACGATGGAATTCTCGGCAAGCCGGCTGAGAGATGTTAGTTATACTGAGCAATCCCACATGCTGAACCGGAATTGAACACTTACCGAATGTCCACAATGCTCATAACAGTGCTGTAGTGAGATGCGACTATGTCTATCGTGAAGTAGTCCTGGTACACGTTCAGACGATCGGCCTTGGCCTATTTCATAAAAGGGACCATCTTAGCCTGTTCGCACTCAAGCGGTGACTCCCAGTGCTGACCACCATTGGGTGGGTCAAGGTTGAAGACTGGGGGCGCGTCTTTCGTCTCCCGGTAGAGATCGCGAGCGCGCTCCACCCGCTTCTTGTGCAAACTGTGGGCAGCAGCAGCAGCAGCAATGGCGGAGCGACTTTGAGCAAGGGAGTAGCTTAATCAATCATGGTAAATCCTTCCCTGTTGCCTACTACAGCAATATTTTTCAAAGTATTGCATGCATACATATATAGCCTAGACGGCTACAATAGTCTAGAAGCGCTAAACTTTCGTAATGAAACGTTGATGTAGACGCCAGGATAGCGCGTGGCTCTCTAATTTTTGAGACGCGAGACGCGTATCGACCCAGCACAGGCCGTTCTTGGCTGACGTCGACTATCACATTAAATCCCCGACCCCCCAAAAGCCTCACCACATGTTCCATCTCCACACAGCCCAGCGTCGCCCCTCGCACTGCCAAATGCCAAGCATTACTCGCTGCTAAAGCAGCGAATGAATAACTATGAGTTTCGTGGACGTGAGGTACGTTCCTGCTTCACATTTCCACACCCTTATATTCTACTTTACACACTTGGCAGAGGTGCATGGCTGTCAATCCGCCTCGCCCGGTGGCTCCTGCAAATTGAGGTGCTCTTATCCCCGCCTCTCCGCTTCCTCATCCTTGATTTCTGTATATGACCTGGAACTTCTATGCCCACGCGTGTGAGCTTCTTGATCGTTTTGTGATTGGACCGAACGAGGTAAAGCTCAGGAACGTCCTGTCGAATGACCACTCACTTCGCATGATGGCATTTCGTATGGGAATTGATCGAAGCCGTTACTTTTATGAGCAGATTTGCGGTTTTCACTCGTACCCGGGATTCAATTCGGCCCAGTTCGGCGATTGGGTTGACGTGCCCGTCTTGCTCCCCAGTACACAAGGCAGGAAGCGCGCCCGATGCTCCGGGAATATAGACGTGATGTCAGACCGGCGGGCAGAGGAGCCTCTGCCACCGCCGGATAGGAAGTTTGAGAGCTGGTGGCCTGAGTCTCGTTCGTAACCGGGAACTCACAGATGCCCGCGTCAATGGCTAGGTTATGTCGATGGGTCGTGAAATTTGATGTGCTCACCTGGCCGCGAGTGAACTTGTAAATGAATGAACCCTTGCCGAACTTCTCGGTTTGGATGTCGCTAGCCAACGTGCAAAAGGTCTTTCCTGCGCGGGTTATTGCAGCAGGGTCGTCGTGTAAACTCACCACAGTGGTCAAGATACCATTCGGCGCAAAGCCAAAATAATAAGCAATGACTCTTTCAATCTTTTTGGCGTCCGTTGAGCTGAGTTCCACCTTTGGGATGTCAGTGTTGATGCCGCTACCTTGAGCATCTGCTGTGACTGCGAGTATACGATCAGTATTCTTAAAATGAACGGAAACGCAAGGGAAGCTTACTACGTTGCTCCTGGTCTGCCAGCTCATCGTAGAGCGCAGAGATAGCAGCCTCGCAGTGCATCTCCATCATGGGTATTATATCGAAGTCTGCCATGTTGAGGTTCATATTGTAGTCGATATTGAGTTGTAAAAGATATCGGAGTGCGGTGTAGGAGACTGGGAGACGAATCAGCGATGGGTTTGAGCTATATATCAGCTGTCCACCCTGCTTCCTTTACTTGAAGCTGAGAGAGCCTTGGAAGGCGGCGTAGAGGCGGGCACGTGACTGCACGCGCTCCCAAGGCTCTATCATCTGAACACTCAAGTCTAGGACGTCCAATCTACGGAGTAGAAACGAACTGAGACGACAACATTGCGTCGGGTCAATGCCACGGTATCTTCCATTATTGCGCGCGAATACTACGACGGAGTTAGCCCCGATGAGACGAGCGAGTGATTTGACTTTGTATGCGACGATCGTTCCCGAGCCACCGGAGTCTTCGCTCGTGCACAACCATCAATTCCATCAATTCGCATCGAAATGGCCTCCGACCAGGCTTTGGTGCATATCAACATCGCTTTACCGTTCAGCCAATGCATCATATGCTGCGGCAAGACAAATGAGTGCAAACGCGGCCGTTCAATCTGTGACGAGCCACCAACCATCGACGGCGATATCGCGGCGGGAGTCGTACGCCGGAACTCACTCCGACGAGACGAAATAATGTCCGGGCTGTGATACGCGCTTCAAGTCACCCACAAGGTCGATTCGACCAAGTTGCAGTGCAAGCTCTGGATGGTGGGCGTTGCTCCATCTACCTGCCTCTCGCAAACGCACCACCCACCACATCTTCATCCCAGTGGGCTGTGCAGCTCACTATCGTCACCATCATTCCTGCCTACTGGCATACAGCGGCGAGTGCGCAGCACTATGTAATCTCGACTACGGAAACCTGGACACACAGCGCAACCTCTAATCACCATTACGCAGGATGCTCTGGGATCCATCACGGTCGCTCTTTACGAAGCTTCGAGCAAGTCAGACTCCCATCATCGCCCGGATCACCACATAGCGCCCATCGGCTCCAGGTCGCATATGGCAACTGGAAAACGCGTGTCTACAGCTGTAGGCCATTGGCGTCATGTATAATTCACCAAACGACCGTCAGAGTTGATGGAGATGCTGCGGACATGTTGAACCTGTACTTGGTCTGCAAGTCAGATCCGACAAACACCGAAGCATACACTTATCTGGTTACCATCTCATCCTTGTTCAAAGAGACATATGCTAACACCTTTCTTTACAAACAGTTGCCCATCGTTCTGATATGGTAGCTATTATTGGCGAGGTCCGGCTTTGCAAGCTTCGGGACGCTTCTGTTAAATCAACAGGCCTATCACCTGTACCATGTCCTGTGGGTCATTGGATGCATGTCATACTTTGACACCGATAACACGCATCATGGTTGTACCGTCTAGGCAAGATTAATTCGACTTAAACGTCGCACTCTACCGTGTCATATCAATGTAGTAAAACTAGTCTAGCTCGACAGTAGCAGACGCTGGGAACCTGTGCACGGGAATTGTCGGCCACCCCACATCAGAGATCAGAAAGAGCGGGGATATGTTCAAGCAACTATTACACGACGCACAAGTTTCTCAGGCCGATCGAATACCTCCAGGATAGCTCACGATCACGCAAACGCACATCACAGAGACCAATGTATACGTCCAGGCGCCGGTTTTTATGATCACTGATCAGATTGTTTTCATCCGTATCTACATTATAGGGAAAAGATATACTAAGGGAATCATCCAGGTTACTCGCGCCACCGACTCTTCTGCCCCCAACATCCTTCGTGGTACCTCGTGAGGTTGCAAAGTCCGTCTAGTTGTTCTGCTTGTTCTTGCCGCCAGCACCTGCAGCCTTACCTCCCTTGCCCTTGTGGTGAGGCTCAGGGACGGCTTCGCGGTTGTTGACCTTGGCCTTGCCGCCAGCACCAGCAGCCTTGCCTCCCTTGCCCTTGTGGTGCGGCTCAGGTGCGGCCTCGCGGTTGTTCAAGTTTCCACGACCACCAGCACCACCAGCACCACCAGCAGCCTTGCCTCCCTTGCCCTTGTGATGGGGTTCGGGGACAGCTTCGCGGTTGTTGACCTTGGCCTTGCCGCCAGCACCAGCAGCCTTGCCTCCCTTGCCCTTGTGATGGGGTTCGGGGACAGCCTCACGGTTGTTGACCTTGGCCTTGCCGCCAGCACCTGCAGCCTTGCCTCCCTTGCCCTTGTGATGGGGCTCGGGCACGGCTTCGCGGTTGTTGACCTTGGCCTTGCCGCCAGCACCTGCAGCCTTGCCTCCCTTGCCCTTGTGATGGGGCTCGGGGACAGCCTCACGGTTGTTGACCTTGGCCTTGCCGCCAGCACCAGCAGCCTTGCCTCCCTTGCCCTTGTGATGGGGCTCGGGCACGGCCTCGCGGTTGTTGACCTTTCGGCCACCAGCTCCGCCGGCAGCCTTGCCGCCCTTGCCCTTGTGATGAGGGGAACGAGTGTGGAGGTCAGCCCAGTGAGCGTCGTCCTCCTCCTGGGTCAGCTCTTCGGCCTCGCGGTTGTTGAGCTTTCCACGACCACCGGCTCCACCGGCAGCCTTGCCGCCCTTGCCCTTGTGATGAGGGGAACGAGTGTGGAGGTCAGCCCAGTGAGCATCGTCCTCCTCCTGGGTCAGCTCTTCGGCCTCGCGGTTGTTGACCTTTCGGCCACCAGCTCCACCGGCAGCCTTGCCACCCTTGCCCTTGTGATGAGGGGAACGAGTGTGGAGGTCAGCCCAGTGAGCGTCGTCCTCCTCTTGGGTCAGCTCTTCGGCCTCACGGTTGTTGAGCCTGCCCCGGCCACCAGCACCTGCACTTGCACCTCCAGCAGCTTTGCCGCCCTTGCCCTTGTGGTGAGGAGAGCGAGTGTGGAGGTCGGCCCAGTGAGCATCGTCCTCCTCCTGGGTCAACTCTTGGGCATCACGGCCGAAAAGCTTGGCCAAGCCACCAGCGCCACCGGCACCGGCACCGGCACCACCAGCTTTTCCACCCTTGCCCTTGTGATGGCGGGCCTCGACTCCACGTTCTGCAAGGGCAGCAACGAGGTTGGATGTGTGGACAGGTCCGCTTCCCTGAAGAACTGTAAGTATATAACATGCCAAGATACATTGACCAACTTACAGGCATGCGTGCCTTGACAGCATTATCAGCGACTTGCTTGTTGTTGGGTACAACGTAGGCTGAGGTTGAGGCACCCAGGGCCAAAAGAGTAAGTGCGGTAAATCTCATATTGAATAAAGTTTAACTGAGTCTGAAATCGGTTGAAAGAATGGATCTGCCAGCAGAGAAGAATGGATGAAACAGAACTGAGCAGGATGTGAGAAGGAATGAGCACGTTCAACGTTGATGCCTTTTACTTCTGGAGCTTCGAGATGCTTTATAAGTCAACTCGACTCCTGGTAGGCACGGCGGTTGCATGCCTGCTCGCTCTCGCCTTCAACTCCTGAGACATGTTGCATTGCCTACGGCACAGAAGCGGAGTTGGCACCCCACCTGCAGGAAGCCATTGTGCTCGCTTCGATGGATGGCGATGGAAGGCGTTTGCATGGGAAGCCAAACACGGAAAGTCTTGACGGCCTGGCGTCTCCACCAACGACACCGCCAGCCGTCGACAAGGCCTGTCGATGTCTCGAGAACACGGTCATGTCCAAACCCAGCCGCCAGGCTATGAGGCCCTGCCTCAGGCTCCGCGACAATATCCACCGGGTACCATTCGCGCATCGCCAATGCGACCTGGAGCTTGCTTTGATGGAGGCTGTTGGTCATTGGGAACTGACCACTCATTTGGTCAAGACTAGGCCAGAAAGAGTTTGCCCTCGGATGCAATTTGCGCGCAGCTGCGGTTCGGTCGCTCCAGCCCTGGCAACTTTTGACGTTATTTCCGTTGTTCTGTCATCATGCGGTTGGGACGTTCGTTCCATGTGCGTGTCATGTCAGTGTAAGAATCTCGTTTTGGCTGGCGCGCCAAGCTGAAACGATGGTGCCGAATTATGAACATCCAGTCTTGGCTAAGTGTCCACCTCGAAACCCATGCAATGGCTGAACCAACGAAAAAGCTACGTCGATCCCACCATCTGCGTCTCAGAAGGCTTGGTAAAAGCTTGTTGCCTTGAAGCTGCGTCGCAGACAGGCGCCCAAGGCTATTGTTGCCTGGGCAGATGGAACAAGATGCCTTGGAAGAAGCGGCCTGCACGGCATAGCGGCACCGTTTGAGATGTTCCGTGTTTCGGTAACCTATCCATGGCGATACCGAGAACGTGTCGGGGGGTCGATGTTGGCAAGTCTGCCGTAGTCTTTCGCGCCAACGTCTTTCACTTACTCGCTCTGTGGTCTTCCATCTCCTATCACCTTCGTCTTGTTCAAGCGTTGAGCGCACAGCATTCTATTCTCTATCGCAGGTCGACTAATAATTATCCTTTTAACATCACTTGATAGTGCTTTCATCTCAACCGTTGTATTCTTTGCGCAATCGAAAACCATCATGGAAAAATACACTGACTCCAACTCATCGCAAGGCGATGCCGAAAACACCGCTTTTATCACAACACCCTACCAAAGCGATGAAAGGCAACGGCGGAGAAGCTACATCTATCTTACACTATTCAACCTGTTCCTTTTCACAGTGTCAATGCTGTCCTTGCTATGCTCGGTCATGTCGCAAAGAGACTACTCGGGCCATTCAGCGGCTAAGCTAATGGATCAGTTCGACATCTTCTGTACGCACTCAATTCTTCATCACACTCCTCAGGAATACTTGCTGATATAAACCAGCGCCTGCAAAGCACGTTGTCGAGTACAGTCACACGAAGTTTGAATTAGCCAACCCTTTGAACTCTTCGAAATATGTCGGTATTACCGATGATGTAGAGAACGCATGGATGGACGTCGCATACCGTAAGTCATCACCCCGGCTCTCCTATATCTGCATCATGTCCATCCAAAATGCCACCACTAACACAACACAGTGCCCGATCAAATGGTGTCGATGGAAGACTTCCCCAAGCTGCAAAAGCCCGCCGACGCCCTTCAAGTCACGGACCCCAAAACAGGCGAAACAGGATACCGAGTCGGTCTAGAAGTCTTCCACCAACTGCACTGCCTCAACCTCCTCCGCATGTCAACATACCCAGACTACTACACCAAGCTCTGGTGGAGCGACACCAACGACAAGCCTGAAAAGGTCAGAGCGCATCTAGATCACTGCATCGAGATCCTCCGCATGAACCTCATGTGTCTTTCCGACGTCAACGTCTTCACGTTCCACCCACAAGAGGGCAAGGAGGGGTACTGGCCTGACTACGAGAGTCACCATGTATGCAGAAACTTCGACAAGATCAAGGATTGGGCCAACGACAATGCGATGCCGGACCTTGATGTGTAGGCTTAGCTTTCAGGCCGGTTGGAGACGGCGCGTGTATATAGTGTAACAGCATCGAAAATGCATCTGCAGCGAGTAGAGAAGCATGATCACGCAACAAATCTAATGCTCATGGTGAGTGATCGAGTACCCTTGTTGTCGTTGTTGCATGCTGTTCACATGCTCCTCTACCCCATATGAAACAGGCTGTTTCAGTTTCGCATCACAGTCCGTGTATCTCGCCCCGCCTATGCACCTTTGTCATGCAGCATTATGCTTTGTTTTTCCAACTGCTTGGGCAGAGAGCGCATGAATCGCTGTCGAATCGATTCGGTCAGTGGCTGCAACGATGATGCCCTCCCTGAAGTGGCGAAGACTGCGTGACAACCAATCAATACTTCGATGCAGACTGCAGCGAAAGTTGCACTGATAGTGTGGTACTCCAGTCGAGTATAGTTTACGATGTTACGAGATACAAGCTTTTATGATTCCGGATTGGTATGTACTGTCACCGACAAAGAAGGCAAAACAAAGAAGGCAAAAATGCAAGCTTTCTCACGAAAGACTTCAGTATGAAACCCAAATATGAGTGCAAGTAGTAGACATCTAGCAATGTCAAGAGTGGGGTATATGTCAGCGACAAGCAGAATACCCACCGAAGCAGTCCGCCGCCTTCTAAACGCCGGCCATCATGTCGACCTTCCCGATGACGTCTCTTACAGTTCTAGATCTGGCATTTGCAGATCATCGCCTGGCTCCATAAGGTTCATGAGATAGCGTGAGCCAGAGAACCAGTCCTGCATGGGATTGGTATTTCCTTGAGACGGGCCAAAGCCAAAACCCGACGGGCCAGTGGCCTCTATGTTATCCATCGCCTGGCCTTGCCCAAAGGCGGTCGTGGTCGATGCAGTCGAAGCATTGGGGAATGTCGAAGGCCATGCAGTATCAGGCATTAATCCAAGCGCACTAAGATATGGATCGAACTGAGACATGGCGTTGAGGTCCAGCTGTGTGCCATCAACGGTCGTGTAGTACCCTGACTGATTATTTTGCATGACGCCCTGTGATCTCGACGTTGCATCCTGTTTCTTAGCCGCGACGTAGAGTCTGGCAACCCGTAGGAAAAGATGGCACATCTTGTAGAGCTTGTCTGCACCTTCGGAGATCGTGCGGCAAGATTCGAGGCTGGCGACGAAGTCGGCAAGGGAGTTAAGATCTGATTCAACGTCCAACGTATCTGCCTTTTGAATGGAGTGGCAGAATATCACGATGAAACTGTAAGTATAAATTAGCTGCGGCCATGTGCGGTAAGGGATGAGGTGGCTTACGGTGTGAAGGGTGCCTGGAGAACCGACCAGTGTACGTATCCCGACCACAAGTCCTCTTGGCCCTTCTTGTTGAACTGTGTGCTAGCCCTCATATGCGCTACAAGAGCCGCTCTCGAAGATTCGAGGCACTCCTGATTAAAGCTCATATTGCCTGGACTAACCGCGCGCTGTATGAGTGCGCAGGTGGAGTAGTGCATGACGACGTCGGAGTGGAAGAAGATGTCCTGGACTCGCTCGAAAGAGCCTTCAACCAAGACGGTCAGTGGATTTCATCTGTCGTAGCCGGTAAAACTTACCCTGAACGTATTCGCTGACTTTAGATCCTACACCCTTAGACTTGTGAATGTAGCGCTTGTATTGAGATGGAAGCGGTGTCTCATTTGGACTGTGACCTATTTTGGTCGATCGTTGCGCACCGAGATGATACGTATTGCCTTGTTGCGCAAAATCGATTATCGTCGCATCCCCACGCTCGTACCAGGCTTGGTTAAGGCTGTTGACAAGTTCGATTGCGATTCGTGTTCGCTCTTCGGGTGACTTTAGAAAGGCGGCAGGGCAGAATAGCTTCTCGTATGTCAAGCCTTGTACTCGCGCAACCTTGATCCAGTATGACAAGAAGGCACTTGATTCGGCGTGCTTGTCGTTGGGGTCGCTGGATACTACGAACGGTAGCGATATATCCCAGTCTTGGAGGACACTGGAGCGACCCAAACGTAGGGAAAGTGTCTTATCGAACATGTATATCATCCAAAAGATATGGATCTTTGTCTGTCTATCTTCCGGGTTGTCGTCTATCATGGTGTTGATACGATGCTAGGCCCAGGAGGTCAGCGTATGCCTCACACGCAGTTCGTATGTGGATGCTTACATAGCCCAAGCTCTGACACAAGCCAGCAGCGCTAGATATCATGATCCAGCAAAGGGATGGTTTGCACATCTCGACCGCCTGCGCAGCGCCAAGAACCAAGGCCATGATATTTTCGTAGCTTGCTGGTAAGAATATAGCCAGCTGCGACAGCGCTACCTCTGTTTGCCGCCGACATATGGTGGCGTACGTTTGGTAGTTGGTGACATCCATGTTGGCCAGTGGCAAGGTCCGGAATTCATTGAACACGTTCTCCAAAACGCCGAAGGTTAGTACACGGCGAGCGGCGCTACAAGTTTCTGGGTTGTGATAGACATCGTAGAATATGTCCTTGAGATTGGCCATTCTCAAGAACGGAAACACTACTGCGAAGGCCATCGTCGGATATTCTGGGCGTGTTAGCTCGACGTTGGGGGTATGAAGTCTGTAGACCTACCACTAGCTTTCTCCAAAGCATAGCACGCGGTATCCCAAGGCGGTCGTTCAAGCTTCGATGGGTCAATATCGGAAAGTGAGTGGTTGATCAACCAGTTGGAAGACGTTGGGTTTTGACCATGCTGGGAGACCATCTCCGAAAGTGCAGTAAGTGCCAACTTGACTTCTTCATTCTGCCCGATAGAGGGCGTGCTACCGATAGCTTGTGCTAGCATCTCGCGAGCATAGTCTGACTGACTATTGATAGAGCTTTCACCCTCGAATGGCGCAGGTGTGGGGGCTTCTACGAGGGCGCTTCCGGGACTCCTTGTAGGGCCAACTCGACTCGAGCGCGACTGGCTGCTAGATTCTTGCGAATCTTTCTGGAGGTCCAGAGAGCCAAGTTTCGTCGCGAGACTGGCAAGAACATTCTCAATGCCCGCTAGGCGGTCTTCAATCCTGTCAATCTTCTTCTCGCTGAATGGAGTCAGCTCTGACAAGATTATTCAACGGCAGATCAGCACAACTCGATTGCTTGGCCGCGTGACCAAGAACGATCGACGGGTAAGGCTGACGCCACAAGCAGCGAGGTCCACTTCAGAAGCGGTTTAGACGTACTATTCTTCAGAAATGTGAACCCTTTGTCGTTGCGCTTTCTGTTGAGGAGGAGCTGTTTTGCAAGCTGCACGAATCAGCGGCGGCTTCGAGGTCAGGCCAAGCAAAACATACTTAACTTGCTTGCTTTGCAATTCGAGCATGGTACGCCTCTGTCGCAACGTATCTTGCGTGTCCTACAGGCATCGCACTAGATGTGGGTCGTCAATCTGGGCGCTGCCCTGAGTGGTTGTCTCATGCGACTTACCGCACGCTTGGACATGGGTCCATCAAGCGACGCATCCATATCGTCGTCTTCCATCGTGCCGGTTACACAATCCGAGCCGCGGTATTCTACGCGTGGTGAGCAAGAGCGGCTTGTGATGTGGACTTTATCGGAAAGCGGGCTTCTCGGGATCCGGGAGCTATGGAAACTATCAACGATGTCATTACTCACGACAGAAATCTCGCACCGACAGGCAGCAGTCCAGGATCTCGCCAACCAAACCCCTCAGAGTGTCGAATTTACAGGGTCTTGAAGTCTAGATGCAGCATTCGGCCTCACCAGGCATCACTGTGAAGAACGCGCGATCTCGTGATTATGCCAAGGCCCGGCACCTGCCGATTGGCTCGCATTGCTCGTATCCCGCGCGATGTGGACATGTTCAGCCGCTTGCGACGCGCTCTCTGGCCGCCCAATTCACCGCGGGTCCGGACTTTGCAAAGTCCGGCAAACATGGGCTATATGCTCAACTTCAATGAGATGGCTTCACATATGAATGTGGTGCGCTGCTGTCCAATCGCCCGCGGACTGGAATACTCGCATCGCACCCAACATGTCGACGCGTAAAGAAATGTTCGACACGCCCGAGCAGCGCGCCAGCGATGACGTCAAGACAAGTAAAGCGCCGACAGTCAAAAGTGATGTCACGTCTGAAGAACCAAAGGGTGGCATGGGCGGCTACGTGGTGAGTAGATTGAATATATCCGAATAAATACAACATTAACGATGTTTCAGCGCATCTTCAAGTATGCAGATCGTACAAGCTGGGCGTTCAACATCGTTGCATTCATTGCAGCCATCGCCGCTGGAACGTTACTTCCGTTGATGTAAGAAACCTGCATACAGCATTTGTTTCGCTTAACAAACATACACTAACCTACATGTCCATCGCACAGGGATCTAGTGTTTGGCAAGTTCATCTCGACATTTACTGGGTTCGCGACTGGCTCGATCACGCCAGCGCAATATCGCGCTGAAGTGAACAAATACACATTGTACTTCATCTACCTCTTCGTTGCAAAATTCGGCCTCGTCTACATTCACTCGGTACGTGACTGACAAGCTACACCCCTGAAAGCATGCTCACGTTCACAGGCATTTGTATCCATCGCAGCGATTCGCACCACCAAGGCCTTGCGATTGGACTTTATCAAGAGCATTCTCCGGCAGAACATCGCATACTTCGACTCAGATGAAGCTGCTTCAGTTACTACACAGGCTACGACAAACGGAAATAATGTCAACAACGGTATATCCGAGAAGCTCACCTTGACCGTCCAAGGTGTATCGACGTTCGTCTCGGCATTCATCGTTGCCTTCATCGTCCAATGGAAGCTTACCTTGATAACGATAAGCATCGTTCCAACAATCATGATCGTTGTCGGTGTCTCCATCGGCATTGATACCAAGAACGAGAACCAACTGCTACCGATTTACTCCAAAGCCGGACAACTTGCGGAAGAAGTGTTCTCCACAGTACGCACAGTCCATGCATTCTGGCTTCATCCGTTACTGTCTCGCAAGTACGACAAGCTTCTTGGCGATGCCCAGGAGGTTGGGATGAAGAAATCTCCAAACTACGCCGTGATGTTCTCAGTCGAGTTCTTCTGTATCTATGCGGGCTATGGTCTGGCTTTCTGGCAAGGCATCCGGATGTGGGCCAGGGGTGAAGTCAAAGAGAGTGGTATGTAAAACATCGACTTGGATCGAGATGATCCTCCGATCTACCCGACCAGTAGTATTCAGTACTAATTCATCGATAGGTGACGTGTTTACCGTCATTCTAGCTGTCATCGTCGCAGCGACCGCTATGACAACAATTGCACCTCAGATCATCTCTCTGACGAAAGCCGCTTCCTCTGCCGACGAGTTGTTCAAGACTATCGATCGGAAGTCCGAGATCGATCCCTTGAGTGATGAGGGCAAGGTCCCCAGCGTGTGCGAAGGTGTTGTAGAAATTCGAGACGTCAGCTTTGCCTATCCCGCTAGATCTGACATCACAGTCTTGAAGAGCTTGACGCTATCTGCACCTGCTGGGAAGACCACAGCCCTTGTAGGAGCATCAGGTAGCGGTAAATCGACGATCATCGGCTTGATAGAGCGTTGGTATGATCAAGCCAGCGGTGCCATCTACCTTGATGGTACTGACATACGAGAGCTCAACCTCACCTGGCTACGTACGAATATCCGATTAGTACAGCAAGAACCAGTGTTGTTCTCCGGTACTGTCTACGAAAACGTCGCGTTCGGCTTGTTCGGCACCAACAAGGCCAACTTGCCTGAGAGCGAGCAGCGGGCGCTCGTAGAGAAGGCCTGCAAGAACGCTTATGCCGAAGAGTTCATCGAGCGGCTACCGAAAGTGAGTCATCTTGCTCCTCAGATACTCAACTTGTAGATTGCTAACGTTGATTAGGGTTATGAAACGCAGTTGGGTGAGCGTGCTATGAACCTCTCAGGCGGTCAGAAGCAACGACTGGCCATCGCGCGAAGTATCGTCTCGGAGCCGACTGTCCTTCTCTTGGATGAAGCCACCAGCGCTTTGGACCCAAAGGCAGAGAAGATTGTACAGCAAGCACTTGAACGTGTCTCTCAAGGTCGCACAACCATCGTCATCGCTCATAAGCTTTCCACCATTCGTAATGCCGACAACATCGCAGTCATGGCTGATGGAGTTGTCGTTGAACAAGGTTCACACGACGAGCTTCTCGCTGCTGGCGGTGCTTACGCTCGTCTCGTCAGAGCCCAGGATCTCGGTCAAGCAGAGGGCGAAGCGAAAGAAGACCAGGATTTTGCCGCAGAAAAAATTGATCTGATACGGACGCAGACTCAAGCATCCGCTATCGGCCAAGAGGCGAAAACGTCTGACAAAGACTGCATCAATTACAACTTGGTGAAGTGTGCCTGGATAGTGCTCAAGGAACAGGGTACGCTTTGGAAATGCTTTCTCATTTTGGGAATTGCAACACTGGCCGGAGGTAAGTCCTGGGCTTGTCATGTGTTCGACTATTACTGACCTAATATAGGAGCGACATATCCAGCTCAAGCCATCCTGTTCTCTCGCGTTGTCGAAGCCTTTCAACTCTCCTCCAAGAGGGCAGTAGAACAGGGTGACTTTTACTCCTTGATGTTCTTCGTTGTCGCAATTGGCAACCTCGTTGTCTATGGCGCTGTTGGCTGGGCCAGCAACGTTGTCGCACAGGTTGTCGCCAGGGTATACAGACGCGAGATTTTCGACCTTGTCCTCAAACAAGATATGGCATTCTTCGACGATCAAGACAATGCGAGCGGCGCACTCGCCTCGAAACTCGGCGCTTACCCTGACGCTTTACGGGATCTCATGGGCTTCAACCTCATGCTCATATTTATCAACATCGTCAACATCGTCTCTTCGTCGGTTCTTGCCATTGTGGTCGGCTGGAAGCTGGGTCTTGTAGTTGTCTTCGGAGGTCAGTATCAGTTCGCAGTTCTCTCCAGTAATCGACACTGACTTGGCGCAGCTATGCCTCCAATCGTGTTTTCTGGGTACCTCCGGATCCGACTTGAGTTCAAGCTAGAGGACCTCACGGGCAAACGTTTCGCCAGCAGCGCTGCTCTTGCATCCGAAGCAGTCTCCGCCATTCGCACAGTTTCCAGTCTTGCGCTCGAAAGACACATCCTTGCCCGATACGAAGATCGATTACGCGGCGTCGCAAGAGATGGCATCAAAGCTTTAGTGTGGACAATGTTTTGGTACGCACTGACGCAGTCCATCTCATTTTTGGCAATGGCCCTGGGCTTCTGGTATGGCGGCCGGTTGATCAGCACGGGAGAATACACGACTACCCAATTCTTCACTGTCTTCATCGGTGTCATTTTCTCTGGAGAAGCAGCTGCAGCCTTCTTCTCCTACACTACAAGTCTTACAAAATCAGCCACTGCGGCTAACTATGTCTTTCGGTTGCGAGCATTGAAGCCTGCAGTGCAGGAAGACGCATCAAAACCGCCGTTTCACGACGAGAAGGACAAAGGCCCAGCACACATTGAGGTGCAGGACCTTGCTTTCGCGTACAAGTCTCGGCCCAATGCCAAGGTCCTGGAAGGCATTAATATTGATGTGCGGCCCGGTCAGTTCATTGCTCTCGTCGGAGCTTCAGGCTGCGGGAAGTCGACAATGGTTTCGCTCTTGGAGAGGTTCTATGATCCCGTTGCAGGGCGCATTACCTGTGATGGCACTCCGTTGATGGATCTCTGTCCACGCAAATACCGCCGAGATGTGTCTCTGGTCCAGCAAGAGCCGGTCCTGTATCAAGGCTCTGTTCGGGACAACATCGCCATGGGTGTTGAAGTCGACGTGACTGATGCTCAGGTAGAAGCCGCGGCCAAGCAGTCGAACATATTCGACTTCGTTGCATCTTTGCCAAACGGCTTTGCGACGATGTGCGGTAGCAGAGGCACGCAACTATCGGGTGGGCAGCGCCAGCGTATTGCCATCGCCAGGGCACTCATTCGCGAGCCACGCCTACTCCTTCTTGACGAAGCTACTTCCGCACTAGATACTGAATCCGAGAGGGTAGTCCAAGCGGCGCTCGAAGAAGCGCAAAGTGGACGTACAACCGTCGCGGTGGCGCATCGTCTCAGTACTATCAAGGACGCGGACATGATCATGGTGTTCGCGAGGGGAAAGATTGTGGAAAGTGGCACACATCAAGAATTACTTGACAAGAAAGGTGTGTACTATGAGATGTGCTTGGGCCAAAGTATGGATCGGGCGGTACCGACATGACGCTCGAGGCACGGCTCATCGTTTTCTCTTCGTCTGCACTACAATCGTAAATAGAACCTTTGATAGACTGTACAATGTGTAATTTATCTGCCCTCATGTCTCGACTTCATGGCTGCTCACGTCCATCATCAGAACGTGCATCGTGCGGTTGCCTGAGCAGGAGATCTAGTTTGGCGACAGTTCGCGCCATGAAATTATGACGTACCTCGTGGGTGGCTCCAGTTCCACCTGGTGCCACAAAGCAAGTGAGCACGCGACAGTAGACGATTCGCGAAATGGCCTGAGGAGACGAACGTGTTGATGCAGAAGTTCAGCGGAGAAGCGGTGGCCCGCGGCCGGATCATGCTAATGTCTCGCTTATCGACCAGGGTCTTGCGCCACTCTTGGTGCCATCATTCCTTCTTCCTCACATTCCGAGGTCAGCCGTTGTGTGTGCCTCACCACCCCCGAGGATTGCGATACCGACCGCTGAAGTACTTGACGCGACAGTCTTTGTCCTCCTTCGTTGGCGGGTTTGGGTTTATCCCACCGCTGGATGAAAGTCCGATGTACGCGTCTTTAGACAGATCTGACGCGCGCTGGGCCCACGAAGCGCGTCATGGCTTTACTCTCGAGAACCACCGCCTTAACCCGCAAATTGCACCAAAAGGCCGGCGTGTGGCTCTAACGACCCATATGCCGCCGCCGCGCGTGTGGAGGTGCTGAAGCACAACGCGATCCATCATCGTCAGGTCAAACCGCCAAGACGTCTCACGTATTCCCCGGGACCAATCGCAACCCGCGCAACCAAAGCTTCCTGGCCAGAGCATGTCTTAGCATCGCTCATGTCAACAGTTTCATGCCATTTTCCTGACGATCGCACACTGTATACTGTGGCAGTAAGTGAGCCTTAGTTTCAAGGACAACATCGTTGGCCCAATAACAGAACAGCCGTTTCAATGGCATACTCCGCACCGCGCTGGGGATCAAGGTAGCTCCGAGCTGACCCACTGATTCACGCTTTGGAGACGTTATGCGACTGAGGGTAATGACCCTGACGGCAAGCCCCCAAGCCGTCATCCCACATTGATAGCATTGGCGTCTCCATCTCCATTGCTTCACTTTCCTCTTCCACTTCTTGACTGATGCGGATCATCGTTCCTTAGGAAGTCAGGTACTATTTTCATTTCTCCGTCGACCGGATACACTCTTTTCGGTTCTTAGTCCTGGGGACATTGTTTACTTTATTATAGTTTGTTGATATTACTTGCGCGAGCGCAGTTCAGCGTACAATTACTTAATACCCTTCATCATATCTACCATGGCTCGCTATCAACTTCGACGGCCATCGCCGGTCAAGGTCTTCCCAAGACGCGTTCGTCGCGACGATCCAGTCGCGAGTACGATGCCTGTCGCTGCGGGCGAGGAGGGAGAGGAGGAGGAGGAAGGCCCAGAGAGTCCGGACTCACCCTTCAGCAGCCCGTCCACAGTCGGCGGCGACATATCAGAGAGCGAGGACTCGGAATCCGAAGACGAGGAAGAGCCACCTTCGCCAGTAGAGAGTGGAGCTACAGAGACATCAGCAAGGCCCGTCCAAACCCTGGGACCCGACCCAACTGCCGCCCCGTCGATGCCAACATCATCAGGAGAGAGTGATACTGCGACTACGTCTGTACCTTCTTTCACCTTCGGCGCCCCTTCTGGTGGTAACAACGCAGCACAACCTCAGATCACTGGCGAAACCACCCTAGCGACCGCCGTTCGTCCTACCATAACGTCAACAATCATCAAGGAAGTCATGCCAACAGGGAGTCCAGAGCGATCTTCATCGATGCCTCCAGTATCTCTTACTCCGCCGCCTCGAAACACAGCTGAACCAGAAGTTAACGGAAATGCGGGTCCCCAGAGGCTGCCACAACGCGAACAAGAGCCAATCATGACTAAAGAGGCTATGACCGCAGCAATTGTCCTGGGTGTACTCGGTCAGTCAGGCCCGTTGCCGCTGCTATATATCGTTGCTAATCATTGAGTAGGTGCATTAGCACTGTTAGTTGCTGGCTTCGTCTTCATCAAGCGCCGCAAGCGGAGGCATAGTTACATCGATAAGGGCCCACCATTCGAGACGTTCAATCCATACGCAAACGATCCCGTTCTGCCCCCGGAAACCGCACACGTCGGTGACGCGTCTTCTATCTTCGCTCGCCTCAATGGCGGTAATGCTGGCGGAGCAACCGCTCATCTGACCCGCTCTACTGACCGCAGCAACACGCTCTTCGGCCCAGGTCCATACTCCCGTCCCGAAACCGTATCCACAGAACGCTCTACCCGTGTACCACCGACGCCAAACCCTTTCGCCGATCCACCCCTCAACAAAGCGTATGATGTGTTGAACAACAGACCCAGAAGTACAACGCTCACAGATCGGGGAAGCTGGCAACAAAACCCCTTCAGGAATCCGGAGAGCGAGCGATTCGATCCGTTCGGAGAGTTGAAGGAGAAGGCTAGGAGGGAGAGGTTACGGTATGTGGAAGACGCGAGACGAGAAGCTGAGTTGAGGAAGCAGATGGAGCAGAAAGAAGCGATGGGACTTAGACCGGATGGTATACCGTGGAGCGGTGAGGCTGGGTACAGGTGATGGCTGGAATGAGTGTATATGTACTTGATCGACTCTAAGGTTTAACTTTAGCGAAGGCGAATCGTTTTCGTGACGTCAATAGCGCATGCCAGATACCTTTCGCGTATATCTGGACGCCTTTGTACCATCGTCTGTCTTCGATTTAATAGCGTCCGGTCGGTAATAATATCAATCAATATATTTAACTCGAAGTCAACTATGTGAAGGGCGGCGGGCGCGTTTTGAAAGAAGAAGCCACTGTATGCTTGTCGCTAGAAGTGATTTTAGGCAGAAGAGAAGTCACATAAGGCCCATGAGATTGAGAGCATCCAGACTTTATCAGCCAATCAACATGAACTGCGTATCCTATGTGTCTCTCGAGCCAACGATCCACCACCACTAGCATCCATCTACTTCCCACCCGCCGCGTCAGAAGGGCCATCAAACTTCGGATCCCTCGCATTCAACCCATCGTCATACTCAATCTGCACCTCCTTTTCTATCCCATCTTCATCGACCATCAACGCGCAATTTCTCTTGATCAAATTCCACTCCTTCTCATCATACGTTGTAGGTTCCGACGCGATAATCGTATGCTTACCCATCGCACCGGCTTCGCCAATCTCGCCTCCCGCACCCGCACTCCCGCCATCCTTACTATCCGGGTCGCCAGGGAACTTCGTATTGAGCGTGCGACCCGCAAACTCAGACCAATACAGACTGGGCGGCTGCTGCGAGACGTGATTGCGGAAGCGGATCGCAAGCATCTTCGTTCCGTCGGTAGTGCAGAAATTGAGGGAGTTGGGGGTGTTAGCTTCTCCCAGTGTGCGTTTTTGCAAAGTGAGGATCTGAACGACGGTTTTCTGCATGGCTTCGAGCATCTTTTTGAGAGGATAGGCTTTCTCCCAGGATTCTTTGCCGGCGCTGTTGGTCAGGTTGGTCATGTAGAGGGCGGCGGCGTGTTCAGAGTCTGTGCTGCCGAGTACGTTGCAGTAGGCGTCGAAGGAGAGGAGTGAGGTCATTTCACGGCGGATCGACGAGAAGTTCGAGATGACGCCGTTGTGCATGAAGACGTGGCGGCCGAAGACGAAGGGGTGGCTGTTTACTTGCGTTACGACGGAGCCACTGGTCGCGCGGATGTGAGCGAAGACGCATTGCGATTCCGTGTTGTGGCACAGCGACTTGAAGTTGAAGTCGTTGATGGGTGGGGATTGGGACTTGTAGAGCGCGGGGCGGGGGCCCATGACGTGCTTAACGTAGGAAGAGCTTGCTGTGGTGTACCCTAGGTGTATGTGAGCAGTTGTCAACTGACTGGTCGCATCAAAAGTTTAGCATTTGCAAGTCTCAAAGTCCCTGTAGACCACGTATGTGACGGGTACACCCCAGTGAAGGGAAAAACTGAACAGGTGCTCCGAAGTCTACATTGCCCTAAAAACCGAGTTTTGTATCTTGTTAAGGCAATGTAGTCTTCTTAGGCTTGTTTTCTCTTAATCGAAGATTATGCTTCGCGGAGATAGGTGTCCAGTCTTTCCCTTGAATGGGGTGGGTGTGTGACCGCTGTGAACATCGGTGCCGTGCCGCCATACGATAGAGAACGCGTACGACGATCTAAGGAGGTATTGTAGTACGTACAAGCAATGCCAAGCCCGTCCATGTTCAGTAAAGAGTTGCGCATACGCATCAGCTCATCTGGAGAGTCATCCAGATCCTTTTCCTCGTTGTGTGGCAGTAATTTCGGGAGATAGTGCTCAGAGCATTGCTTGCTGATGCTGTTGTCTGGTGTGATGAGGACGTCGGAGAGCAGGCACGGCTCCGTTGGTGAAATGTATGCGAACCACCGGCACATGATGTTTAGTACTCTCTGGCGCGTTCAATGTTGGTGTTTGTGAATACCAGAAACTCGTAGGACTGATGTAGGCTTTATGGGTGCGCAAGACTGGTGTGAATGTCTATCCACAGTGTTCGTTCTGGATTCCATGCAAGATGGGTCGCACAACAGTCTTCGAGGCGCAATACAGGTGACGTGGAGCTTCGTTGTAGGCGCGATTTGTAACAAGTACGCTCGGAAGCCTGTGCGGGCACGTATCACAACTGTGCGACGTGTGTTGGAGAGGGATCTTGGAGTAAGGAGATGCTCGGTGATGATAAGTACTAGTTGAGGCTGCAGGAATGAGGAGGAAAGTGCGCGTGATACCAGATACGTGCAGAAGTGAGACTTCAGATGCTGTTCAGGCTGCAAGAGGGATCTCGTGGCTGAGCTCGTGAGGCTGAGGTATGTAAATTGGAGGCGCAGCCAACGTATCATGGAGGGGCAGGCGGCAGGCGGCAGGAGCGGGGCAGATCGCTGCTAAGCACCAGCTCAGGCTGCAAACAATTATATTGTGAAGTAGCTCTTCACTTGACATTCTACTGATCGTCGCTTTGAGCACTTGAAAACGGACACCAGTGATGAGAGAGATCGAGTCTTGATTACGCGACTGCGTTGCTTGCGAAAATGGCCAAATATCCATACTGTACCACAACGAGCCCGGGATGTTGGTATGGTGAGCCCAGGAGAATGGCTTCTCCGGCGCAAAGTTGACAAACATTGGGTAGGCAATATCCTCGAGTATTAGCCAGTACTTCGTGTACCGATAGGCATCCACAATTCTATTTGCAGAGCCCTCTGGCTATAGTAGATGTTTCACCAAAAGTCAATTACTCACTACCGCTGGAAGCTCAAGGCCGTAAGTTGGAAGAAAGAGAGTTCCTGCACTTGATCTTACAAATGCATGAGTACGCATGGCCGCTTAGGTTGATGATACAGGTCCCAGGATGTTCGATTGATGACTGGGACCATGTAAAAGCCGCACATCCTTCGGTTCCTGCGTTCAATTCCAGGGCCCGTCCAGGAGCATCGCGGAACGGCGGGAGTGAAAGTGGGTCTGCGTCGAAGATGAAGACCCTTGGTCTCCACCAGCTGCAAGCCGATAAGAAACGGCTACGACGAAGGTGTCCCATCCTGAACTTGACTCGTTCCAAACAGTAGAGGTGCAGAGAAGTGAATAGCGCAATGGTCGAGAAATGTATGTTATAATGCCGCGGAAAAGCTGCGAGCTTCGAGATAGTGTTGGGGCACGACACCTTAAGGCGGCGGTAGTGATCTAGATGTGTGCATCGTAAGGCTTAGCGAAGAAGGAAAATGTACATGCAGCGGCACACAGCCTCGACTAATCGGCCACAGCGAACCTGCGATCTGGAAGTGAATCGTCGATGGGGATATTGTGACAAGGGGAGTAGATCATGTCGATAGGTTGTATCCTTTGGAGGCCGAGACATACGCCGGCAGACATGTCCATACCGTGGCGTTACATGTGAAGGCGATGGATATTGTCTTCCGATGTTATCTGCTGTCCGCGCATTGATTGGAAAACATGATAGAATACATCTTCCTGCTCACTTCATGTCTGTGAGCATGTGCTGTGCTGTCGCTTCCTCTTTGGAGATTTGGCAGGAGAGGGCAGGAGCGACGAACCGACGACGAGCCGGCGCCGTAGTCGGAGAGAAAGATTCCCAAGCTGCTATCGTGACTTCCATTCTTCTCTCCACTTCCTGCCCACTTAAACCACCACGAAATCATTATTTTGCATCTCAAACGACTCGGACTCCAATATAGACACGACGCGATTGCCGCTCAGCCGACAATGGGGCAATGCCGAGAAGCCATTGCTTTTAGGCGGACAGCGACCGCACGCTGATGCGAGAGGCTGAGCGCTATCACCTTCGAGGCTTGAGCAGTGAGGGCGTTCCATAGAACGTTCTCCTGGAATTCGCTACTGGGCTGCGGATCTTCGAAGCTGTGCTTGTGGCGACTTATCTGCAGGCAGATTTCACATTTCGAGCCCAAGGCGGCGCGCTCTTTGCGACAAGTTCAGACGATCAGCGAAGAACGCCGAAGCAAAGTCCCAAAAATGGCTATCAGTTTCATGTCGCATACGATTTCCATGGCAGACTGAGAAGGACCGACGTATGCCGCCTATTGTCCGTTCAGAACTGTATGCCGGCTGCAGCGTCCATGGCACCCACGAGGGCCACCGGTACTTCTCACGCGCGATGCCGTCATTTGATTTGTACAAGGCTCGGCTTCCCGCAATGCCAATCTCTCAACGTATCTAAGGCGGCGAACACGAATCAAGCACCGTGGCGTTCTTTCCTTGTTATCAGCCGAGAGCCGGTCCAGAGGCTTCGTTATGCGGCTCTCTTGCTTGGAGCTGGCGGCATCAGACGACCTCTTTCTCACAAAAGATGCGAGCTGTCAGCCGCGAAGCGCCACGCCACAAGCAATCGCGCCCGACCCCAGAAACCCACGAGCTTGGTGTGACAAATGGCCCGCTCCCTGTTGTTCGCATCTCTATGCTCGCATGCAGCCACTCGCCAGCACCGGAGGCCCGCCACGCTGGATTACGTTCCCTTAACTGTCTTTGAACGGCGGAGGACCTGGGCCCTGGTCGCCCACCCCAGTGCTTAACCCAGGCGCGCTTGCCCATGGGCGAACAAGGTGTTTCCGCTGCGTCGCTGAGCCAGGCTTGGCCAGGCCGGCGCAGTAGGGTGGTACCGTCAACGCCGCTACTGAGGGAAGGCGCATCCCCATTCGCGTGCTACAAAACGAGCGGGGTCGCTACGCAGCTGTGCAGCCGGGGTGGGTTGAAAACTCTGTACCGTCGAATCCCATGCCCAGAATTGCGGTACATAGACTACGCCCCAGTGCGTTAGTCGTCGCCGGTCGCCTAGCGCCCCACCAAACCTCTTTGGACTTGTAGTGGCATCGCAGCGCTCACCACCGACAGGATCCACAGACAGGGCAGACTGGGTGTGCCGCGCCTGTCCCCCGTATAAGTACCGGGCCCTTCACCCCCAGGGTCCTGGTTCCGACCAAGGGCAATCTCACTTCCTCTACCAAGTTGTAGCCTTCCTTCTGTTCACTGGCTTCCAGTGCAACTCATTTTGTCGTAGCTTTAGCTGCTCCCCCACGCGACTGATAGTCGATCCCTCCCCCAAGCGTCGACTCCAGAGCGACAAAACCCAAACCAAAGCGACTTTCCATACGCGACAACACTCCCTTGCGACAATTCCCATCTTGCCTAAAGCGACAACCCCCCAATTGCAACCATGGCCGAAGACAAGAAGTATTCTGGAGAGTACGTCCGCGAGGCGTATCCTGGTGACGATATCCAACATGGCCAAATGAGCGACAACTCCGACGACCTGCAGCGTCACCTGGGTAACCGTCAAATTCAGCTCATCGCTATTGGTGGTTCCATTGGTACTGCTCTGTTTGTGTCAATCGGTGGTGCTCTCAACAAGGGCGGTCCCCTCGGTCTACTCCTCGCATACACTGGATACTCTTGCATCATCGCTCTCGTGAACAACGCCATGGCTGAGATGGCCAGTTTCATGCCTGTATCCGGAGGCTTCATCCGAATGGCTGGAAAATGGGTCGATGAGTCCCTAGGCTTCATGGCTGGCTGGAATTTCTTCTTCTACGAGGCTCTGCTGATCCCGTTCGAGATCACGGCCCTTAACATCGTGCTGCGGTTCTGGAGAGATGACATTCCAGTCGCTGCTGTCTGTGCGGCCGTCATTGTCCTATACGCGTAAGACCTACCAGCTTGCCTTAAGGGTAGTAATCTATATAAGGGACAAGAACTAATCGCCTTTAGTGCTTGCAACGTCTTGGCTGTAAAGGCGTACGGTGAAGCTGAATTCTGGCTCTCCGGAGGCAAGGTCCTGCTGATCCTGATCCTCTACTGCTTCACCTTCATCACCATGGTCGGAGGTAACCCCCAGAAGGATGCTTACGGTTTCCGACACTGGCGCGACCCGGGCCCAATGCCCGGCGGCAGCGACCTTGCTCGTTTCGAAGGCTTCCTTGGCTCCCTTTGGGCTGCGTCCTTCTGCATTGTTGGTCCTGAGTACATCTCCATGGTCTCCGGTGAAGCCAAGCGCCCACGTGCCTACATCAAGACTGCGTTCAAGACAGTCTACTTCCGATTCGGTGCCTTCTTCATCCTCGGTGCTCTTTGCGTTGGCGTTGTTCTAGCCTACAACGACCCAGAGCTTGTCAGCGTCTTGGAGGCGGGTGAGAGCAGTGCTGCTGCGTCTCCCTACGTCATTGCCATGAAGAACCTCAACATTGGTGGACTTCCCCATCTCGTCAACGCCCTCTTGATCACGAGTATCTTCTCTGCCGGTAACACATACACATACTGTGCGACTCGCAGTTTGTACTCGCTCGCAATCGAGGGCCGCGCCCCTAAGTTCCTGCGAAAGTGCACCAAGAACGGTGTTCCCATCTACTGCTTCGTGGTAGTCATGGTTTTCCCGTTCCTATCCTTCCTCCAGCTGTCTTCCGACTCCGCCAAGGTCCTGACCTGGCTCATCAACATCATCACCGCCGGAGGTATCATCAACTACATCGTCATGTGCGGCACCTACCTCGCATTTTACAAGGCTTGCAAGGTCCAGGGTCTCGACCGCAAGACCCTTCCTTACTGCGGTTACTTCCAGCCCTATGGTACCTGGTTCGCGCTTTGCTTCGAGATTTGCGTTGTATTCGTGTACGGTTACAGCACCTTTGTGGGTGAATTCTCTCTCGAGTCCTTCTTCACATACTACACCATGGTCGGCGTTGCTCCGATCCTGTTCGTGTTCTGGAAACTCGTCAAGAGGACGAAGTGGCTGAAGCCGCATGAGGTTGACCTTGTCTGGGACGCTCCTCTCATCGACGCCTACGAGGCTTCCTTCATCACACCGCCCATCGGCTTCTGGACCGAGATGCTTCAGCTTATCGGACTGAAGCGCAACGTTCCCGTGGACAAGCGTGCTGTTTGAAATGCTTTCAGCGAATCAGCGAAACCTGTATAGCAGAGATGTTCTGCCATGATCTAACGTCGTTGGATAGATTTTCTATCGCCAGAAGCCTATGAGTACTGGCCGCGCTTTTACATAAATGCAATACCCATTCATTCTGCGAAACTCAGGCAATAGCGACTTGCGAATGATGTCCGACCTCCGCTATACCCATGCGACAAATAGCGAGGCGGAGAAAGATATCCTAGCGACAGTATACAATGCGCTTCAACTGTGATGTCTCGATTGTGGCATCCGCTACAATAGCCTAAGCGACATTGCTAGAACGGCGTTCCAATGCGACATTTCAATGCGATATAGCCGTACGAGGCCTCCCATGCGACAATACTATTATTATCGGCAACACCGGCGGTACCTTTGCTCTCACGCGCAAGCTTACCTAGCATCAGACGGTCCGAGACGGTAGTTGCTTTATCTCACTAAGGCACGGTCGCAATTACCTTTTAACGTCGATCGACATTTCGCCTGTGTGGAGTCAATGGAGCAAGATATCTGCAGCTTGCACTCCATCTACCTGGCATCGACAGAGTCGTCCGAATTCACGCGCGTGCATCCCTCGAACATATTAAAGCGCTTGGTAATGTTTTCCGAAAGTTTCCCCGCTATCGTTGCGATGCGCAGTGTCTGCCTCAATGCGCCTCGCCTCAGCCCCCGCGTACGCCACTATCAACCCGTATCAGTTCACCCACGCCTATGCATGCAACTGCACGCCTTCAATGTTGGTCAAGGTTTACGATTGCACCTGGACGCCCTGTGACCCAAGAACACGGTCGTGAGTTGGGCATGGTGTCTTACATGTCTTAACGCCAGGCTTTCGGCGCAGCTGCAGACATCCTTGACATAAGACAGCGGAAAAACTTGGGTTCTGAAGGCAGACTGCCAACGATTCGCTCGGCTCATAGATCCTATGCGCATCTACTTGACCGTGCCTCAAATACCTCAATACTATTGAGCTTATCTCCGACCCACGACCAAGGGAAGACGACGTCTCAGGCCATCGCCAGCCGTGTTCGCGTCGGTGCGCGACATACATCATCGCTCTTTACATCCCGAAACGAATAATTGATCCCGTCGCCGGTATCCCCGTACCGCTGGTGGCGCACCGCGATCCCGCCCTCACCACACCTCCGGGTTGATGCATTGGAGTCTCCTACTGCCGCGACCACACTATTCATGCTGGTTCACGTCGTTTTGGCTCGATGTCCGTACCTTGCAGGACTTTCTCCGCAATTGATAATGCGTGGGCTGTCTAGCCGGGATTACCAGACGGCTCCATCTTTCCCGCATTGTTCACATCGTGGACTGATCATGCTATTGGATTTACGGAACATGGATGGCTGAAGACCAAGCTTCATCTAAGACTGCGGAACCGTGATAGAGCTGTTGGACGCTCTATCTCTTGGTATCAACGTGGAGCACTGGATCACATCGCAGAAAGAGGTAACATTGAGCGGTTACCGCGTACTGACCATTGCAGCTGATAGACTGGACAACGCGGTCCTTCCCCGTCGGAAAACACATTCCTTGTAAAATCCCGACAGGCAGACATGCTTTTCTTGGCGGAGAAACGCCCAGTGTGGAAATGTCACATGTGATCATCGATAGACATGCGCTATCCATAATTACCTCCGACACCGTGGTACGGTACACGTTTTTGACGTTACGCTGTCGCGAGCCAGACGCCCGTCATGTAGATGAGTACCACTGGATTCTGACGGTACGCTACCGCGGTTTGTACGCGGTACGCTTGCGGCTCCAGATATCTCCGTCGGCGATCTGACGTAGGATAGTTTGTCTAGATGCTCCGGTGCTGTCGTCCTCTAGTCGAATATGGATGGATAGTAGTGGTAGTTAGTGTACCTGTGAGTATGGTGACAGTAAAATATCTGACCCGACGTAAGATGCGTAGCACAGCAGTCCACGTTTAGACTGCTCAAAACGCCCATTTACGGCTTGATGACCCATTCGGTCTCGCCGTGTACCGATAATGAGGCTATATACGATTGATTTTATATGAATCCCATAGACAGTCTTGATCAATTCCGTGACGAATGGGTATATAGATCATAGTTACAATCACTTCCTTAGATCGACTTGAGAATTGGAGAACGAGTTCACTAATAATGTCTCTACCACGTCTTTGTCTGGTATCCTTTTCTTTCCTCATTATGCACAAATACCATCATCTTCTTGCGAGATTCAATGCCCCCTCGCTCGACGCCCTGTGCGATACCAACCCGTATACTCGCTACCGACAATGACCATTTCACAATTTCCTCAGGAGCACAAATGTATCACACCGTTCTCTCTCCAAGTGCCTATCGCGGACATACCACACCTCCATCCACATACCCTCAGCCTCACCAGAACCAACGGCGCTAGCACCCCATCCGGCCCGTCAGCCCACGCGGCCCTTCAACCAACTTCGCCCCCAAAAATCGGCCCGAATACCTCCACGCACACAACTTCGCTTGCGTCCACGTGCGCTTCCGCCAAGAACATTGGCTGGATGCCCAACGAAGCCACGCCCCTTCCCACTCGTCGCAATACCTTGCGCGACGTAAACAAGAAGCCCGATTCTGGGGTAGATGAACGGGACAAGAAAGTTGTCTTCGGCATGACATCATGCGGGGAGACATGTCGTAGTGTGTTGGTGGGACTGCCGTGGCATGGCTTGGGACCGGAGTTGTGCCGAAGTATATCCTGGGGTACGTACTGGTGAGACGAACGACCAGGTGTTGAGGTGTTTTTTTTTACGCCGCGAACGATAGATTGGGTCAGAAACTCTGGGGTGCTCGTTGGAGTATGGCGTACACGTCCGGGCTTCGATATGTCCATTGGTGTTTTCTGGAAGTCGCAAGCCGTGCCTCCACCTTCCTTCCTAGCTTACTAGCCAATCCTACTGTAATGTCTGACTTCAACTACGGTTCCTTATCGAAACCCGTACAACTGCCCTATAGCTTCCTGCATATCGACTGTATTCGGCGTAATCTGCGGTCTCGGGTCCTTGAATCGCGTGGAGATCTCGAACAGGAAGTGCGAACCCAGTGTAAGAAGTAAACAAGGTATGACGAGGCGGCTGAGTATACGACCCCACGATATCCGTGTTTCTTGTACCCTCTTCTCTCTCAGATGCTCTTTCTCCTCCGTGGTACTGACGGTATCCAAAGGTATCGATGCCGCTTCTAAAACGGTTCTATAACTCAGTCGACCGAGCCAGATGTGCCATCCCAGTAGCATAGTCGCAGCGGCAGCGACGCTCACCCACGAGGTCGTCGCATACGGTGATTGCGCTCTTCGACCCAGTGACTCGTATATCTCGTCTAAGCCTTGTACCCCGCAGTGCATGGTAAGTGGAACGAAGAGCATGGCTGCCGCCAGCGCGATAACTTCTAGGCCGCGCATACTGAGGCGTTTGAGGAATGTCGTTTCGGCCTTGTGGACGTGCCAGTCCGAAAGTATAGATAAGAGCTCATTTGTCCGTGGGTGTGTGGTTGACATTGTTAAGAGCATGGCGATGGACTAGGTCGTGTTCTTCGGCGAAAGTCTGGCGTGCGCGGTGAGGAAGCTTGAAGAAAGTAAGAATAAGTTTGGGTGGTGGGAGCGATGGCGATATGATGCTGCAGCTTCCTGGCAACGAGCAAGTTTCGGGAAGAAACTTCAATGTGGTGAATCGACGGTGTCCTGCGGGATTCGCGTCGTTGTCGTCGTGGTCGCTGTCTTTGTCCAGGGCTTCCCTTCCTCTCGTTTGCAGCTATCCTGACGCAGCGCTTTGACGCAATGAAGTAACGGCTCCGACTTCCTTCCCTTCACGTCCTCTGGCTCCCTTCAATTGGTACTTCAATGTCAATTCCAGTCGTCTCAGCCTCCTTCTGTCGCGTCTCACGCCCAAGTATGGCGGCTTTCCCACGTTCTTGGCTCTGCGATCCAGAATCCCAAGCGCACCAAGATGCACAACAATGCGCAACCCGTCCTTGACTCAATTGCGACTTCCTGTTCAGTCCGTGTGTTACTGCCAGCAAAGGTCCCCTATGTTAAACCACACGTCGCGAAAAACACGTTGCGCGATCAACCTCGGCACTTCGCGTCGTATCCTCGTAAAGCCGCTGAACGTAAAATCGGTGCCAAGCCCCTTTTTCGCACAGTCCCTTACCGCTCTTCCTTACTGCAAATCTTATGCCGTGCCGTCCGCAACAAAGATACTCGCACCTAGAAGCGCTCGTACGACGATAATGGTCCCGCACGCAAACGTTGTGTAACAGGGGAAGAAGGAATAGAGTTGGATGATGATGCTTACAACCACGTAGCCGTCCTCGGGAGTCTTACCAAGTCTACGCCTTGTGATCCGCACTGCGCCGCAGCAAGTAGGCTGCCTTGAAAGTTGGAGAGGGGTGAAGTAAGCGTTAAGGGTTGCCCCGCACCTGCAGCCTTGCGTCGCTAGGCCTTTAGCCTCGTGTTGTGATTGGTGCCCGGGCAGAAAGCGTGCCTGTGGCTGATATGTGGAGATTGGGATCACGATGGGAGAGGAAGGTGAGTACCTAATGGAATGAGATGATGCACGTGATAGGAGTGGTTTTATGGTTATTCTGGCCGGCACGATGTAGCTGCGATGAGGAGAGGCAAGCGGTTTGGAACAACTAGAAGATGTTGATTCTTATGATATACATGACCTCAAGGATGCACTACAACCAAAAGAGACATGCAACCACTGTCTACGCTTTCTATGGGAAAAGCAGACGTGACACCAGCCTCCAAAATGCTAAAGCTTGATGCTCGAAGGTTCAAAAAGCCGACAAGATGCACGCTAAATATCGAACCGAACACCACCGGAAAGGCGCAACGTAAGCCATGCCAGCAGAAATCATCACGAAGGAAGGGGATATGATGATGCTGGACTGCAGCAACCGATGCGTGTAAAGGTTGTTAGCTTTGGGGATCATGGGAACGCTGCTTGATCATGTCCAGTGATGACACCCAAGCTTTGCCAAGTAGCCTTCTCCCGGTCACCGTCGTGGTGATTGTAACGTACAAGCTCGGTGTACTAGCTCGCTGAACCGTGATACCGATGCCTAGTCCTTGATTCTTAGGTAAAGCACTGGTAGGCGTGTTTTCGTATGAGAAGTCAGCGGTGTTGGCCATGCCGCGGCTATGTCATACGTAGTTGCCCTCGTCTCGGAGTGTGACTTCGCTGTCGAAAGCTGGATCGTGACTGCGACTCGGCATTCTAACCTTGCTGTTTGATGGACCTGCGGCAAAATCGTAGGGCTGAGGTGGCGAGTCTGCGAATGGAATGTACGCGGTTTGGACTCTGTTCAAGAGAGGTGTTGGGGTGTTACTTCCCCTGCGAGGCGCGCCTTTGGGTGTGCCGCCAGGGCTTGGTGCGCGGCTGGGATACTTGCAGATGAGGCCACCGTTTTCATTGTCGTCGCTGTCGATGTGCAAAGTCCTGCTACCCCATGAAATGTCGCGTTTGTGCGAGTGTCGTGGATGGCGACTGGTGTATTGTGCGACAGCGAGTAGGACGTTATTCAGAAACAGTACTGGTAAAGGAGCCAGCCTATGATCTCATTCTCTTCGAAAAGTGGTGAAGAAGGAACTTAGCTGCAGTGAAGAACAGCACCACGATAGGAATCATCCAATGACTCCCCTTGAACTTGAAACCACGGGTGGTCTTGTCCGCAATGACAGCAGACACTTCCAGAACGATGAGTGTAAAGCCAACAATAACCCTGTTGATAATCTCGCCGAACTCATACTTCGTCTTGTCAATTTTGATGAACCAGTACATGATTGCGAGCACCGACAAGACAGCGCCTGCACCGATGAAGAACTGCATGATAGTGGTGTTGAAGACATCAGAAACGGCGTCTAGCTTGCCCGCGGACTAGCTGTAGTGGCGGTAATGGCGTTGAGCTTCGCCAGAGAGTTATAATGTGACTCGTAGACAAAGACTTGCGCCCTGTCAATCATGTGACGGACGACGTTGCCGGTTTAATTGTTTCATTCGTCTGATTTAAAGCCGTATGTTGCAGTGCAATTTTCGATCGCAGTAAAGTTTCTGTTCCAATTGTTCGTGGTGTTCCAGTATTTGCTCTTGAATCTCCCGTTCATAGCGGTCATGATTTGATTGAGATAGCTGACGTAGCTGTCCGTGTCGGAGTAGGTATTGGCTGGGTCGGAGTAATTCTTGGGTTTGATAGACCATATCTACTTGAGAGCTTGCACGGCTGAGGTCCATACGATGAGAGAGGTGTTGACTTCGACGCAGAGTAGGACTGCTGAATGCAGTGGATAATGTAACAGGGCCCATACTTGCTGCCGCACGGTTCCGAAACGATCGTGTGAAAGCTGATCGAAGTACAGCATCCAGAGAAGGTACTGAAGACCTGATCAGCACTTTTTTTATTGTACCGGGGTTCTATTCGCATACCAAGAGGGGTATGGCCACGACGACTGTTCCAGTCTCGCTTATGTTTTTGCTCGTCTGACCCTTAGTGATGCATGCCACGCTCTTGGCCATGCCGATGACACCATGACACCCTGCCCAATGATGATGAGGGTGAGCAGTTGCAGCCGCTCCGCTAGATGAGTGTATTCGAACCTGATGATGCGCCATATCATGGCGATAAGAAAGATAAGAACGCCTTCAATGATGGATATGATGACCCTACGCATTCTATTAGCCTAGGAACGGAACGCGTAGTTTACCACTTACCATGCAAGCTGTTCTTCAAGACCAACACGGCCCTCTGAGAAAGCGACCATGGTGACGGTATAGCCTATTGACGCTGCAGCATGAACACTTGCACTGAGACCTAACAGAATCAAGGTCTGACGATATGTGCGGCCTTGCCACATAACCACAGCGTATTGGGCAGGGATTGCGATTTTGCCGATGACGAGTACGATAGCAAAACTTCGATACGATTCTTCGACACCGCTGGTGTTGTACTTGTCGAATACAGGGCCGGCATACACAAAGCCTGTGAATATGCCGAACTGTATAGATTTGTGAAAGCGGTCCCATACACAATCGATGCTGAAGCGTACGTCGAAAAGTGTGACGCTCAGCCAGGTAAACCACATCAATGTAAAGAGCTTCATGTAGTTGATGAGTGCTGGTAGTCTATTAGCCAGTGCACCCGGAACGTGACAGCTGTGCACACATTCTGCGTCGGTATGCTGATGCATAGTTGTAAAGTATGCAAGGTTCGCAACGAAGAAGAGATCGTAAAAGAGCTCAATCGTACTGGCTTCAGTATGTTGTTTGTACATGATGATATTCCCGCGGCTCGTTCTGCCGTTCCCAGCAAATGTAGTATTCGTGTCATTTGAACTGTCAAGTGTACTTGTGTGGGTATTGACTTTCTCCAGATCTGAAGAGTTACCCGATACTACCTCAAGGACATCTCCGTTAATCGGACTTGCAAGTAGGGGCAGACAAGTTCTGTCTCTTCGATGCGCTGCGTGAGTACTGTTGTGACTGCCGGTAGTCTTCCGTCGTAAACCGAGATAACGTGCAAGATCCATGATGAAACAAATGGAAGAAACTGATGATCGTGAGTGGTGGTATGCCTGGATTGATGAGAGAGCTGAGCAACAAGGCAGCTACACTAACGGAACATATATACAAGATGCCAGCTACGAGAGAGCTGCTCTATGGCAGTGAAACGTCTGGCCATATCGCGTCGGCCCGTAGTCGAGGACGGGTAGCAGTAAGGCCGCCGCTTTATGTGGTGAGCCTTCGCCCCGTATCGTAGCCAATTTCAGAGTAGCACTGTTGTGGAAGAAAGCTTTAGTGAGCCATCAGTACCGAACAATCGTTTAGACTTGTGTATCTGGGGGCTGTTAGGTCCCAGTGTCACGCTTCTAGAAACAATGCCAGTGAGGCGCAGGCAACGGAAACCGCGTTGACTCAACGGAGAGACCTGAATAAGAGTGAAGGCATACCAGGAGAGGTCGTGTAATCCGAAGAGTATTATCAAAGCTTACGCTACGGAGTCGTCTTCAGCTTTCGGCAAGGAAGCGCCGTCTGCCGTGAGCCTTGCAAATCTACTGCATGGCGGTTGTTGCACAGTACGACTCTGTGTACCCGAGATCGGTAAAGCCAATCATGGCGTCGGTATGAGCGGTGCAGGAACATTGAGCCGTGCCAATCTGCCAGGATGACTGCCAATGTCGGACGCACCAGCATGCGCCGCCAAGCTTTCAAATAAGCTCAGCGCGCACAAGTCTTCGGTCTCGCAAGATGCTGCGGACCAGGCTGAGCAATCGTTTATTCGCCAAACACTGTCCCTACTTCGAGCCTGCTGACCTTGCCAAGATAGTGCGCATCTTGCTGTAGCATGCCAAGCCTTCCAGCTGGCTTGCGAGGTCTCAATTTGAAAGACTATGCCAGCGCAAGTGCCAGGAAGAGCGAATGAGATGCGACCAGCAAACCACGCCCTTCCAGACTAGTACATGCACATGCGGCGATCGTCCCATGTGGTTACACAGATTACAGTAAAGGTTATATAGGATGATGGCACGTGGTTCGGCGATTATCAGCAAGCCGCGTCTCAAAATGCCTGCACAGTTTCAGCACATTTGAATCATTAGATTTATTTCCCCCAAAGGTGTGTATATCCGCAGCTCAGTGACCGGAGGAGGAGCTTTGCCACTGAGTTAGCTATTTCGAGACGATGATCGGCGGGCGTTCGTGATCGAAGTGAAGACGTTGCGAAAACCTTGGTGGAGTAATTTTGGCTTCAACAGTTGCTATCTTCGTGACGGCTCAACGTATTCGCTGGCTCCCTCCTCAAAATCCTCATCCGAAGAGCTCTCGTCGTCGTCTTCATCTTCTTCCTCTTCGGCGGCCTCGTAGTCGTCGTCTAATAGGTCGTCCTCATCATCCAGGACGGGCGCACTTGGAGGTGGACGCCTGGACCGTAACGTGCGACCGGCGTGGTTGGATCCAGCATCGAGTCTGTCCACTTTGGCTCTCACTCTGCCCTGCCTGCCTCTTCCTTCGAAGTCGAGGGTCCATTCCAGCTCGAGAGCCTGCTGCCTAGTGCCGGCATTATCGATAATCCAGTTATATGGCTGCTTGAGCACAATCTCGGTACGAATGACGAAGGTTCCCCAGCCCCGAGCTTCGTACTCGTAAGGTGGTTTTCGGACAATAACGTGGGATCGTCGAAACGTAGGATGCTACCATGTGTCAGCTCTGCAGCGATAGGAAGCGGCCGGTGCCCAAGTGTCTCGAAGTACACAATAGGCACTGGAAACATACCAGATAAATATGCACCTCCTTGATCAAATCCGGCCTCGACGTGCGCACAAAGAACGTCCAGTCATGCTCATTATCGTCACCAGCATTCCTAATGAGCCTATGCTTATTCCCTATGAGAATCATGACGCCCTCGAAGCCATCACGCCCGATACGCGACCCTCTCTCCTCTTCCTCTTCCACGCGCCTTTCGGCATACGTGATGGGATACTTCTGTTCCAACTGTCTTGCCAACGCGTTATCCGGAGTTGCGGTAGTACGGGTCCTGCACATGGGACAGTTGCAGTCGAGGTCGTACGTTGGATCGTAGTTTGGGTCGAAGTCTGCGAGGTTCACGTCCCAGCTGGAGGGTTCGATGCGGTTCGTGTTGGAGGCGTCGGACCATTGCGCCATGCAGGACGCGCATAGCAGGTGGTTGCACTGGGTTTTCACGGGCGTGAAGAGAAGGAGCTGACATATCTGGGGTCTGTTAGCAAAGCTACGCGTTGTCGCGCGTTGTGCTTACGGGGCAGAGGTCGTCGTGCGCGACTTGTTCCGGGTTCGATGGAGTTGCTGTATCGGCCATGATGATGCGACGAGGAAAGGAAGGGGAGGGTCAAGTAATTTCGGTAGGAGGGCAGCCTTGAGCTGCCCTCCCTTTGTGCATTGGCGGCATGGCTCGCGTCGTGATGTTGTTATCGCCATTGGCTGTGACGTCCGCCAGGCATCAGTCCGCGCCGCACGGGCTGAGGCGGGCAGGCAGCTCACGTGATAGCGCGGCGGGAATGCTACACTCAAAGGCAGGCTAACACTTTCGCAAGGTTATTTCGCAAAAAATCAATGACTTCATCAAACGATTCTCCCCGCAATACCCTCCCCCTCTAACGAGATGTACTTTCCCAGCATGAACCCTGCTCCGACCCTCCTATACCTCTTCTCGCCCCTCCCTGATAGCCCCTGAGTCGCTGTGACAAGCAAGACGTAGTATCGCCTCAGCAAATTCGAGCTTCCGCCCTTCATTTTCGCCACGATGACACACTGCGTGACCTGGCCGTCACTCGCACTTGTCCTTTCGGCATCATACGTTATCTTGACCTCTTCTGGCAATCGCCCCGCCACTTTGAAGTCGCGGACGCGAGCTATGATGGCAATTTCATCCTCCTGGGGACCTGTATTCGTCATGGAGTGTTTGTTGCTACCGCGAGTCCAAGGTGGGATTATTTCGGTGCGCTCCCAGTCTGCTTGATCGAACGGTGGGTCGATATAATCTATGCCACCTCGGTACGCCATCCAGGACCAGCTTGGGACTTTCACCTTGCGCGCTGGTGGGAACTCAATTGGTGGCATGTTCGGAAGATCTCCTTTTTCCTCGCCGCGTTGCCACAAAAGACTTCGATGGAAGAGCCCGCCGTCTTCTTTATCTCCATCGTCAAAGATGCCAAACGCCCCTCGTGTGTTGAACGCACTTTGTAGGCGCTTCTCGAGACCCGCAATGGCAAAAGGACGGTCGGAGTAGCGGGTGAAGTCTAGACGAGAGTATTGCTTGTAGAGGCCTTGAAAGTAAGCAATCTTCCGTGCGCGATTGGCTCGCATGGCCTTGTTCGGGAAGTTTGGGTCACCAAGAAAATCGGCCATATTGCTGGCTTTGGGTCAGTGATGATCGAGCAAGCAATGGAACTTATCACGACTTACTTGTGCAGTTTGGCCAGTGTTTCGCACCGAACACCCTGGCCACACTCGAAGTACGTCTGGTTCTCCGTGAAGTAGATGGTCCGTCGTGCCAGCGCGCGCTCTTGCAACACCCAACCCCTCTTGTTCAACGACCCCTCGATGACATCTTTACTGAAGTTGTCGATAGTCTTGCAGACAAAGAGAGGATTCTCGTTGTCTCGTTGAAGAGTGATATACTCGCGCTGTGGCCTGGGATCAAGAAAGCCATCACGTTGATTGCTTGCTCTGCTTGCAGCGAGTACACAATACGCTCCACTAAAGACTGCCTCCATATTCTTCGACTCATCATTGAAATCTCCGTGCTCACCTTGAATGATGCACAGCGAATCTACCCACAGATAGCGAATGCCAATCTTTCGTGTACAGTTGACAGCGTCATGAAAGGTCGCTGGAAGATCTCCTTCGGGAATGGCTTGAAGATGGTCATCTAGATTATCTGGCAGGGTACAAAACGGTGTGTACTTTGTGGTGTCTCCCCAGGGGTGCGACAGTGCAACGTACTGTTTGCTCGGGATCTGCTCTCGCTTCGTCTCGACGAGGCGCAGCATGGGCGTACTGATAGTGCCCACGTCGAGGAGTCTTGTCGGCAGGCTATGGGACATTCCCTCACATCCTGTGTGATGCGTATCGCAGTCTTTGAGCCACAGCTTTATGATGCTGAAAAAGACGTCTGAACCGGGTTCTGGGAGTTCTGGGAAGCCAGTTTGGATCGGACACGGGAGGTCCGCTTCTGGGCTTCGGATCAAAGAAAGAACGGGATATGAGTCGCCCGTCATGATGATATTTGACTGATCTCGCTGGAATACTGCTCGATCTCCCTTGGGCTCTTCGGCTTGATTGTGAACTTCGTACAGCATTCTGCACAAATCGCATTGTGGAGCGCGATCTTCCAATGCTGATACCCGCTCTTCAATGCTGAAACCGCCTTTTAAGAAATCTTGCGTCAAGCATGAGCCACATAGTTGAGGATGGGAGGATGTTTGCGGGACAAATTCCTGTACATCGACACTTGCGACAAGTTTGTCAGCGAAGTTGTTATCGATCTGAAACTCCCAGTCTTTGAGAGGCGGAAGGGTGTAGTCAGCGCCGATAGGTCGACCAAGCACTCCACTCTTGAGCGACCCTGGGGGTGGTAGGTTGTTCAAAGGGAGATTAGCACTGTTGGGCGATAGCATCGGGGCCGTGAAGGTCGGCGTTCTGACGTTGGTGCGGTCTTTTCCAGTAAACATGTAGCTGGACACGTTTTGTTTCCTCAATATAACATCAAGCTCGTCACGAAATTGCGCAGCCGTAGCTCGATAGCGTGTGACAGATTGACCGAGTGCTGGAGGGAGCAGAGGTCGACCACTCAGAGTACCACTCTTTCTATTGGGTGGTAGATTGACGACTAGTAACATCTCGCGTACAATCTTGAGCAAATCTTTGGTCGCTGAGATCTGCCCTGCTGAACACTCAGGATCCTTAGTCTGAATGTGATCCATCCACTTCAAGACCACAGGGTGAACTCTAGCACTTTCCGGTTCGCTCGCGTCCAAAACTTCGTAGTACTGGCAAATCTGTTGTGCATTACCCTCGATCTGTTTGTAGAAGTTGTTCAATTCGTCATTGCCGTATAGAATCCAGATGATGAACTCGAACGTGATGCATCCCATCGACCAGATGTCATAGAGTCGGGAGCGTGCATTCTCACCAGTAACAGTTTCAGGCGCTTCGTATCGTCGGGTGCCATACCTGGTGCTTGTTGCTTTCCCTCGTTCCTGCGTCGCTACTACATGCCGCTTAGCCAGGCCCATGTCCGCGATCTTCAGAGTGCCCAGGCCAGACTTGTGATCATTAGTAAGGAACCTCAGGATATTCTCTGGCTTCAAATCGCCATGTCTGATGGACTCCGCATTTCCCGCGTTCTTGTAGTCATCCACCTCGTTATCAAGCCCATTCTCGCTACCGGCATCACTTCCACCGCTCAGATGCGATTCCACAACGCTTGGGTCGTTCACTCGTATCGTCAAGCCATTGGCTCCGCTATCATGTTCTGGTCGACCGCTGTTGAAATTGTGTAGTTGATCCAAGGCGTCGACAATACCTCTGAGTTCAACGATGGTGTGCTCGATGATACAAGCGTTTGGAGCCTCTCGTGGCGTGTTGTTCCAGAATTCACGCAAGCTGTCCCCATCGGCCCAGGGAAACATGAAGTAACGGCTGTGACCTCTCCGAATAGCTGCTATACATTTCACGATGTGGGTATGATTGAGCTTTCTGATGGCCTCGAGAGCAGTCGCCTCCCAGTTCCAAGCCCGGTCGGTCCCAGCAGCTTGGTCCCCTCCTTGCGGCACTTTGAGTTCCTTAAGCGCCACCTATTTAAGAGGTCAGCCTATTAAATCTAGCTCACGCTATCGCTAACATACCTGCTGTATCTCCGGATACTCATGGTGGTCTTTGTGTATCGTGACCCGATAAACGGAGCTGAAAGCGCCATCTTTTGGAACTGTACCGTCTGAAGTGAATGGAAATATGCATTGCGCTTTCAGGTCATAGCCATATTTTTGTCGTATGAACCTTGGAGCTAAACACTTCCACTGATTCTCTAGGAAGTTGACAAGTTTGAGTTGATTCCAGATCTGCGGAGGAAATGTAAGTTGACTTGGCGGTTTGTCAACCATTGGTAGTTTCTCATCAGTGAACCCGCATCTTTGAAACATAGCCATGGCTAGTAGCAGATGGTATGGTTCAAAGTCGCATTGTATAGTGATGGCGAATACCTTGGGGGCCTTGGTACGGATCCATGTCGCGAGCTGAGACCGACGTGCGCGATCCCACTTGATAGTTTGCTCTGTTGTAGACTTTTCAATCTTAGCCAGCTCCTGTTCGATCGCTGTTTGGACGATGATCTCCTTTATCGCATTTTCAGGTAAGTAATGGCGGTTTGGATCGTGGAACGTTGCTGCTACGAAACGACTGAGTATCGTGCCGACTAGATCAGGGCCTGAGGTCTTGGGTGGAATGAGACCTTCTAGTTCATCGTCGCTCAATCCGGGCGCTAGAGCGAGTGTCTCGGTGTGTTCCTCCTTGTTGTTGATGAAAGTCTCGGGTCGAGTCGGCCGGATCGCACGCGCTTTGTTGCCCCGCACCAGATAGCCAATGACGAACAAGAACGTCAAGAACAGGGCAGTATTGGCAAACATCGCGCTGGTTCGATTCACACATGTCCCTTCAGGTTTGACACGAACATGCGCAAACAAGGTATGCTGAATATCGAGAGGTTGCTGTTCGGGACGAAGTCGCGCTCTACCTACGGGTCGGCAAAGCCAGGTTTCACGGACACATGTAACACCTTATGACATGCGATCAATCTGCAGAGCCGCCTACAAGCTGAGGTCCGATTTGTGATGGGTGTGCGCCACATTGGTACGATGATCAAATCAGAGTAGAAGCCCCGGGATGTTAATGCCGTGAGTGACGCTCAGCCTTGTGAACGAAGCTCAGCTCAGCTGTGAAAGACGGGATAATGGCCCAAAGCGTTCAAAGGACGCAGTAAATATTGGACCCCACAGGCGAGGTGCATATGGACCCCACCTGTTCCCTGAAACGCATGAACGCCTGCGTGGGGGAGGGCAAAAAAGCAATTGTGCACACCTCTCGCAATTACGAACACAGTGATCAGCGGGCTCATCGTTCTCACATAGTCTCGCGACATGAACCCCGCATACCTGAGTTTCCTCAGTACTCTGCCAAAATCTAGCTGATGCGCAGCTGGCTCAAGTCGCTTTACCAAGCAGATGCAAAGCGCAAGTGCAAAATTAGTCTACATGGTGACCTGATCTGGTGCTTCATGCGATGAGGACGCTCTGCAAGCACCAATCTTGATGTCTTGCCCGTATGGTGATTAAGGGGTTTTGGTAAGGGAACACAAGGAACACGAACACCTCCATGTCGCTCCCGGGCCTCCGAGGCTCGTCCTGAATGTGAAAAAACTTCCAAACACATCATCCGGAATTATGCCAGGGTGGGAGACTTGAGTATGGGTATGCGACTCAACCGTCTCCTTCTCGATGCGACAGGTTGGACTGCTGGAGCTTCTGATCTTGGACTTGGTAGATCATCCTGAATAGCCTGCTCCGGATTGTACACAACGTAGCGCTCGACTGCTGATTCGGTAGATCTCATGTTGCACCAAGGGTTGCTCGTCGTCGCATATTCTTCGTTGCGGCAACACCTGGCATACATGTCGTCTAATGTTCGCCACAAGTTCATGCAAGATTTGCGCTCTCTTGAGTCTACTAACAGCATGTCGAACTGTATCAAGTTCAGTACATCGTGCACGTAAGCCGTACAGTTCGAGTGACGATGTAGCTCTTGGATAAACTATTGCAGTTGGTTAGCTGGGCGCTGTAACATCAGAAGGAGCAACATACGGCGGTAACTCTTGAGTTTACCTTGGCCCGTATCCCAGGAGCTTCAGGGTCTTTCTCCACTTCGTAGAATGTATCAACAGTTGTGAATCGATGGAAGTAGTCAGCCATCGTCCTCAACCTCTTGAATCTTCTCACGAGCTCACGACCCCCCAGCAACCAAGCCACAAATTCAAGGTAAACGCAACCCAAACACCAAATATCGTAAGATTGCCGCATATCCGCATTGGGCAAATCGCATTCGGGAGGTCGGTAAGTCATTGTATTAGGCGTTTCTCGACGATTGGTCTTGCTCTCCAGTGAGTGGATCTCAGCTTGTCCGAAGTCGGTGATCTTGAGCGTCCCCTGCAATGTGCGACCATCGACGTCGCTATCGCCATCGTCGTACCAAAGGATATTGTTGGGATTGATGTCGCCATGACGACCGTAAACTTTCTTTTGCCTGTTTCCGGAATCGTATAGTTGATGGCTATGCGACGGCAGGTCATGATCGTCAAAGTCGTTGGGCGATCTGAATGGGCTCGTCGGACGCTCTTTTACACCGTTTGAGAGCATCGACGAGCCTGTGTCGACCCTCTCGCTCAATGGCGCGAATCTCACACTTTTTTCCAATCCAGTAGAAATGTTCCCGGTAATGTCTGCAATGCATTAGTTCTGTAACGCGCAGTGTCCAGCAAAACGTCGCCCGCCAAGTGGCGACAGAGCAGTTCTTTCGGATCTTTCGCTTGTATCGAAATGACATACCGTGTGAGTCTTCCACTTGCTCCTCCTCGATCTTAGGCTGAGGTTTGGTGAACGATAGGAGCTTGTGAAGTTTCGACAGGCCCTCGGCAAGCCCGCTGCACTGCTTGGCGAACCAGTTGAGATTGCTGTGGTGGAGAGCCGGGTGCGGCTTGAGCTTCTTCCAATAGTCGAAGAGATCACCTTCTGCGCGGTAGAAGATCAGATTAAATCGGTTGAACTGTTCATAAGTTGCAAGCAAGGACACAATGTGTGGATGACTTCGCCCGCCGCTGAACTTCATCAGTATATCTATCTCTCTCTTATAGGCGTCACGATGCTCTTCGTAGAGTTGCTGTTTGATGGCGAACCCGCGCTCACAGAGCCGCTTATCACTGAAATTGTGGTGATCAGAGGGTATGTTCACCATTATTACCCTTCCATAACCACCAGTCTTGTCAATGGGCTGACCTAGGGCATTCCCTGGGGTGAGAAATGGAAGGATGTGTTGGTCTTGAAGTTTGTAGTTCTTTACTACCCCGTCACCGTCGGGTGGCGAGAAGTATGTCGCAAGTAGCCACCATTGATAGCGTTGGAAATTCTCTAGTTTCAAGGGTGACCACCCCTTGAAGCAGCCACGAGGAACTGAAACCTGACCACCTTTGCGATATAATTCGCCGGTTCGATCATGTTTCACGAGGGGTAGATCTTGATCAGTGACTTCCTCTCTCACGAAGTCCACGACGGAAGAAACAGCTTCGATTAGAACCAAAAGTGCAAAAATCTTGCGGAACGTCGTGATTTTGGTCGTTCCCTTATGCCCCTCATCCTCCGTTTCTGCGCACACCGTCCTTGCGTAGAACTTGATTTGCTCGGGTGAAAGTTGCGTCGCAGTTCTTGTTAGTTCACGCGTCACAGCCTCGGCCGTTATCACATGACGCAGTTTGGCTTTGGAAACAAATGTCTCGGTCTGGCTCTCGATTTCTCGTGTACTCTGGCGTGCATCTAAGATCTCCTGTTGTAGCTCATACTTATCGTCTAGAGGTGACAACGAGGCCAATGATTGCGCTAAATCCTCGTCCAATGAGTCTTCTGGGCGCTGAAGAGTGCGTTCTTCATGCAATTGCTGTTGATCGCCAGCGTCTGAGATATTCGTGACGCTTAATTTGGGTGAAACCAAAAGGTTCCGAAAGACCGGAGGGCCTAGCGACGACGTATAGCCGCGCACGGGATTCCATGACTCTTCTGAGAAGGAGCGGGAATGGCCGAGTGAGGCAAGCTAAAGGGACTGCGGTCAGAAAGGCTCAGCTGTGGGTTCTCAAGACGAAGCATACCTCATCACTTTCCCATTGCGCATCTTCCGCTCCCGCTTCTGTGTCTTCGTCGAGCAAGGGGACCCCTATTGGATGATGATCAACCCATGTCGTGGATGAGGATGGCGAGCCACGATATTGTGCAGTCAGCCATGCGCTCCTGTCTGTGTGCGCATCGATGGCATCCGAGTCACAATTCAATGCTCGTGACTTGCGAAAAGACAGAGGGCTGTCGTCATCATTCACGCTACCGTCCGATGACCTATGCAAAGAGTCACGACGTGGCGCAGCGTGTGGACTTATTGAGTGCTGATTTGGTCCAAGACCATCGTCGCTCAGGCAGTGACCACTTGGGTCCGGTCGATTTGCAGGCCGTGGCGAAATAGGTTCAAGTCCAAGAACAGGTAGCCACGGGCCAGGTACTAACACATCAGACACTGATTGATTTGGTACAGCCACTCCCTCTCTTGCTTCATTTGACAGTTGCGGATTGTGGGTTTCGGGTTGAGCCGTACGTCGTTGTGTGCTCGCGAGGCTTGGAGGGGCGGAGCCTTTGACCGGACTCCGACTCGCCTCGTTTGGCGGGGCATCCGCCCTGGATACGCGCAGAGCAAAGGGAGGCATTGTCCACTGCACAAAGACAACTGTCTGAGTTTTGAAACAGCCCCTACGGCGTATCGCATTGTTATATGTGGGTGCCTCATGAAGGACCTCGAGCCGCACAAGGCTGAGCGGTCAGTCGCGCGTGGTAGTCGCCCGTCTTCGAGTCCAGTGCCTGGGGTTGTGAGAAGTGGCTGCTTCACTGCCCCCCTCATTGAGACGGATACATCTGATTGGCCCCACAATGTCTCAGCCGGTCAACTGTTTGGGTTGTTGTCCCGAAGGACGTGGCGCAGCTGATGTTTGTACCTTTCAGCTGGAAAAGGGCAATGCACGCGCTCTTCAGCCCGCTCACAACCTCATAACATGTATGTATATACGCTGATGGAGTCCTCCCCTCATGGAAGAAGATATAGAGCACAATTTTCTTCACAACTCCTTACTTACAACTGAACGGTGTATCGGAAGCGGCATCAATGACATCGTCTAAACAAGTCGCATACGTTAAGGTATCAACGCCTTCAATAAGATATTACGACGAGGACGATGATCTGTCGGACCTTGAAGATGCGCAATCGATATCGGGGAGTAACATCGATCCAGCGAAGTTGGCAGCACTTCTAAGGATCAAATTCGGGGCAGGAACCTATGACATACATGTGAGTAGGGCTCATCTCGCAGGATTTGTAAACCTTGTGATCAAGGACTGACGAGCATTGGAGATAATGCAGAACTCTTACTGTATCATCGCGCCGCGAAAACTTTCAACCGTAAGTCAAGAATCTTGTCGAAACATTCCGGTATCTAACGCGTGACAGGGAGAGATAGCTAGATGTCAAAGAAGAAGATGAGGACGACATATAGCTGCCTAAGCGCCTCATAGACGGGAAAGCCGCTTGCCTGTTTAGGCAAATGCGATTGTAAAGCCTGGTAGAACGCACGAAACGTGCCATGATCAAAGAAATGCGGTTATTGCGACAAAGAGGTACGAGAGCTCAGGCAGACGCTCATGGCGACGGACGTTTGGAGGAAGACATCATGTTATGACGGAAAGTGTATCAATAGAGCTATCGAACCTCTTGACCAAGCTGCTATAACCACAACGATGCCATCCACCTGATGCATGATTCAATTGATGAATAAAGCGATCAACGGCGCTGGCTAAACATGCGGTCGGGTTTCCTTTCGTCTGATCTGACATCAGACAATAACAGGGATAAGGCTGAGGCGCATGCCTGCACTGCCCACTCTATACGATGAGCCCCCTGCAAGAACCCGCCCGAGAGTCACCCCCAGTCCTGTCCAGCGCTTCGTGAATCAAGTTTATCGATAGGTCCATCAGACCTTTTGACCACGATGACGCCCCCGTCTCGATGCATCCATGCAAGATTTATTTGGTGAACACGCGATCAGTTCTTGGCCTGAGAAGAACACATCCTTTGCCCGTGGGTGCACATGTGACGCCATGTTTGCCTTTGAACCAGATCGACTCAGGGTGCCACGGCGGCATTACGCATCGCGCCGGGGTCTTCATATATTCCAACGGTCATCCACTGTGGTGACCTACTTTCATTCATCGCCTGAACACCAAAAAGTTACATGTGCCGCTCGAGTGACTCAAGCTCGGCTGGATACAGCCCGAGAGCTCTCCGCAGAGCTTGCCCATTCTTCAGTCAGTCGCTCCAGTTCGGTCATGCGAAGCGCCTCCTCAACACTCTGGACAAAGTGTCTTGGGCCGCCACACATTTCGATAATACCACTTTTGTCGAACAACTGGTAGACGGGACTGGACTCTTGCGGGACCCTGCAGAAGAAGACCCTGACATCTCGCTTCCTGTAAGACTCTACAATCTCAGCCAGAACCTGGGCCCCGGCGCCGTCGAGCGATGTCACGCCATGAACATCAAAGATGATGTTCTTGTTGTGTTCTGCACGGCGAACACGCGGTAGGGCAGGATGTGCCTTCTCCGTGCCATGGTCCTCCAGGCGACGCAGACGGGTCTTCAGATTGCCTGTGTTGGCAAAGGTCAGAGGCTCCGGAATCTTGACAATCAGGCATCCTTCGATGAACTCAACATCTCCGGGGTGATGTTCCGCGTTGGAGAATTGGTTTGTGGTCCCCGGCACGCGGCCCAAAATTTGAATGCGTGGGCGGACTGAATGACGAATCAAACGCAGTATGGAGAGACCGATACCAACACCGATACCACGTTTCAGATCCCAGACGATGGTGATGACGAAAATGAGGCCCATGAGAATGAGCTCCGACCAGCCGCGGATTTTGAGGAAGAATTTGACATCGTGTGGTGCTTCCTCAACAAGCGAGTAGGCTACGACCGACACCATGGCGCAGAGAACGCCTTTGGGTAAGAAATAAAAGTATGGCAGCATGAACACAGTACACAGAATAGTGATGATGGATAACAAGACTGAGCTCATCGGTGTCAATCCACCAGTTGATGCATTGACCTTGGAGCGACCGTACCCACCGAAAGCTGGAAGCGCCATGAAGAGTCCACCAGTGATGTTTGCTGTACCTAGGGCAATAAGCTCTCGGTTTGCACTCAATGGCATTTGAACGCCGTCCTTGGTGTGGTCACCGCTGCCCAGCGACTTGGCAGCAACTGAGGACTCAAAGAAGCCCAGCATAGCAATAATCAAGGCCGTGTTGATGGCGTCAGACACATACTTGAGATGCGACGTCTCAAAAGGGAAGTGAACGGTGAATAGTTTGGCGCTGGAATTAACCTCTCCAAGGACAGCGAGACCCTTTTGATCGAGGCCATATTTCCAGGTAAGCAGCGCAGATAACACGACAACAACAAATCGGTCGGGGATGTAGGCGACATTTGGGTATCGTGGTTGTAGTCGCTTCTTGAACTCTCTGTATTTGTTTAGTGAGGTCAGCATGAAGAGTGTCTCGCTACATACCGGAAGAACATGATAATGAAGAAGGCAGTGAAGGACATGGCACATGTGAGTCCATGAGCGCGTCCAACATTGCGAAAGAGAAAGACGACTTTGTCCAAGCAACTGCCGTGAGAGACTTGATCGGCAGCCAGTCGTGCGAGCCCCATCTGGGGAATGAGTTGGTCTACAAAGATGACTACACCGATGGCGCTGATGAAGCCTCGCAAAAAGGGTCGGCTCAAGACATTGTCCAGGAAACCGAGTCGGAAGAAGCCGGCGATAAGGATGAAAGCACCGGCCATGCATGTCACGATGCCCGCAATCTCCGCATTACGTCTACCGTCGTTGTCGCCGGTAGTACCCTTCTTAATGTTTTCACGCACGATCTCGCCTATGAGGAGGGAGCCAGGTGCCTCGGGACCAACGATCATCTGCGGACAGGTGCCAAGCACGGCGTATATTAGAGGATTCAGTGCGAAGCTGTAGAGACCGTGGACGGGCGGCAGATGGGCGAGGTTGGAGGCATAGGAGAGGGCCATGGGAATATAGAACGAGGCCATGGTGATGGCTGCGATGAGGTCGCCCTTGAAGTAGCGCCACTTGTACTGCTGCGTCCAGTTGAGGATGGGGATGTAGTACTTGAGGTACATCATGCGCTTGTCCTTGATGCCATGGCGCTCAGCGAGCCAGCGCGTCGTGCTCATCTTCTGCCCGCTCCCCTTATTCAGGACGCCGTCTGCAAAGGCGTCGCCCAGGAGGGCATGTGCCTCGTCGGGGGCATCGCCCTCTGCCGTCTCGCGTATGCCAGGAAAGCTGCCGCCGAAGCTCTGCTCCGAGTGGATGCTGCCCGCGAAGCTGCCATAGTTGCGATGTGCCGCCGGCCGTCCCTCGGCCCGGTTGAAGGTGCCCCAGTCCTGCTGGTTCAGCAAGCGCGTGCGGACCGTGGGCTCGAGGTCGATCTCGATGATGCCGCCGCGGGGAGCGACTTCCTCGTGGGTCGAGTGTGCCGACGCGGCATCCGTCGTCGGGTGAATGCCGTCGGTGGAGAAGTCGAGGTCGTGGGGCGCGGCGCTGCTGGACGGCTGGGGCTCGTCGTCGTCGTTGTCGTGGTAGCGGCGGGGACGCATGGTTTCCTCGGGCGAGCTGGACCTGTCCGAGGGTGCATGAGCCTGACGGAGCTGGCTGGGCGTCGAAGGCGCGTGTGCGTGCCGGGCACTGGCATTGGACGAGTCGCGCGAATGTGAAGCCATACTGCGCGATAGCGATGGTGATGGTCGAGGTGCAAGCACCAGCGAATCGGAGGCAAGGTAATAGCCGTACTATGGACGGCGACGCGAGG